ATTATATTATATTATATTATATTATATTATGTTATATTATATTACTCATATTATTATTATTTCATTATTTAAAAAACTTGCCAGGAAGTTGGCACTTTGTTAAATAGGACAATCTAAAAATTACATAAAGTAGGAAATTTCCAATACTAAACTCCACTCCACCGTTCCAAATTCCGCCTCCCCGTACAACGGACTGAACCAGTCAGGAAGTTGGCACTTCGTTGAATAAGAAAACCTAAAAATTAAACACAATACATGCTACTTACTAAAGGAAGACGAACAGTACTTGTGTGGATCCACTGCAATTTGAGCGACGATTGGCGCCTCAAGGACGACGAAGACCAGCACCATCGTGGTTTGGGGCTGCACCCAACGCTGGCTGAGCCTGGGCCTGATTCGTCCTGAACAACAACCAACGACCATAGAATAAAATTATCGTGAATTGCGAGCCTTGAGCGTTACCGTCCCTGGCGACCGTAGCAATCAGTATTGCACGTTGATCTACAGCTGTTTATTAGTAATTATATCGTTTTATTCGCGAGCTGTTCTTGTACTCAGACGGTATTCATTTATGCATCGATCGTTGCAGTCGACAACTCATGAAGTACTCAGCCGAAATCAATTTCTAATTAGATTACTTCAGTCGATATTTGCTCCTGCACTCAGCCTGAATTAAGTTATACCTGAATCCTTTTAGTAGGCAGCTGCTCGGCACTCGGCAGTTTATTAGTATTTCTTCGCCCGGTATCATCTGACGACACATAATATTATGACTATCATCTCGAACGATTCTTGACGCGCCCAAAAGTTGGCCAACTTCACACTCGTTCAACTTATTTTTCGGCATTTGCTCCAGAGTTCATTTTTATGCTGCGATCCTGAAAATTAAAATTAATGTCTCCTGCAAGAGAAAGATTAGTTCACAGTTATCAATATTTCATATATTTCAGTATTTCAAACATTTCAGATATTTTTCAATATTTCATCTTAATCTAGAAAGGGTGCCCCAATACCATGCTCAACGGCGGCGTGCTACCCGGACTGCATTCGGGGCAAGAAAGATGATGCGAACGACGCCTCCCCGTACAACGGACTGCAATGCACAAATGCAGCCACTGGGAGTGAGCGAGGGCTTCCTCACCGCTGCAGTTCCCGAATAGCTCCTTAATTGGCACCCCTATCAAAATTTTTAGCTGGTGGCGACCCTGAATTAGGAACCGCCTAGGACTCGGACCGAACGTAAATCAGCTTCTCTATGTCCGCTTTTTGGTTTACATTCCGGTCCCCGAATCAGACAGCTACCAGTGCCTGGTGAGGGAACTGAGGGGATTCTGCCAACTCTTGCCCTACTCCTAGGAGACCATAAAGTCGGCCAGGAGGTTCTGACTAGTCGCTGATTGCGATCAGGTGGCCAACTGACCCAGAATAACTAACGCGAACATAGCAACTCTGGGGCAGAGGCTGAAGTATACCCCGAATTTTGTTAGGTACGGAGAACTGGCAGGCGGCTAGCTACCTTGTTCGTAGCGAAGCGAGTCGTCCCATCACTTCCAAGCCCTCGCGAGCAGCAGCCACACCGAAGAGCACAGCAATTGAGGCGAGACGAATTCGCGACGTCGCTTTACATGGGATAGCGAAGTATCGTTGCCCCTCCCTGACTTACACAATTCACGTGAAATTCAATTTTTTAAGCTCCGATATTTTTAGCGTTCCCATAACTTGAATCTCGAAAACAACATTACTCATATGGATGGATGTATAGTTGATATATTTTATATTTTTCGACACTATATGCATCTATTTCTAATATTACTCTCATCAACAATTTTATGAATAAATTTAATTTTGAACAAATATTTTTTAATTATGGTGAAGATTAAAATGAAATTAATGAATAAATTATGATAAATGAATATATGATGAAATTATGATAAATGAATAATATATATTCATATATATATATATATGAATAAATTATGATAATGAATATATAATGAATAAATTATGATAAATGAATATAATAAATTATAAATTAAATGAATAAATTATATGTATGAAGAAGATACATAAGAGTGCGGCAACAAGGATCTCTTCGCTCACCAGCCAAGAGTGCAGGGGCTATAGACATTTTAGATTTAATTTGCAGGTGTTAAAAAATATGGGGGGGGGGGCTGTTCCGGTGCGCATGTTCCTTAACTTCGGGAAAACTAACGTGTCGAGATATTATCCGTAAAACAAATCTTCTTTTAAATATGGGACAATAAAAAATTCAAGGAGGATACTTAGATTTAAAAGTTGAAATGTGATTTGCTGATTTCACTTCAGTAAGTCCACCTCTTCTTTCCCAAATTGATCGAGCATATCACGGCCTTTAACGGTTCACAAACCAAAACTAATTTGAAAACTTGTTTTACATTACCTTCAAAATGGATTCATGACTCAAAAATGGATTTTTGGTTCAAATAATCTCTACATGGCTGCAAAACTAATTAATTTGTTTCTTCAAAAATTTGGCTGTGCCTGGAAGAGTGGATACATTCCACTCTTCTAATTCCCCGGCCGGCTTGGTTAGAAGGTTGGTGCATGCATGGTTGAAATAATAATTATTATTTCATTTATTATTATATATTTATTATATTATTATTTATTATTTCAGCCATGGGTGCATGTTCCACGCAAGGTGATGCGGGATGCGTTATGGACGTATTGGGTGTGCTATAGGAGCGTGTAATTAATCCCAGCAGTTATATAGACGATTCGATAATCACTATTATTATCGCTATTATTGTTATAATTAAGTGATTCCTACAACAGGTAAATTTTTAAATCCGGGCTTAAATTTGACAAAGTCACAACTTATGAGAACAATTTCACGTATGTATTTTTCGGCGAATGTACGGATATTCTATACGTTCACATCTGTAACCTGAACTAATTTCAACGTGAGAACAAGTTTCAGAGCTAATAACAACGATCAAATTCAATCTACTTACTATGGTAAAAAAATCATACATAGATGTAATTCAATTTATTTGAAAAAGCTGCGTTCAATACACACTCCAGCACTTCACGCGAAAATTCAAACCCCCATTTCATCGAAAGAATATTGTTAGGAAGTAACCTAATAAATCTTAATGCAGAGGCACTTGACCACTCGATCACCGTACTCCATGAGTGCTACAGAAACGGAAGATCGCAAAGGTAATCACATTGAAATGTCTTTAAAAAAAATCGTATAAGTATTTGGGAGGGTTTTCTCACTATATAACCTTGTAGAGTTTGGATGAAAACGAAAAATATCTTGTGAGTATTTTACCAAATAATTAATAATGCAATGCGAGGTTAAATATTATGTAAAACACATAATTTAAACACATTGTAGAAAGTTTAGGAATCAAAATCTTTTATCAGTGTTCACGAATACATCGCTAAACTGAGAATAAGCGTAAGGTTATTTTACAATAGTTATTATTTTTTGGTGCACTTTTTAATTAAAAATCTATCAATGCTTCCCTGATTCTTTCACACAAACAATTTCACGAAATAAAGAACATCATACAATAAAAAATGCTACCATCAGACCGCACTGCAGGATTACGATATCCTATTTAAATGCGGGAAGCAATACCATGATGCAAGGTTGTTATCTACTGCATGATCTGCATTAAATAAAGTGAGCACAATGCAAAACAGTAATTAGTGTACAAGTGACATCAACAAACTAAGGATTTGATTGTGAACTTTCATTCGTTTCATAAACTTTGTCAGCTTAATTACACTGACAAAGCAATTAAGTTTCTTAATTTTATATGATTAACATCTCAGTTAAGATAAAAGAAATAAGGATTTACTCTCTTTTATCTCAAGTACCGTAAGTGAGCAGTAACAAATCACAAGAAGTAACTAGTATTAAGTAATGACTAATCATAAGAAATGCTTAATCTTACGAAAAATTGTAAATACCACTAAATAAATGTCATACATTCAAGACGAGCGATATAAATGAATTAGAAACCGACTCCTATATTCTGTATGCTAAATATACCGCGGCACTTCAGAGATATCATGACTAACACAACAGAGTAACGCGGACAAGCAACAAGCAACGTCTAGTTCACTACAGGAGTTTTCCCGTTGGTCGCAGACCAGAAAATGCAGCTGAAGGCGCGTCGGTTGCAGGCGTCATGGTGGTGACGTGCCACCAAGCAAGAAGACGGGCGAGCATGACGTAAACATGGCTTAAGATTATATAAACGATAATCAGTGAATTTAATACATCTTAGCTAAGAACTTTAAGTCTAATTCACTTGCCTTTATTATTATCTTGCAATTAAAGCCCACTCATATCCATTATTCAATTCCACGTCTATTTATGTTACGATACTTGAAATACTTGAAAAAGGACTAATATTAGCACCTCATCATCCAAAAGTGAAATAAGGAATCAAAACGTTTCATCAATGAATTTCGCAAGTAACTTGATATAATCACTACAATAAAATTAACTCAGAAATTCTCTAAGGGACACAAGTAGTCAGGAAGTTGTGAAGTAACTTGATATAATCACTATAATACAATTAACTCAGAAATTCTCTAAGGGACACAAGTAGTCAGGAAGTTGTGAAGTAACTTGATATAATCACTATAATACAATTAACTCAGAAATTCTCTAAGGGACTAAGCTTAGGGAATAGGACTACAAGTAGACAGGAAGTTGTGAAGGTGCTGGTCCAGCGTGCAGCCATAGAGGCAGCAATGCTTGCGTAGCATGCCTACGGTGGCGTCCTCCACGGGCCAGCCCGGCAAGACGCTGATGGGGGCGTGACCGGAGGCCACGCCACGGTTGCTGTAAACTCCGTTGTCGTCTTCGTGTTGGTATGCGTTGTAGAGGTCGGTGAAGGAAGGGTCGTACCAGGTTTCCGTATCTACGATGGGAGGGCTTCCCTCGACCATGGATTCCTCGTTCTCGGCGCTTGTTGGGACAAATAAGACTTCTGAACTGACGGCAGGTTGACTTCTGTCAGACATGTACCCTAGTTTGTCGACATTTGATGGACTAAACCAGACGCCCGACTCAATCAAAGGGGGACTATCATTTGGCGGAACTGTCCTTTTCCGCCCGTTTGAAGGACCAGAGGATGTTCCCGAATCACCGTCGAGGATGATCTGGTTTGATAATGAATCGTGTTTATCATCGCTTGGTATATCATACCAGTTTTCTCCCGAGTCCGTGAGTGCTGGACTTTTGTTTGATTCTTCTGATTCATTGTGTGATTCTTCTTCTCCAACGTTTACTCGGTCGAACAAAAATCCCAAATCCCCGACAGAATGAATAGCTCTACCGTTCGTGGCAAGCAGCGTTCGATCTTCGGTGTTGTTCAACATACGGAACGTAAATAAGTCCAGCACTGACATTGGCCTGCGCCTGGCATCTCGGTTTGAGCCTTGCAATCCTTCATGGAGCGAATATCCCCCAATTGCTCGAGGCCGCGTGTCCAATGAAACCGGTTCTGAGGTATGATGCAGCCACCTCATCGGGTCGGCAGCAGAGTCGACACTGAACTCATCTGGAAACAAATTACATCTTTAAATATTTATAGATAAAGTTCAGCTGCCTTGGTACAGATTATCGAAATCCCTTCGTTTTTAATCTATGCCACTCAAGTTCAGTGTCGATACATTATTATTTCGTAAGATATTAAAATAAAATAAAAAATATCGATGCGACTCAAAGTTTGTTGTTGATAAATTTCATATCAAATTTTGTGTTTTGATTATTATTTTCATTATTATGGTTGATAGCTAAATTAAAAAATAATAATAAATAAAATTTACGACGATAACGAAATTCATCGAAACACAGCCACGAGTATTCAAGGAAATGCCATATTAATAACTTATTCCTGCACTTCAATGTTGAAATGAAATAAATAAATGCCTCACCGTCATCAAGTGATCTTTTCCGTCGCCTGGAGAGGTTGCAGAGTTTCTTTTTGAAGGAATAGAACTCCCGAGCCTGGCAGAGCTTGTGCACCTGGTGGAGGTCGAGCGCTGCTGTAGGCGGGGTGTGCCAGACGACCGCCGCCGCGATCACCACAAGCACCGCGAACGGCTTCCCCAACATCCTTGTAGCTTGAGCTCTTCAAATCATGGATAAAAAGGGCTTTGCTATATAAATGCGATCACGATGTAACAGCGTTTATACAAAGATTAAAAAAGTTAAGGCTTCACAAACGAATAAATCTCCAGATTGTTGTTATTTTCCTATAAGTAATCGTTGATACAATTCATAGCGCTACTAGTTGAGCATTCTAGTTTAAATAATTGAGAAGTCAATACAAAATATGTTCACAAATAACAAATGAAAGGCAAAAAAATGACACCTGGGTCCAAATAAAATTTCAGGTCATTTCAGAGTAAAAAGTGTACGCGGATGATATTAGATGATCTACTAGTGAACGATAAGCGTGTAATGGAGAACAGATTATCCCGGGGCTGCGGATTGCAGTACACTGTTACATTAAACTGTCTCGCGTCCTATGACGCATTTAAATAAGAAGCAATGGTTTTCTAATAATGATTCAATATTTTGCGTACTTGGCAGGTTTGAAAATTTTTAAAACAGTTAAAGTATTTCTGATATTTCTGAGAGACAAGCAAAATGGAGTGTAATAAATGACTACAGAATACAAACGCTATTAAATAAATATTACCTTGAACCATAGACACAATTTTAAGACCATTTCGTATATGGTTGCAACCTACGAAAATAATCCGTCAACTAGTATTTTTGAGGTTAAAATAATTTGTATTCGAGGAACTTACTATTTTAGACGATTAATAGAATAATTTCTGCTTCAGGAGTTTTTGCCGTTGCGGGTTCTCTCCTCCACCCATGCACACTGACAACGATGACAAACCAAGCAGCGAAGTCTTACTCAGTTCACGGAATGAAGATGATCAACTTCACGCTTGGCGTTATTCTCAAGCTACACGAACTAATAAATTGTCTTAACTATTTCAGTAACATAGGTCACAACAAGTAATATACAAGAAAGATAACACGAGGGGCATAAACATCTATAGATATAGTGTGTACAAATATCGGCTCGACAGCAGATCTATCTAGGACGGGAATCTGTCTAGCATTGAGTGGACTCCAGCAGCCGTCGTCTTATATGCTCTAGTTTCGGCCTCGTGTTTTGCATCGTAAGCAGCTTTGACAATCCGCGCTAGATACAAGGAAAAAGAATGATCAGGCATCAGCTGACTACTCGAGATGGCCATGGTAATTATTATTTGTGTTGGTGTGTTGGTGTCGTTAATGATTGCTTACAAATTATTAAAAGATTAAACAGATTATCTTTTTCAACTGTAGCATGTCTTGATTTGATTTTTTATTCACAAAAATTGATCCTGAAATGTTTGACGTTCACATTAATTATCGAATTTTCGACAGACCTAAAAAATTTATTTAAAATAATTGTTTTCCTTCAACAATCAGCCTATGAGGAACGTAACAGTTCAAATAGGTCTGAAGTGCGAAGTAAGTTTGCGCTGATAGCCAGAAATATTTGCAAATAAATACGAGTAATATTCTACGCCTGATATTTGTTAGCTAATTCTTTCACAGTTATTGGCTATAAATGATCATTTTTTCTGCATTATACTAATGCTTAATAATGCTGATGTTGCACCTCATTATTGTGTCCAGAAATCATAACAAATTCTTAACCATCCAGTCAAGGCGTCTGCAGCCAATGAAAGTATGCTTATTTATCGTTAAGTATTCAACAGATCAACAGCTCAATTATGTTACCAAGTCACATGCACCGAAAGACGTACGCAAAGAAGTACAATTTACTGAAGCGAATTACGAATGATTTTGAGTTTCACTTCAAGCAGATGTATTCACAAGACAGTAATAGTCATCCTTGAAATTAATAGAGCAATTTGGTGATAAATATCAATCCAGTGATATTCAAATTAGTCCAGTTACCCTGTTAGATCTGCAGGTTGCTCGACAGCGTGACCTTTACATCAGGCTGAGACTTGAGTCTGCTAAAGCCCGACAAAATAAAACCTAATTTCAATAAGCCATATTTATTTTAGTGTCTGCGTTTTTCTGGAACAAATGCTCCAATATGACTGCTTAAGTTTTGCTTTCGAATTAAACAAAGAACGGAACTGAATTAGCGCTGTTGTATATCCATAGGAACATCAAATCACTGATAATTGGGGAAATTGTTTTCAATAGATTAAAGTCAACTGAGCTCTCCGAATGACTGGCTCCGAATTACGGTCAACATGCTCGTAGAGACTGTCTAATAAAATGTAGGAAAACGATTATATAGAAACAATATTGCGTGGTGCGACTCAGCGGGTGATTTCAGTTCAAAGTATAAAATCCCATATAGAAAAAGACACATGGATTTAACATTCGATACCTAAATGCAGGGCGAACTGTCTCAGATACATGTATTTTCAGTCACACTGGGTATAATATGTAGTAGGCATGAAATTTAGGCTTTAAAACCCCTCATAATTACCTATTGTTAGATAAATTTTCGTTTTACGCAGTTTAAATTTCACAATTTTTTCCGATTTTATGGGTAAATTATGTGAAATAGTTTATTTACTCCAGAAAATCAAACACTGGCATGCATTTTGCAATTTTTTAAGTATGTAATAATTTGAAACCCCCAAACTAAAATTCCTTTCATCAAAAAGTTATATGTACTTCTCATGCAATTTACGAACTATTAGTATTTATACTCGAATGCAAAATTTTATATTTGTCTTAAATATAACATATTAATCCACAATGCGGTAAACTTACGAGAATTAAATTAGATTTAAATTTCAAATTACAAAGTGCACAGAAAGACCACAACGCGTTAAAGACTATCATTATGCAGATCAGGAAGTTACTTCCTTTTATGAACACTTTGCATTGTCAGCTAGATTTTTGTAAACTCGATCAGTGACACGTTTCCTGAAAAAGCCTTTTTTTACCTGCATTCAGAAAAAAAGGCTAGCTGAATTTGAGGAAATGCGATTGCTACGTGAGTCTTCCTGTTAAAGTTTTTCCATGCGTGACCTTATAATTACAAAACATCGAAGGCAAATGTTTTTACATAATTTTTTCGACATATTAATTTGCAACATTTAACCACGAGAAACTTCTGCACCCTAATGTTTTTTCCAACCATATGGCTACACTGAAAAAAATAGCCCGGCATCCTTTTCCCGCCATATTCGGTGACGCGTTTTAATTCAAAACAAGTAATGTGCAAATGTGGTAACTTCGGCGTATTATCTATTTCATACACTATATTTTTATTGCACGACGGAAGAGCATAAATGTTTTGTGAACAGAAGTAATTTCGTATATTGTGTCTGATGTTATTGCATTTTACTTTCTCATAATAAGTCTGTTGGAAACTAAAAAATAATTTCGTTTGTTGTAGCTCTCTGATCAGTGTGCTACGTGCAACACTATGGATACTATTGAGCACTACCTACCTGCTGCATTGCCAACGACATGCGCAGCCCAGACAAGAGCTGAAAACTAATTTAAGATGTTTGAATGTACAATTTTCTTTGTGTGAACTTTTGGGGGGAGGTAATAAATAACGATGATGATGTGCAAAGAAAAATCTTTCAACTTGTGACTGTATACATTTTGAAGTCAGGTAGGCTAAATGAACTTTAGATAGGCATGCTAAATAAGAAATGCAGCTCATATGTATGTGTAGGCCTATGCAGAATTTTTACGTGTGTATGACCTAAGTTATCATAATTTTACTAGTCCACCCAACTATGTTGTCAAAAGCTGTGCTGATTTCTGATGAGTAATGACCCTTGTTTTCTGATATTTTCTTATGTCATGTGTACTTTTTCAATTTGGAACTACCTATACATATCTTTTTGTATGATCTAAGTTATCAATATCATACCTATATTAGTCCACCTAATTTTGCGGCCAAATGCTGTGCTGAATTCTGATGAGGAAGGGCCTTTGCTCTTTGATATATATTTTTTTTAATGCCCTGTGTTGCTTTTCTTTTGCTTGCTGTCAGGCTCAGCCATTGCATCCACTGACTTTTCATAAGCAAAAATAAGTGGTCTGACCTCCATGCCAAGAGGTCCAAAACAGGCAAAACTACACAAGCTCTCAGGCCCAACGGTCATCCTTGCGGTTGTCCTGTGGCTTTAAGTCTACCCTGCGTGGACATCCGGAGAAGAAGAAGAAGTTTGTTGTAGCATTGCTTTTACCTTGGACTTAGGAGACTGCATGTCTGCCTGTCCAAGATGGTGTTGAAATTTGAGTTAGTAGGTTTTTCTGAGATTGTGGGGCACTTACTGTAAACTTGTTCTAGCTTATACATATAGTAGAATGTACTTATAAGACGTAAGTTGCATAATATCTCAAAATATCTGCCGACTGTCATCTGTCAGTGCCTCACTGGACAGTGACACACGAGGATGAGGCCCATGAACCGTCACTTATTTTAAAACACTCAACTTGCTACTTATCAGTAATAACATATGATTATTATTGTCAAACCACCACTTGTTTGGTTTGATCGTAGCTACAAAGCTGTATTGAACTTGCTAGAAAGTTTCTCAGACCACATTTCGCCTATTAGCCTATACTAGGTAGTCTATTCTGTTATTTCTCTAAGGATAAAATGGACAGTAATGATTGTAGGCCCGCGAGTGGTAAAATTTGTATAAAAAAATTAAAAGTGCTGTTTCAACTTGCGGCAGCAGTGGCACTGTCTGTAACTGTAAGGGTGTTGGCACTTGGCAGTTGGCATTGACGCTTGACAGTTAGCAACTGCCTTAGTAGCGGCGTAGCCTACTGCTATTGGATGGTAGGTACCTAGCTACAGTGCTACACAGTACATGCTGCATAGCTTGACCTTTATTGTAATTTGTTAATTTATATAATTTTATTGCATTTTGCCTGATGAATATTAATATCCATGCAAAAGTGAGCTGCAGCTTTATTTACATTACAATATTTTGACTCTAGTCTCCACCCACCGTCTTCAAATTTTCAGCCTAAATAATAAATTTTGAATTTTTTACAATTTCTTTAGTTACCATATTGGTGTGATTTCTAAGAAATCTGACCAAAACTTCCTTTATTAATATAGAAGAAATTGAAATTTTAAATGTGTTATTTATTCCTACTGGCTACAGTCTACCATCAACAACACTGTGAGTCTGTGACACATACCTATTAATGATATTGGTCACCACTCCTGGCACTCCAAACTACAGTTCACACTCAACAGATACTGCACTTACTTAGATTGCTTCTCATCACTAAAAATCTGATATTTATAATATTGATCAGAAGTTAGAACTTGGCCTACCTACAATTTGCAGGCACAAGGATCAACAACTACATGATGACTACGAAGCGGCTAACATAAGTTAGATTGGGAATAGGCTAGTATCAATAGTATGGTTATTGGCATTGCCAAGGCATAATGCCAAGGTTATAATAATAATAATGCCTTGGCATAATGCCAAGGTTATTGGCATTGATATCAGCTTAGACTCTTTTGCTAATCTGTATTTGTAAACGATTGCAGATTATTTGGTCCAATGGTTTTAATTGTGTTTAATGAATAAGCTGATCTTGTATTTTATTTAATGAACATATTTTAATTACAGGATATGTGTATCATTGAAATGAATCCTGTGATCCTGCATAATTTTCTTAGTAATGTGTGGCATAAGATTTGAACCTTATGTAATTTTAATGGCCTATAACTGTAGTTTGTAAAATAGGCAGAAACCAGCAGTGACCCAGTGAGCAGTGAATGGACAGACTGGAAAGTTGAGTGGTTAACTCTCATCTACCAGTATTTGTGTCAAACCAGAGAGATTTTGGAGTCATGCATTTTTAATTACCTGATCTTATTCAGGATTTCTTCCATATCTTATTTATAATGATGTTGGTATCCTGAAACTTCTTTGCTCTTGCAAAATTAAAGTCGTCAAGAAAGCCTTGTTTGCCACTAGGCAAGATCCATTTACTATCCTTTGTCTAAATTGTATGTATAAACCTGCAAAGCAGCATACATAATATTTACAAACAATTTCTTAAAAATCTTGTGAAACTATTATTTTTTCACTCAAAATTTGGAAAAATAAGCATCTTAATTGAGTTAGGTCAGAAATTATGCAATATTGGTTTAGAAGGTTTTTCATAAATTTTTCATAATTATAAATTACAGTGCTGTTTGAGAAACATCATGTTGCATTCAGAAGAGTCTATGACATGCAGGGTTGCAAAAAACACATTTTTTTTAAATTGCCTAACCCACCTAGATTTTATTCAAGAACCCTGGGTGAAATGGTAAAAAAAAATTCACTTATTTCATATATACCTAGCTCATAGTCCTTTTCAGTTATATTGACTATTCAAATTTTATGCTGGAGAGTATCAAGTATCAACTTAATTTCATTTTCCGTAGCATTTAATCAAATAATTGTAAATTTTTGCACAGTGAGCCAGTGATGCATTATTAACCTGTTGTATCACTATTCAAACAGTGTTGTATCACTAAACTGATCCATCTGTGTAAGGCACTTTTACACAGAGATCAAATCAATGTAAAAAACTAAATACAAATCAATGTAAAAAATATGTATTGAGTCAATTAACCCACCTCTGCAGTTTTCTTGTTTATCAAAACTCATATTTTGCAAGCCTTTAAAAATTTGTTAAATTTTTCTAAAATTTGTTAAATTTTTCTAAAATTTGTTAAATTTTTCTACCGTAACTTTTTAAAAATTGTCGGAGCACTGTGAACTTGTGCCAAACATTGAGGTTTCTAATATGGTACTTGCTCAGTAATTTCCAGGCTTGTATTGCTACTACTGATGAGGGCTGCTAACTAGGAACCTAAATTATGCAAAATTCAAAACGCACATTAAAAAAACCCACTAGCAAAAAATTTCCCTGAGTGTGTTATGTCTTTAAGAAACAATACATACCTAGACAGTTTGATATTACTTCAACATTGCCAGTCATTTTGTGAAGAATTTTAATATATGAATCTATTTAAAGAGCCAAATTATCAAGTGGTTTTATGTATACATGACAAAACCAATAAAAGTCTATTGACTTAGCTCCCCTCATTTCACACACTCAACTGTGGGCTTTTAGTAATATCTTTTTTTAAACCTGTTTTATGGAATTGCTCACAATGAGTGTTACAAAAATAATAATATCAAATATGAAATTATAGTCTCAAGAGGCATCAGGATTGGCAATGAGTAAATAAACTGATTAAATCATTTGATTTTTTATATATATTCAAATATATTGAGTGGCAGTCTTTAATTTATTTTGAGGTATCAATATTCATGGTTTAGTATAAATGTTAATGACAAATTGGAATATAAACCTGTTGCCTTTAGTGTGTAATAGGTTCCAATGAATTGCATGATTTTGGTACAGAGGCATCAAGTGTTGCAATACAGTGTACATAGATAGCAGCTTAGCTAATTCTTATAAGGCTATAAGTAGTCTTTAACTATATGACTACTGGTATTTGTTATATATTAATTATAATATACAATTCGAATGTGTTAGCTAACTTATATATTGAGAGGTTGAGATTGTATTTACCTTTTAGAAAGATTTTCCACCAATCTTTTAGAAAGATTTTTTGATAGTGTTGTTCACTGTGCTATCAGCTACCTATCTGTTATGTGACTTCAATGTTTAGAAGATCCACATTCCTGAAGTGTTGTACCATAAAATGGGGTAACTTCGACCGGCGGGGTAACTTAGACCACTTTTCGTTTTTTTAACAAAAACCCGCACAACTCAAAAACTATTTGACATAGAAAAATTTTGTCAATGGGCATTAAAGGCCTAATACTGAGGCTACATAACACAATAGAAAGATTTAAAAAGTTTGCATATCCAATAGGTTAAAAAATTAAAAATGTGACCCACAAAAAAAGCTATTATTTAAAGCCTGTCAGAGTACCCCCTCCAATTTTTTTATTTTTTGGTTAAATAACTCCAGGTTTTGATGCATTGTAGTAGAACTCTTCTAGTTACATATGCAAATGACAAATTTTAGGAAAGTGTCATAGTTTGCAAATGGGGGCCACCACCCCCAAATGGGGTAACTTAGACCACCTAATGTCAGCCCTGACGGGGTAACATAGATCGGCTTGGAAGTTAATGTAAAATTACCATATATAATATATTTTATGTTTGACAGCCTATTTATGTTTTTTCTTTATGTTTCAGACGTTTGACAGCCTATTTATGTTTTTTCTTTATGTTTCAGACTCTAAAGAGTCTCATATATGGTAATTTTAACTTAATTTCCAAGTCAGTCAATATTACCCCATCAGGGCTGCTATTAGGTAGTCACATTTCCCTCATTATGCAGCAGCGCCCCCCTTTTGCAAACTATGACACTTTCCTCAAGTTTGTCATTTACAAATGTAACTAGAAGAGTTCTACTACAATGCACCAAAACCTGGAGTTATTTGGAGTTATTTTACCAAAAATATAATTGATTTTACCACCCGGTCTAAGTTACCCCAAGAGCTGGGGTAACAAAGACCATCACTTTTTCTGAAATTACATAAAGACTATGAGAGGCAGGAGCCAGCAATTTATGGCAAGTGAAGCTAGAGTATAGACCTGTATTTTGCATGTTTCAATTTAAGTTTAATTTAGCTAGTAAAAAAATGGCATAGTGGTCTAAGTTACCCCATTTTACGGTATATTGAAGCCAGTAAAATGGTCGTTATTTAGCTATTTACCTTGCTCCATACAAACTTTACAAATCTAATGAATAGACTTGTCAATAACTGTTACTCAAAGTTGTAAAGACCACCTTGGTCATTCTTGAATAATTGCAATGTAAAAAATAACATTTCAAAAAAGACAAAAAGCTGAAAAAATCAAATGAATAAAAATAAAATAAAAATCATGAAAAAAAAACAAATTAAAAGAGTCGGTGATTTTTTATTTTGTTGATATTAAAAAAAAACATAAAAAAATCACCAACCTTGAGGGGCACAGTGTATGTAAATTTCATTAGAAAATAATTGTTTTAGGACCAATGTGAGTATTTCTATTTCATATTGAGAAAAACTACATTATATTTGAATTAACACCAATGTTGAAGTTTATATTGAACTAATATATAGTTCAGGTAGGGCTAACATAAAATAGTTACAAAAAAACTCTGTGAACTCAATTTCTTTTTCCTGATGTGACAACAATTGCTAAGAACTTAAACAAAATCACTAAATGGTTTTTGATATGAAGGAGAAATCTGGTGGTCACTTTTTTGATATCATGTCATTGTGATAGCAACTTCCTTATGTCTAGATCTCTCAACTAAATGACTAGAGCAAGTCATGGGACCTAGTATCATTTATTAAACTTTATAATATGTGGGACTTTCTCGGCCTCAAATCAATGTAGGCTTTTTATAGAGGCTTGATACATAGGTATATGATGACTGTTTTTGTTCAAAAATGCTTAATAGACTTTTCCTTGGTAGCATCTATCCTATATTATTGTTTTTGAAGTTTAAAACCATAAAATCAATTTGATGCATTTGTTAGTTTTATTTAAAGCCCACTTTTCACTCTATGGGCTTTTTCATAGTAAAAAAAAACAGCCAGCATTGGTATATGTGGGTCGCCTTGTGCAACCCTGAATTGACATGTATGGTATATAAAACTGTGTCCTAATAAACTTCAACTTTGATGAAATTGCATATCAGCTTTTACTCTATAAGAATGATAATTAGGCTTGAAGTACGAGGCGTAGTTGGAAGCTTGTTTTCAGTCAAATCTTCGTCTCATATTGCCATGGCATGAATCTCTACATTATTCCTGGAAATAAATATTCATATTTGAATGCTAAGCAGTTGTATCAGAAATGAAAATGAGCCTTAGACTTTGAAAAAAATTTTGAATCTTTGATATTTCCACACAACTAGGGTAGATCAAAATGGTTCCTATCAGGTTAGAGGGGTAATAACTGAACATGTACACATATCCTTTCAAATAGAAATTCTTAGAACTGAACTCACTTTTATAACTAAGAAGTAGTTTTAGTTTCAGCTTGCAGATCAGTGTTGAATATATTTATCTATATTCACATGCTTTCAAGGTTCCAACATAAATTTATTTAAGCAAGCTGATGAATATTTTTTTTTCAAAAAAGACTAAAGATTAAAATGAATACATGAGAATATATTTTATTCCTAAAATTCCACTGGTAAAAAGATCACGTAGCAAACAAGTTTATACATTTAAATGGCCAAATTTTAATGTCATTAGTTTGGATGATTCTAACTTTTGGTTTTTCACACACAATTGTTTTTCCTTTGCAGAAACAGGCATTTATCTTGATACCTCAGAATGTTTTACAGTTATGACATTCTGCACCCTCGTTCAGGCAAGCTGTCCATTTTGTGGCTAGTTGCCACTGGCAGCTTCAAGTATGACAAGAGACAGGATAAAGACTTCAATAAAGTCATCAATGTAAATGTACCCAGATCTTGGTAAGAATATGAATGTATCCCTTCTAATGAACTATAAGTATGTCATCTTGGAATGATAGCACTTGCCAATAACATTTGTGATCTCAATAATTAGGTACCGGGTACCTATGTCTATATTGTTGTCTTAATGTCAATAATTACGTACCTATGTTTAATTATATTGTTATTGAGTTCATTGTAATTCATTGTCCAGCTCACAAATTCTGAAGCATGTGCAAATCAAGAGAACTGGTGATGATGAGAAGCCCAGACATCTTTCCTTGTACCTCTCGTCTATGCTGATGTATGGGGTTGTGAAGATCCATGAGAGACAGGTTCTACTTCTTTACCGTAAGTTTATAATTTAGTGGTCATTAATTGAACCACAACTGTTGTGTTCAAGAATGTTCCAGCATTACGGTATGGCAAGCAGTTACTTGCTTTTTCACCCTCATTTGTTCTGAAGCTCCTCAAATAATTCCCTAGTATAATGATAATACTTCACAAATTTACTCATTTTATGTAATATGCTCTACAGTGAGGCAATCAAAACGAGTCTCATGTTAACCAATGCTCTTAGTCCCACTCCCACATCTTCTTGTTTTGTATGAAACTTTTAATCAAAGTTATGATGGCAAGTGCATAATTTTTGTGCAAGAGTGATGATGTTGCATAATTCAGTGATTCTCTTTCAGATGAAGCAGTCGAGTCCAAGATCCGGCTCTGCCAGAACAGGATTCTCATTGACCTTCCTGAACACCACATAGCTGCTGTGCTTCAAAGTGTTGAGCCCTGTGGCCCTCTGCTATTGGCCCCGTGTGATGTGCTCCCTGGAGCAATTGAACTTGATCCTGGGAATATTTCTCCAAGGAGTAAGATATTATCTCATGCTATTTGTTTCAATGTGTATTTCATTTAGGTATCTATTCATATTTCTAATACTAAGTACTCATTGCATTGTCTTTATTTGGATAAATGTTTGCTTAGCTGACAACATTGCATCTAATGATAATCATCTATGTTGTGCAAACACCAAAACAGTTGATAGTTCTTCTTATGCATGGATCTTATCTCTACCTTTGAAGGCCAAAAAATAATTATCTATTTAATTTTTAAATGATTGAAATTATACCACAATTTTTGGTACAGTATATATACGTTTGGCTAATTAACCTTGTGAATTAGGACCATTAAATTTTCTTTAAATCATCATTCTACTTTAGCTAATAAGTTAGACATGACTTTGTGGTTTGGACCTCTAATTTTTATGTAAATTTTTGGACACTGTTTGTACCTCTGAACCGATGTTCTTATTATGATTAAAAATTGTTTTTCCTTGTCTGATCAAGCAGTGTTAACAATTTGAAATGAACAATTAAGATTGCGAGATGGCTTTGCTATTTCAGAGATGGCTCCGGGAAAGGGACCGCTGGAGTATGATAGTCTCAGGCAGCTTACTTCGGAAAAGTGTGTATAAATTTGCTGTTATTCTTATGTATGGTGGAAAATTTTTGCCATTTACCATTTTTGTTCCTTTCGGTGATTGGCTCATTGCTGAGTTTGGCTTGGAAAAGTGCTCGTTTCTCGCGTAATTAGTATAAATAATTGCTACCGGTAATCATGGTCTGGTAATTTCCTTCCATCTCTTAAAAGTTACTTGGTATTGTTTCTCAATTGTTGGTTAAATTATTAAGCATTAAATTATTTTCAGCTGACTATGTTGTGGTGATTTTCAAGTCAGTTGTGACCTTAAATTTTTTGTTTTGCCCAATGCTCAATGCACTATGAACTAACATAAAAAATTACATCATTACCTTTTAACATTGTTAAATTGCTAAACGAATTGATGTTCTATATTATATCACAGATCTTCGGGGATGCAAACGCTGCAAATGCTAGAGGAGGACTGGGAGCACCCAGCCCACGTCTCCGGCCCTCACTCTGTGGCTCACTTGGACGACATCACCATAAGAGAGGTCAGAGGCCGCCATTGCTGCTAACCATACGTAGTCTTGCTAAATTAGGATGTGATCTCTAATTTCTGTGTGTAATTTTCACGATCCAGCAATTTTTGGCGAATATTTGAGACATGATTATTTAAAGAATTCAGTGTTTTCAAGGTTTTCTTTGATCGTTACCTCATCTCAAACCCAGCTTTTATTTTGAAAGAGACACTCGTATGGATAGTCTTTTTCTATATCCATATTATAATTTAGTGCAGCTTCATTCTCATATAGTATATCAGTATATGACAGCCAGTAATGCGAATCTCGAAATCCTGACTATTGTAAACATTAGCTGAGCATTTCTTCAAGCTTTTACCTCCTGAAAGTTGAATGCAATACATGCACCCTCACATGTTTTGGCTTCTTATATTGTCCTTTCTTCATTTACTTTAATGTGTCCTATCGTATGACTGACAGCTAAGTTTGGACTGTACATCAATTGAATTAATTTTCACATCTAGTTTTTTTTCGCGTCTCCAATTGTTTCTTCCGTCGTTCTGATGTATAAGAATGAGCGACAAACAACGTCGCCTTTGCTTGACAGTTTTTGCGTAGTGAATACTGCAAACTTCGGCAACAAGACTAATTTTTCTTTTCTGAACGTACATAAATTTTCACTAGAATTCCAACTTTGGAGCTACACATGGTATTCGATTTCAAGGACGACTCTAATGTGTGCTTATATCGTGCTTACATTGTAGGGATGGAGTGTTGTTGGCTTAGGCAACGACATCTCATAGATATATTTTTATGCTTATGTACAGCATAAGATTTTATTTACTGCTTCATCTATTTCCACTTCAGAGCTTGCAGAGTTTTGTTGTTGTTCAACCATATTCTGGTTGCAATATTGAAGCTCGTCTTCTGAAATTACATGCGATGTATTAAATCGAAGTTTATTATTCTGTATGGATTTGATATCTATTGACTTTCATAATTGCAGGTGGACTTGCGCCAAGTTCCTGTAAGCTTGCCTGCAGAGATAGATTTCGGGCCGCCGTTCTCTGAGCTGCCTGAAGATTGGATGAGGACAGGGATTCGTTCTGCCGTCCCTGAAATAACCCTGACAGCCCCTGATGTGCCTGCCCCTGATGCGCCTGCTCCTGATGCGCCTGCCCCTGATGCGCCTGCCCCTGATGCGCCTGCCCCTGATGCGCCTGCCCCTGATGCGCCTGCCCCCTGATGCGCCTGCCCCTGATGCGCCTGCCCCTGATGCGCCTGCCCCTGATGCGCCTGCTGTCCCTGAAATAACCCTGACAGCCCCTGATGCGCCTGCCCCTGCCGCTGCTGTCCATCTTACTGATGCCGTGCCCAGCGAAATGGTCACTCCACTTCCTCCTCGCCAGGTGCCTCTTCTGTTTTAACAAAGCATTGGCGCTTAGTCGGAAAACGTTCTTAGTTTACAATAGCGTTCAACTTTAAGCAAGCAGAGTTATTAGGTAATGGCATATTCCGAAATGAATTGGTGATTAAAACAAGTACCTATTTAGTATTGGTTGCACATGAAGTCGGGTAACCAGTGGTTGAAGTTCAGAGTACCAGGATTGAAGCAGAGAGGCGCGGGTTCTATCCCAGCTCTGTGCGCCAGCTTCTTGTCAGAATCGGCTAGGAGGCCGGGCGGTTAAGCACAGCAAAAATTGAGTAGTGAGTTGTGTGTTTGAGACCACATCAAGCTGTGAATGTTCTGCGATGTTAAGAATCGGCAACAGTCCTACGGCCTAATAAACGCTGAAACCGCTATTATTTATTATTGTTGTTTTCTTGTTTAGGACTCATGAGGCACTTCATTTTCCTTTAAATTCAAACAGGTTCGTTCCAATATCTCAGTGAATTGTATCCAATAATTTAGTTTGTTCCATTTTACTTTCACTTGTTATATCTCTACTGCTAACCGATACAGCATGCGAGTCACCCAGTGATCTTTGAATTGTATCTAATGCACTCAAAATTCTCTTCTGACCTTAGCATTAAACTATAATATTCAACGCTTATTTCCTTGTATGCAGAATGTGTTCAGACAACTGTGCCCTAATAATAGCACGTTTTGTGAGAGTTTACTTCTGAATGATGCACAACCTTCATCAGGTGTACATTGTTCGTCTAAATAGGTGTCCCATATTTTAGTTATTTAAATCCTCGGAACAGGTAATTTGGTAAGTAGTAGCTTTCACATATTTTTTAGACGCTAATTGTTCGACTTTCAAAATTACATTGGAGCACGCTTGTATAAACGACAGCATCGTTCAATATGCTGCAAATCAATTAATTTTAACGCATCGAATAGTTTCATTTCTGTTTCTTACGGGTTCAGTTTGATGCTTCTGATTTTTTCCAGGGAAGGATGGCAGCCCGAAGAAGACTCGACGAGAAGCTGCAGCAAGAAGTAGCTACAAGTGTTGGTCAGTCGTAATTGTGTTTTTCCTTTGACTTACTATAATAACTTTCATTCTTAACTAGACGATTTTTTTTTGTGGGGGGGGGGGGTTGTGTGAACGACGTGCAATGCCTTCTGCGGGACGGTTGCGGGCGCAGGCTTCTTGTATGTGGGAATTTGTACCTTATCTGGAAGTAAATGTTGTGTGGGGATCCCTCATTTTTATTAATAAAAAATCTTATTAGAAAACACCTTGAAAATCTTAGAAAACCTGCCTGCTGACTCACAACTAAAATATATTTTCCAATTATTAAACATTTTGTAATCATCCTACTATATATGTATTGATAATGAAATTTAACCTTACCGTATTATTATTCAGGATTTTTTTGCATGAATAACTTCAAAACGATTTTGTTTTTTATTAGGAGTTAACAAACATTACATTATTCTAATCATAACAGAAGTCGTGCAGTAAATTTCATGGTTCGTGGTGCTTTACGTTCTAACTATTGGGACTGACCATCACGATAATGATTTTACAATTTACGATCATTAAAAATTTTTCAGTTCTATATATTTCCATTGCCGAAACTGAATTCTGTGCTATGAAAGAGTTTGAATCTAGAGGGCGGAGTCAAGAGTTTCAATAAATTTCATTATGACTTCACCGTTTTACTGAATTTGACTGAAATTTTGAATTCCTATCGAGAAGTGACGTCGCTGTTGATGCTCGATAAAGCACATCGTGTGCTATTCACTATTTGTTGCTCTCGCTCCCGACCTTCTCCATATTTTTAAGGCATTTAATTAATTCACATTGTATGTTCTACACCCACAGTGCGCATTCGTCAGCTTCGAACATTCGTTGGTGGTTCGGAATAATTATATGAAAGAACGGAGTATTTATTGATGACCCTAATGAACAATGATGGGTAAATTTTAGCTGTTCGATGTCGAAGTATATCACTTATCCTTCCTGTTCCTAATATAATAGTTATCGATCATGCCGTGGAAGAAAACGCTTTTCGTTGGGTCATTTTGAAAGTGTTTTTGTTTGTATTGGTTCTCGCAACAATTGTAAGACAGCTAGCATAACGGGCAGAGGTGATGTATCTTGCTAGCTCTCATAGTTGTGTGTGGTATTTTCTGTGGGTATTGCAGAAGACGTTCCCGCCGTAACAGAAGCTGCCTCAGCCACTGCTCCTGTTATATCTCCGCCGTGAGTATTCACGTCACAGCCATAGCGTATTGTTTCCTGTAGCACTCATTAACCCCTTCTCAAACTTTTATTTTCACTGTAATATTACTTGAAATTTAAACATCGTAATTTTCGTTGATAATTGTAATTTTTATATTTTAACGTTCACGTCAAGACAAGTGTGGTGGCGATTATTAAATTAACACCCATTCGTGTCTCGCCAATGCCAATTCAAAATTATTTTGAATTATTTGTCTCGCCAATGCCAATTCAAGTTTAATTCGTTTGTTAAGTTGTATAACTTTGGTGGGCGTTGATTGATTTTGAATGGTTCTCCCGAAGACAAACATAATGATATAATTTCGTGAAAATACCAGCACCTGACAAGATTCATGTTTGTTATAATAAAAGATCCTGAATAAAGAAAAATCCTATGAACTGAGTGCCCTTTGAACTCTCATAGTCCGATTCTTTCCTTCGACTTGTATTTACTCCGAATAGCTATCGATTCTATTTGCTTGAAAAAAAAGCACAAAGATAAAATGAACTTGCTCATAAAGGAAATGGTAGTGAGAGCTTTCATTTAAGTAATCACCAGCTTTGAGAGGTTTGCGATCTACTTAAATCTTTCGGGTGCCCTTCCATCCAATTCGGTGCAACAGTTCACATCACTTGTTATATTAAAAGATCCTAAATCATATCAGGATCATATCATATTCAATTTTATCAGTATTCAGACTAGTGCGTAAACTGCAACTAACAGCGCGTTCGACGAGCAGGCTGTTCTCTGCCATCGAGTCAACGCCTGCTGGCGCGGCCGACGCTGTACCGCGCGCTCCGATCAAGCCCAAGCGCCGCACCAGCCCGCTTCTGGACGTCACAGAGGCGCTGCCAGCAGCTCCTGTCATTCCTAAGCGACGTACTCTTATCATGAGCGGCTCCGAGGTTTGTTCAACTTGTACCTACGACTTTCATTAAAATGTTCATGTTAAGGTTTATTCATTTTTACTAAGTAGTGACGGAAACTAGATAAAATGCTATGAGGTTTTTGGTTTCGTGCTTCAGTTTCAGAGGCCAATACGATTACACAAATCTCAAAGCAAGTGTATTGAACTAACGTGTTGTATAAGTATCTTACGTAGTGCATGTAATCGATCTAGAGCAAATCATGGCAAATGACCAAGGTTCGATATTACGTCGTCCTCTTTTTGCCCAGGTTTGAATACTCCTTGATGTTGTCGATAGTTCATGTGAATTATCGACATTCTTGTGTCGGTTATTATGGCGTAGACATAGTAAGCCCTTGTGTAAGTCTAAATTTGACAAAATTCTTGTACGAATATCGTGATTCAGTTGGCTCTCGCGCCCATCGACGCTGTTAAGAAGCCAGCTGCTGCTCGGCGCATTGGCCGTAGACGAGGCATCATCATCGACAAGTTTATCTACATTCCCAGGGAGAAGTTTCGTTTCCAGCTCCAGGAGGGCCATGAGACGCTCAGAGCTCAGGTAAGGCCACCTTGTGTTAAGAAACAGAGAGTTTAGAATTAAAGCCAACCTATAGGTATGGACACCCCTGACGAGATTGGAGTCTGATAGTGATCAATATTGTCTTGAAGTTGCTTTCCATTCCAAGCGATGTGAGTTTTTGCGATTACTCAACCCATATGCACGCAAGTCACCATAAATGGCAACTTGAAATTGCATGACAAGAGGCTCCCACGGTCCCTGGTTTGTGCTTGAATCTGCGTTATCGCGTTTCTACCAATCTTCTTTCTATCCATTCATACATAACATTTCCCACTAACCGCGCTCAGGAATTGAAATATTAACCATTTTATAAGAGTTGTGGCCCACACGCCAGAAATAACGTTTTTTTCTGACCAGTGAAGTCTCTGCTCTGGTAGTTAGTACAAGAACGGAACGGACACAAGACGGAGTATGCAACTAATTTATTGATGCATTAACAAGCGACACTAGACAAAACTAACAACTAGCAATCGCAGACTCTTTATTCTTCGCATTTCGAATTTGCCGTGTTTCCGTGAAGAGTTAATCACTAGTCTTCCGAGATAATTCAAGCTTCATTTTATGATGTACCTAGTAAAAAATCGTACGGATTTCTGATCTGTTTGGTGCAGAATTGTTTTTCTTTACTGTTTTGTATTTGCTGCATTAGATTCTGCATAGCTGTTCCTATATTAAGTGTCTGAAGTGGTCGCACAAATAACTGAATCAGCTATGTCAAAATAAATTTTGGCACTGATATCGGTCTGGTTTTTACAGAACTCACGGGATACTATTGTTGACTAAATTTTGGTACTGATATCGGTCTGGTTCAGTGCCCCGAAATTCGAACCTATTTCGCGGGATACCCCCGCGAAATTGAACTAAAATGTTTGTCTTACCAGTGGCCGTCGCGTCGAATAAAATGAATTTAAATTTAAATCGATATATATAGATAAAATGAATTTAAATTTAAATCGACATATATAGATAAAATGAATTTAAATTTAAATCGACATATATCGATAAAATTAATTTAAATTTAAATCGATATGTATAGATGACGAAACATTCATAACAAGAATGACCTTGTGATGAGTTTAGGACTTCGTAGTCCGTAGTCAAGGTGGTAACGGTAAACATTGCCACTTGCTTACCATTCTACATTGCTTAATCGATGTTATCAAAAAAGGCGGAACTTGATTGTCATTTGTCGTTAACTATTTATACAGTAGAAGTTAACCGTAGAACTAAATAAAAAAATGAAGTGCTTGAAAATATTGTATTTGATCCGGTGTACTCCCAATGATATTCTTGTTGTTAGGGAAACTACAATACGATCTTTTCTCGCTGTTTTCTCACTCGTTCGTCTCTCTTGGACTTGGTCGTCCAAATAAGTTGTTGGCATTTTCATATTTCTGGGGAATTGCTTATTTCTATGATAAACCCTGCTTCAATTAATAACATGACCTACTCTACACGTGAAAGTCTGTTATACGATAGGAATTCTAAGGTTTATTAGATGTTTGTATGAATTCGTTGCAAGTGTGTTCTGTAAGAGTGTTAACGTTTCAGGAAGAATTTGTGCGGAACTCATCACGCGACACTACAAAGCAACTGCAGATTTGGATCATTTCGACACTCCCATGCTTCCGCAACGTTCTCGCAAGGTATGCATTATTTCAATATTTGACTACCAGCATTGCAACCTAATTATTTTCAGTATAATGTTTTCATATATTTTGCATAGTCGTATTTTTTCTATTACATGTATGTCGTATTATCTTTTTTAATTATCTCTATTGTACGATTGTATTCGCATAGCCAGAGTTACTCAAACCACGTTTAACATCAAATGTTGTTTTCAAAGGTTTGTTTTTCAATGAATGAAATGCAGTAAACTTCAGATTTCAAGCTATGTCTTATGCTCTTTATAGTAACAATTTGCAAGATTAGTCAAGTGATTATATCAGAATCATTAAGATTGAATCTGAACACGTGCGTCCTGCTCTCTCTCCTACAGCGGGCGTTTGGGGACACGTTTGAGCGTGAAGCAACTGGCAATGACTCGCGCCCGCTGGGTAATTTATCGTCCTTCCAGTCTTCCAAAGACGCTTCCAGGTGCGTTGCCGCGTCAACTTAGATGTGGTTTGCCTCAATAAGTAGTGGAGGTATTTTTCGCCGCTATTCTGGTCTTCTCTGGGTTCTTAAATTTTTATTAATGTATGTAAATCTACACGTTAGTATTACTTGAGATAACGGCAATCCCTTGCTTATGTTTGTGAAAGGGAAGGCTATAATATACTTACCAGAACTGAGTGAGAAACCATTAATTGTTAAAGGTATGTTCAGGCTGTAGAAAATACATAATTTCGAATCAAGTTGTAAATAGCACGTACCCCAACATGCCATGCATATATAGCTTTCCTATTCTTCGCCGCTCTGTAAAATTTATCCCCACCCCAGTTATTTTTTTCGTCTTTTCACTATGCTAACGCTACTTTTTTCATGCCTTTTCCGCTGTCAGGACTATTTGGTGCTTTCAGTTACCTGGCGGTGATCAGCAAATCCCGATTTAACGTCAATTCAACGACCGAGATAATCCGCCTTATTTACGGTGAACTATTTCAGTTTTACTGCTACTAATCATTTAGTCGCTAAGCCACTACGTATTTGATTGTAATTGGTAGTATTTAACATGAAAATATCAAGCATATAATTGTTAACAGTTTGAAGACTCCGGATGTGAGCGCGCTATCCATCGGGAGCGCAGGCGCCGCGTCAGCAAGACCTGCCGCTGCAGCGCCCGGCAGCGCCTCACTGCCCCTCAGACGAGACCCGTCGCTGCGGCCCATCCCTGGTACGTTCGTGCTAGTTACTCGTAAACTATCTCGTCCACGGTGACGTAGGCAGATGAATAAATTTTAATCTACTAGTTGGATCAAATATGTTGAAGGTTGGTCATTTGCTGCCTGCAAAACGGCTGGTTCATCTTCCTCGAATGAAAGATAGGCATCTATCTTACGGAAGTGAATAGATATATGCTGATGCAGCAATGGGTCTTTAGCAATTTTTTATTATAGGTTTGATTATCTGCTTCAAGACAGGAGTCAGTTTCTAGATCAGTGATCCCCGAACTATTGCCGACCGAGGGCCGGTTGATGATCCGTTAACCTCCTTAGCTGCTGCCTCTTAAGGCGCAACATATGCAGGTGAACGAGTTGCAACCGGCGTACCAAGCGTTTGTGTACTTATTTTCTTAAAAAATCTTTTCTGGTTTCGATCGTTTTCCAGAAAATCTTCCCTATAATTTGTGACAAAAGAAAGACCTCCGAAAAAGAGCAGTACATTGAGGCAGTACTGCTCTTTGAGCAGTCCTCAGTGCAGTCCATATTCAGATAGGCGGTTTAAATGCCAGACAGATGAGAAGTGGGAGGTGGAGAGCTGATATAGACAAATGAAAAGAAAGGGTGGGAGATTGAAATGCCAGACACGAGAAGTGGGGGTGGGGGTTTGACATGCCAGACGTAGATGAGTGGTGGTGCCAGCTCCAGACAGCTTCGGCGTCAGAGATGAAATCTCTACACTTCCTCCACGTAATAGAAATACCATACATGGCATGCTGATGCCACTCAGTCTAATTAAATTTTACGAGTGGCTTAATGTAAATCGCGTCGTTGACGAGACCCGCGGGTCGCAAGTTGGACCACTGATCCATATGATCCTTACATTCCTATTGTTTTATCCTTCGCTCGCGAGTGGAATTCTTTGTACCGTGTGCATAGGATCAAATATATTTTAATTCTAATTCACGGTGTTGGTTTGGTTCGAAGGTTTTTAATCACTTACGTGTTCTCTTCCGATATGTGGACTTTTATCTAACTTCAAGTTTAATGATTATCTCATAATTGTTCCAGGTTTTTTGTCTAACTGATGAAATTATATTAAATTTTAGTGGATCGTCTCTAAATTTCGAAGAAAATATTAAATTAACTCACCATATAACTCAAAATTAAACAATATAACTCAAAAAATCCGCAAATGAAATTTTTCCCACTCGTCAGAGGAAAAAGCTACGACTGAAAGCCCATTCGTTGCTGGCCGCGACGAAGATATTCAAGTGGCGGCGATGGAGGACGCTGGAGTCTCGCGGCCCGATGGAGATCGCTCGCCCGCCGTCCACTTTGCTCCTGGTCTTTATGAATCGCCTGCCAGAACCGTCGGAGATCTGGATCTTGCACACCAAGGTATGAGACGTTGAAGTAGTGTCAACAATTGTTTTATTGCTGTATATGTATTCATTACTGATGTTAGGCTTGAACAAAAAAAATTGAGGACAAATTAAAATGAAAAAAAATATGACTATAGGTCCTATTTCACAAGCATGACGGGGCTATTTTTGATTCGCGTACGATAATAAGATAAAATTCGTGTAACATTGAATAGATTTGCGGAAACTGTACTTCAGTCAGAATTGGCATCGCTCTTTTAGATTCCAAATTCTTTACGAAGGAAAGAGTATTTTCTCGCTGTTTTTGTAGCAGATTTTAAAATAATTTTCTTTTGAATGAATTCTGATGATGCATTTTGTAGATAAGAAATAGTAGATAACTAACTTTAAGATTCACAATGCTTTTAACCGGATGTGCCCGTTGAGGACAGATGTACGGACTGTAACGATGGAGCTTGAGGACAGCCTGATGCCGCCACCTGCGGACTTATACTCAGTCGCTACAGGTAATTTCCTTGCCCCGTGCTCGCTAATAATAATAATAATAGCGGTTTCAGCGTTTATTAGGCCGTAGGCCTGTCGCCGATTCTTAACATCGCAGAACACTCACAGCATTTTGCGGTCTCGAACTCGCAACTCACTGCTACAATTCTGCTTTGCTTAACCGCCCGGCCTCCTCGCTGATTCTGACCAGAAACTGTCGCTCAGAGCTGGGATCGAACCCGCGCCAATCTTTGTACTCTGAACTGTAACCACTGGGCCACCCTGCACTCATCAGAGGAAGTGGTTAATTGATAGCACACGCAATTATTGAGCCAGGCTGTTGAAATATATCTCGAGGCTAAATGTTTTTAAAATAGTGGAGATGTTTTGGAGTTAATGCCAATTAAGGCTGTTACTCCCGCGGCACAAAAAGTCATTCCCCATTGCCTTCTGTTCTGTGACTCCTTTGAATTAGTGGGTGCAAAAGTGATCCTACTTGTAGAAAAATACGTTAGTACAGTTTTTATTTCCTGATGAGGTCAGAACATGGATTTATTGGTTAATTCTATTTCTCCTTTGCAAGAAAAATATCGTTTTGAAATTATTCACATTTATTAATATCCCAATTTCGTTGACTTCAGAGCTCTTAAATTTTTCCAAGCATTTTGGATTAATTGCCTTAGTGTTTTCAAAATGTATCCAATCTTCAGCTTCTTTATTATAATCACATAACAATCAATCTGTCACATTTCTCATTTGTGCGAGAAATTTTTAAATCCACAATACTTGAATTTAAAAATCAATTTTACCTCAGATGGCGTCCGGCAGCTCGTCAGACATCGTCCTCGCTCCCCCGACGGAGGCCTGCAGCAACACGTAACCGAGGCAGAAGTTCACATTCAGCCCTCAAAGAAGAGACCTTTGCCTGACATTCTGCCCAGGTAATGAGGTCTTGTGTGTCTCTCACGCAGTAGTGGGAGTTTGAACTGTAATTTTGCTGCGCCATAAGTTCGCTACAGATGGTGATTGATTTTTATATTATTAATAATATGTAGAACATTATCAGATAGCATTTTCAAATTTGTTGGACTAGTGACTTCTGTTCTCAAGCGAAATCATTTTGGTATCCATTCGTTTGTCGGGAGCTCTATGGAACTTCACCATCTAAATGGTCGCCATAAACGCGAGAGTGAGCGCGATCAACTGTTAACGGCTTGCGAGCGCTAATAATGAAAAAAATTATAAAGTAGCAGGCAAAGCTCGGGTGCTAATTATATACATGATTATGGAAAGCCTAATCAGTAACGAGTCCAAGTGAATTGTGTGATGTATCCAGTAAATTGGCTTGGCGTTTTGCGCGCATGACTCAGCGCGTCACTATTTCCACACGTGTTATTTCTTCTTAAATTTTCATCTCTAGCTTTGATTCCAAAAATTTACCGAGCCCTAGCTTCTAATTTTTCATGTTCAGACCAGGCTTCTTTTGATTTGACTTCATAATATTAGACTAAGCTTCTTTAGAATAGAGTACTTATATAGTCTATAAATTATTCTTGTTAGTTTCACTTGGTTTCAACATAATGATTGATAATAGTAATTAATTTAAATGTGTGATTTTGTTTTTGCATTATCACACGACTTCACACGAGTGCTAATGAAAGAAGTCGCAATTATTAATGTCCAACAGTGAGCTGGAAGACATCGCCGATCTGCCGGCTAAAAAGGCGCGGCCTGACGAAGACTTGCTCCCTGACATGCCTGCTCCTCCCGGCCCACTGGCTTCTCCCGCTCGTGAGCTCCGTGATATTCAGTCTAATCCTAGGAATATTTTATGGCTGAATAATTTGTGTAAATTTGAGATATCTAGAACACACTGTTAAGGTCGCACTCGTTCCTCTCATCAAGGCTAGCTATCTTCAGAGATAAATTGCGAGTTAGCGGAGGGGGGTAGTGTATTTCTGCCCGCTTATGCATAAATAAAAATAGCATCAAAAAGTTGAACGGTGCTTTACCGTATAAATACGAGTAACAGTACCTACGCTTTTTAGATGATTTCTACTTAATTCAAATTCACGTGTAATTGCACTTACGTGTAATTGCTATTCACTTGGAATTGCAGTGCCCTCGCCACTCGTAACGCACCTGGAAACGGCGACGCCTTTGGCTGGTCTTGAACGAGAGGATGAACCCATGGATGAGGCACGCGCTCAGTATCCTACCTTCATACCGGAGTCGATGTCCCCGATACCAAGAGTTGCCACGAGGTTTGCTTAAACTAAATTAAAGAACTAATATGTACTTAAAATTGGATGTGTCATTTTTTTCTAATCATTCGGAAACTGATGGAATTTCCTCTATTGTTTATTTTTGAAAACGTTATAATTGATATATAAAATCTCTTCGTCTCCAACACTTGAATTGATGCCATTAAACAACTTCCTAATTTTGTTCCTTATTTCTGCTCTTTTATTGGTCTATCGTATTAATTAAAAGACAAGTTTGAGAGACTCGAGTATTCCGTTTAGTTATTGAATTGCATGCGTCTACTAACGAAAATATGTGACTCGGGCATTTGTGAGATGACAGTTGCGTTTTTATATTATTCAACATTGATTATAATTGCTCATACGACTTCCTTCATTTTAGTTAGATCATCTCATTTTTAGCCCTCATAATTTGCATTTTCGCATTCATAATGCCCTCATTCATAATTTGCATTCATTATGCCCTCAATAATGCATTCATTTTTGCCCTCATAATGCAATGATCAAATTCACTGTCACAATGCTATAATTCGCCAGCCTCTCGCCTCCGGTGCCTACGAGCATTCGAGCCGAGATGTTGCTGCAGCAGCTGAAGGATCAGCATCAGGAAACTCAGTAAGTTGTTTCTAAGTATAGAATTTTCTCGGAGATATAGAAAGAATACATGTTTCTGTGAATTTGCACCCGAACGTTCCAGTTGTCTCCGAACAAATTAATTCTAATTCGCATTGAAAGGTTGTGATGAGAAATTCGAATCTGATGATTCGCTTGTTTTCAGAGAAAGGGATTCTGAGGCATCGCGGGCAATATTGTTCTCGCAGCTTCTACCTCCAAGAGCAAGCAGACGTGTGGTGGCTACCAGGTTCATGGCGTTACTGGGTGAGTGCCAGGTCCTGGAGATATTACTCATTCCCTAAATTACTGGAATATTTTTTAAAGCTTACTGAAATTTCATGAAAAGTTGCGAATTGTTGTAATTTTTTTACATTTATTCAAGATTTAACCGCACTTCACATTTATTTCAAACTTATTTATTTTTTAGGTTTTTATTGTTGGGGATTTTTTCAAGTTCAAGTTGAGAGGATACATTTTAGCAGAATACTAATGATCACAATTAATGTGCATTACAAGAGTCATTATCTCACAGAAAGGAAACGCGTTTCGTTGTAGCTATACTTTTGAGCAACCTGTGTTGCGATGCGTTTCTTTGTCGCTAGACTGTCCAATAGTTGTGTCTCAGCGCGTTCCGTTGTTGCTATGAGCTGTGTCACTGAATGGGGTCAACTGAAAGGTCTGCCTTAAGGTAGTGTAACAGGATTTCACGAGTATAGTAAGTAATTTCTATCTTATTTTCTAATGCGTTACAGAACTGCACAAGCAACAGAAAGTATTTCTGTCGCAAGAGAAGTCGTATGCGCCTGTCTATGTGCGTGTGCTGACGGACATCTGAAAGAATACTTAGCTCTGCAGCAGCATGACCGACGTCAGGGATTTTGAGTTCAAAACAATGGTCATCAGTTTAATGTCTTTTCAGCTAGAAAGTTCGTTGTGTGATTTGACGCCGATTTGTTGTTTTTTTTTCAAATCGAAGTAACTAGTCAGTATTTTTTCGCTTTGCTGTTTTTATTTCAGTTTTCAATCAACCAAGGAATACGTGCAATTTGAATAATACATTATGTGGTCTCAAATCATTACACAAAATAAAAAATTAATTTACTGTTCATCTAAATATATATCCAGATTAAGCAGAAAATTTAAACAGTAACGTAAGATGCACAAAAGATTTAATAATTAGCTTTTGCGTATGATATGGTCACGGTTTTCACTTCAGTTCTTACACTTTGCAAATAATAAAGTTGAAGGTCGCAATAAGCTAATGATTGCACGTATTATCATTAACTAATAACGTTAGATATCGTTGCTCGTATTGTATTGTAGTTGACGAATTTGTAGTTGTAGACGCACAGTAGACTTGACTTAATGTGCAGTTGTCATTATGTGTTATTAGTATGATTTCCAATAGAACGGAACATTTTTTGTATCGTTACGTTACACTTCGTTTATTTTATTTAGAAAGGATATATTGGTTACACGTTTCGCTTTTTATGACTCAATATGTAGACGAAATTCTGTCGGATTATTCTAATATTTTCTATGAATGACCTATTGAAGTTCCATTATATTTTCATATCGAAAATTCCATGTATGATTATCCCAACTAAAATGGATTACACAACACGGGTCTCTCCAACCTTTCCGAGCCTGAGGGTTGCAAGCGATGGAAAATGATATTTCATTGCAAAAATTAAGAACGTGCATTAAACGCCCTTCACGACACTACGCATATTGTTATGGCTGCTACGCTGCTTTGAGAATAAGATTGATGTTGACAAATGATTGTACTATGCCGTTATTCTTAACCTGCGCTTTCCTCTCATGGACCAGACGCCTAGCGTTGGGCTCGGAATCTCGTACCATTTTAGCATTTGGGTCCAGAAGGCCTTCATGTTATTACAAATTTCATAGAGCACTAGGAAAGGGCCCACTTGACGTTTTAATGTCGCCGTTTCTTTTTGGTTTGTTTAGTTATTGACTTTGTGAGGCAGCGTTATAGGCACTATGTTGGGGCCATCTGCTTTGAATGATGGAAATTAAGATCTTTCCCCATGACCTGCGACGAAATCGTGACTGCAAAGTTTAAATATGCGCTGCAAAGAAAGCAAGAAACTTCCTTACTTGGCTGGGTTAACTCTACCAGTTTCCAAGGCAAAAAATTTTAAATTCATATATACCTTAACGATAACGAATAGCAATTGAAACCCTTCATAGTTTCGAATTACGCTTGGATATGACAATTCTTAAACACAAGTGCCCTTTATCAATAATTCAACTGATTCATGATAATAATATACCGACTGAAAAATAATTTTATTATCTAGTATAAATAGTTCACATGTAGCCTTAATTTAAAATTGCTTTCTTCCGTTAAGTAAACCGGCTGGTGAAGCGTCCAATCCTTGTGTGTTCTCAACAGTTGAACTTGACCGGATTTATATTTGTAACAAAATCAAAGCAAGCGTAAAAAACGTGTCAATCGTCGATAAGTCTTTAGCCTCCATACAAACATTTATATATGTAAATGACGGCAGAGAAAAATTCATACAAATACATTTCCTGGCCAAAGCTCGGATAGAAACTGGCAAACGAATGATTTTTGGCTCCTTGCGTCAAGTTGGGGCCATTTGAAGCGTAACAAGAAATGGCATGGCTCCAAGCTTTGCCGAAAGAGGAGCCACTAAGATTTAATGGGTAGGGATGGCACTTCTCTCCTGTATAAACATTTTGAAGTATTGTGGAAACTGCATTCAAAACTAATGATGCAACGTAGAGACTTGATCACAGAAATTTCCCTAATCGAAGTCATTTATTACGCAAAGTTCCACTTCTGCCTTGCCTTCATATTTCTAGCAACATAACAGGCTAAGTATTGGATATAATATTGTAGATGGGCGAGATCAACTAGCGTAAGCCATAGCATCTATTTCGCACGTAAGTATGAACCGCTGTAATTTCTGCTTCCCTAGCAAGTTTCACACATATAAGCTTTATAAAAGCTCTCACCGTTACCGTAAGTACCAATGCAACAGAAAAAGCCCTTCGAAAAAATGTTCAGTCATAATGCGGCGAAGGATAGTGTAATATAAGGCACATCGCACACGAGAGATACACGACAAAACCTTGATTCAAAGACATAAGCTAAGCTCTTCTCCAGCTTGCTTGGCATAATGATGCAATTTTATAAATCCAGCAGTAAGATCCAAACTTTTTGGTTCCTCATTGCATTAATATCGCCTTAGTCCCAGAAGTGCAGACTTTTTTTTTAGCTATGCCCTTACAACTGAGCTGGCAATACCACACCGCATAGCAGCTCCCAAAACCAAGAGGTTGACTAGTTACAACAAACTTATCCTAGAGTACGTAATTCTCTGAAAACTACCGAGAATGGTGAGCGTAAACATTAGAAATAACAATATAGGTACCTGGGCAATATTCGTGAAAAATAAATAAAATTTAAAGATAACACTTCTGGAGTAATAGCTCGAACTCGTAAAACCTTACCTAGACATTAATTGTACACCACAGCACAAAAAAAATAAAGGACTATTTACTTCCTGAATGACAGACAGTGTGGTATTCACGTCAACAACGCTGCTACGACGTGAGAGCAAACCAATAAGGTTAGAAAACTATCCCACACTGAGATCCCGAGAGGCTTCACAAGGAGCAGGGCTGGTGCTGCGTTACCTAAATGTTGATCATCTCGTCTTCAGAATCCGATGGGACCACGTTGAGCGATTGGTAGCACTGACGCTTCAAGTCGATTGCATGAGACCGAACCTGCGCACGATAGCGAAAATTTATAGTGTGGTTCGCACTTGAGATTCTCCATTGATGACACTAGGAATTAAGAACAGTTAGGCAATTTTTCCTGGCGAAGAGATGGCTGCAATATAATGTAGACAAAACTTGATTCATCAGATGTCAGGGCAGCGCATAAGCATTGAAACTAGCACATTAGCTAGTAAGGAAATTCGTACGGTAAGAAAACAGCACTGTCGATGTAAAATAAGCTGATCCTACTTTCATAGGTCAAAACTTATTCGTCAGTCTCATCGACAAAAAGTCTCAAACTCCAAGTGTACGCCAGCTAGTATAGTGAGCAAGAAGCAGAGTTAGTTGATGAAGAATTAAGACGGAACAGGGCAAGAGCAACAGGAACAAATAAGGGACAGGCGAAGAGTAACAAGAACAGAGAAGGGACAGATGAAGTTCAACAGAAACGAAGACAGAAGGTAGCTTGGAGTAATAAGACAAACTCGCCTCTTGATGTGTGAGGTTGCGGCAGAAAAATGGACGCAAATATTCCTTGTCGAGTTTCAGGAAGCCTCCAAGTTGCTGGTGTCCGTTCAAGATAGCAACTCTGGGCCCTTCACTGCTCTCTTCTTCCGTCATTTCCGACATGTGTTCCGAGTCTACAGCTTGTCCCTACCGAACAATAAAGTTAATTTCAATCAAGGTTTTGTGACCTAGTAAATTTCGAAATTCAAGACAAGTTAGTCTAAAAATTTTTAAAATGTAACCGTCATGCATTTGTAACCACCAACGATTTTGTTCCAGAAAGAAGTGGCTGTTTTTGAGATCAATATAAAAAAATTATTTGAAATTATAACAGATTTGGCAGTGCCGAATTTACCACACCGATTGATGTCAAGAAAAACTGATTTTTTCAGCATAAGATCACATTCATGCCTCACCCATTCGCGTGTTTTACTCAGCGTCAGAGTCTTCTTCTTCCGCACTTTCTTGATGCTTTTCTTAGCGTCCACTTCAACATACTGAAAAAAGTGATAGTATATTTAAAACAATATGGACGCAATCATCCATTGTGAACCTTTAAATACAATTACTAACATGACAATATCGACTGAATAACGAGAGAATTATCAATAAAAATATATCAACCCAGGTCTCCTATAAAATGCAGTTTCACACTGACTCAGAAAAAAAAATTCATGAGCAAATTCACCAAGATTTCTGAATCACAAGCGAGTTAAGTTATGCGTACTGAACTATTGAGTAGTCATATTAACAAAGCAAGGGCACTTCCCGACTTGTGTTACCTTAATTAGCGGTACAACAGAGCCTCCCAGGATGAAGATGGTGAAGAGCACGATGAAGAGCGCAGTTGTGACGAGCACTCGACGCTTCTCATCGCTGAACTCCAGGTGAAGGGACAGTGCATACGCGATCGCTCCTCTCAAACCTGAGTCAAGATGTTGGTGAACCCAGGATAATTTAAAACCCCCATCAACTCAAGTTTATCAAGAGTGAGGAAATAATATTTCTAGCAATACAATCACGTTTTGACTTTTATAGCTCTATCAATAAACATCGCTAACAATATTTATAATATTTCATTCCGAGTTTGTGTTCAAAAATTTAAAATCTTTACACCTAATTAAATTTACTATCGTGCTTGATAATTGTCGCTATCACAACCTACTTTTTTGCTACGATTAGTAAATCGTCTACAGAGAGCATTAATAGACAGACTCAACACTGAACTACATGACGAACATCATCTTGGGGGTGATGGGGAGGTCACCAATGAGTTGACTTACTCACCACTGAACCACATGACGAACATCATCTTGGGGGTGAATCTTCCTGGGGGTGATGGGGTGGTCACCAATGAGTTGACTTACTCACCACTGAACCACATGACGAACATCATCTTGGGGGTGATGGGATGGTCACGAAATTTATTCACAAGGCACGCGAGAGGAAAGATGTTGCAGGCTCTGGCGACGAGGCAGAGAACAATGCTCCAGCACAGCAGCGCCACCTGAAACTGTAAATTAGGTCTTTATTACCTCTTTATATTAATTATGGATAAAATAATCATTGAAATAGAAACATTAGCAACAAACTTGCTAATTGCTTTTGCTTCCATAATTATGGCGTGAAGCGGTAACCTTGTGAAACTTGAAACACTCAATTCTCTGATGTAAAATAGATATTTCTCATATTTATTAGAATCCAAAATTTCAATTGACTATCAGTACAAGTAGCAGAGTTCGTTTCCAGAAATCTAGAGTAATATAAAGCTGTAATTCCTTAATGTTTCAGCACCAGATCAACACAAGTAAAAGTGAAATCAAATCTGGCTACCCTCTACAACCACCACAATTCATAGTCTGGGGAAAAATTCAGTTGAGAAAAACTTTCCTAAACAAACACCCGCTGAACCAAATGAAAACAATTAATCATAGAGCACTCAAGTTCTTGCAAATTTACATGGAAACGCATTCATGCAGAAAACGTGAAGCACCAGTGACCTCGAAGTGATTAAAACTTGCCCAGAGGCAAATAAGATTATTGAATAAAGTGAAATTTGACATTAGCTGGTGATGCAGTGCTTCATGAACGCAACACAAGTCCTCAGGATACAAGAAAAAATTAGGAAAACGTTTCACACACGAAAAAAGAAACGCCAAGTCACACAAAACCTCAGACCTCATCAACATGGACTAACTATTCTAAAAAAATTCAGAAACCTCAAGATGAAAGGATAAGTTTTTAGATGACATAGAAAAACAACATTAGCCGAGCCATAGCACATCAATACTTATGCAAATTTTGTAAGACCTGACGATAGGCAAACAAATTTTGTCCCAAATATTCCCTATCACATCTTGAACTATAGTATGATAAAAAAACACAAAGATTTATTCTGCAGCGAGTGAGTACTTCCAGTATGGTGGACTCTTCGTTTGTAATTAATCCTGCTCACGATAAAAAGCTCGATTATGCCAAGTGTGTACCTGGTGCTGGAAGCTGAAGAGCGCCATGCCGAGGTAGATGAAGACGATGCACTCGGAGGTGAAGGCGAGCGTGCGCATGAGATGCTGAACTGTGATTTGCAGCACAGGCGACAAGTTGTAGTGCGTGTAGTGTGACATCACAACCCCGCAGAACAGAATAGCCATGATCCCTGATATATGGTGCAAAAATGCAAGGCATCATTAAATATGACTGCAATTTAAGTTTACCTCACATTACCATACCAGAGTAAGCGATTCTGTAAAAGATAGGCTGTTTCCTCACAAATCCCGATAAATTGATTTAATACGAGATTAAAATTTGAACAAGTTCAATGAATTTTTAAATATATACAAAGTAATAATCCAAGAGCTTGTTTACTTTGTTCCTATATTCCTCCTTATCGGCATAAGCTATCCATGAAAGTTGTGACAAATTCTGTTATGCATTGCGGTAATCTATTCATCACGACTGATAAATTCCAAATTGCCTTGACTACCCTCGATGATACACATCGAACAAAATCAAGGAAAACTCATAACACCTTGCATCTAATTTCAACTCACCAGAGAGATGTATTCCTTCGGCCAGAGCATAGGGAGCATAAATGAATATAATGAGGATACAGAGCTCGAGGGAGGTGTAGTCTCTCAAGGCGATGTGCTTGAGAGTGATGGCAGACAAGAGGCCAAAGAAGACGCCAATGCCAGCAGACCCAAGAAACATGAGGCAAAACCGCCACACGAAATAGAGCAGACCTTCCCCAGGACTCATATCACCGTACGAGGCGAGGTCCAACACAGATCTGTGGGGTGTAATGGAACTTGACCTCTTAAAAGTTCGGAAGGAATTCAGCACCAAATGGTTACATAAATAAATAGGCAGTCAAGCAAGCAAGCATTTGAGACTCAATAATGAACTTCTAGCTAGAATAATAAGCATATATAATTTAATCATTATCAAATAACAGCAAAAGGAGGATAATGGCGTGGCGAGTTTTATATTCCAAGTTCACATGTAACATTAGAGCAAAAAAAAACCTACATTGACGTGATGAGTTAGTTATACATTGCACATGTAACACAGTAAAAACTGGACTGACGTGATGAATTATATATTGCTGCTGCACGGTATATATTGCTGCAGCACATGTAACATTGTAAAAATAAAAACTATACTGACGTGGTGAGGTACATATTGCTGCTGCACATGTAACATTGTAACAATAAAAACTATACTGACGTGGTGAGGTACATATTGCTGCTGCACATGTAACATTGTAACAATAAAAACTGGACTGACGTGGTGAGGTACATATTGCTGCTGCACATGTAACATTTAGAAGAATAAAAACTAAACTGACGTAGTAAGAACGATGGCAACCGCGTCGTTGAGGATGCTCTCTCCAAAGACCAACATGTAGAGGATGGGATCCACTTGCAGGGCATTGAACAAAGCCAGTGTAGCTACAGGATCCACCGCAGAGATCAGAGATCCAAATGCGAAGCTTTCAACAAATGTCAGCTGGTATACAACATCTGCCTAAAAACGAGTCACAATTAGCATCATGTGGGAAAACATCTTATAAAATGTAGGCTTAAATATGAGAGGATGTGTCTTCAAGTATACATATAACATGAATGCCAAAAAATAAGGAGAACCAGTAATTAAGATGTTACAAATAATCTTCATAGATTTGTTTTTACACTAAATTTCTATTTAAAAATAAATAAATACCCAACCACCAAATAAATGAAGGCTGATAATCTGTAATTTCATTGGTATTTGATGTCTCCATAACACATTTTCAGCTGAACGAGCATTTAGTTAAGGATGAATATGTAACGTTGAACTTACCTTGCCTAGTAGGTAAATGCCTCCACCTATCACAAGGGCCGACACTATGGTGCCCAGTATGGCAAACACGAGAATGCTTCCAATGTTCTGGAAGAAATTACCCTGCACAGATATAAAAATTCATTTTAGTGTTGATAAGAGGTTATTTATCATTTATGAATTTCCCATTAAAAATAAATTCTTAAACTTTGTTCTTATGAGATATATCAAACAAGACTGTAAAACAGTCTTCTCATGTCACTAGCAAAGGTGATGAAAAAATTTTAAACATGAAGAAACATCAACATGTTAAAAATATTAGCAAAAACCTTTTGCAACGTCAACTTATACAAGTTTAAAGTCTTGGCAAGCATGAGGACTAACACGTTGACTACAATTGCTTCATCTTGTACTATTATTTCATTTTTTGTACTGTTTATAAACAGGGTTACCAGACGGTCATTTTTTCCGGACAAATTCCGTGATTTAGCTTTTCTTAATTGCGTTTGCAGGCTAGAATTTATGATAGGGGTACTTCCTAATTAAATTTTAAATACTGCAAAAAGAAAATAAATGGAATTTTTATAGCAGACCTACAAATAAACTAGTATATATTGAGTTATTGGCCTTTTTGGCCATTTTTTGTTCTCAGATTCGGCCAATTTTAGGCAACCTGAATTATGTACCACTTTGTCCTGGAGAAATACATTTTGTGGTTCGCATATGTACCACTTTGGAGTCAACATGTTAATCAAAAGTGAAATAGAGAATGAAGCAAAGTCAAGTTTATTTGGTGTGACACCTCGACAACATGAGCCTAAGGAGCAAAGATAGCCTGGGAGCAAAACCCAGGACACAACCAAGAAATTCATTACAGGAACCTAACAAATATTATTAGTGGAATCAAAAATATTTTGGTCATACCTTATGCAGATTGTAGCCAGACTCAAAAATAATTGGAGGCAAGAACACCAAAAAGAATATTGTCGGTGAAAAGGCTTCTTCTTTCTGAAAACACGGAAGGACAAAAAATCAGTCAAGATTTTAAGGTCATTTTGTCTGTTTGAGAGATTGGGAAGCAATTCAATGTAGCAACTAAAATAAACATTATAGTTTACATCAATCACAAACACACTGAATTATTTATTAGAAGTCATCCCTAGAAAATTACCTGGAAATTGGCAATGTTTTGACTGGAAAGAATCTTCAGCACCAACCCAATAAATGCACCTGAGAAAAATATAACACACGATAAAACCAAGACATGAAGAATGATACAATGTTTGATTTTTCTAACACAAACAAAAAATAATATTAACAGAAAATGAATGAAGCAAAATGAATTGGAGAATAAATGAATTATAACATGATCATGTGAAATCTGGTGCTTTCAATAAGGTAATATACTTCTTAAATTGAAGCTTTTTTTTTTGTCAAGTGAATTCAACAGAAACAATTTTAAATAATTACCAGTATATAAACCCAGGTACCAAAAAATCCAGGATCCCATGAAGGCTTTTATAAAGAACCCTTAATTTGAGAATAATCCTCACCAACTATGACGCACGCCACACTTTCAGGGAGATAATGCAGCTTGGTCTTCAGCATGAAGAATATGAGTAGAACACACAGCCCTGAAACAAGAAAAATAAACATGTTTGCCTTTGCATTTCTATTGCACTATGCAATAAAATAGAATATTTTTTTTTACCATATTTGTTCTATTTTTAAAGGTCAATACAGTTTGAAAAAAGATAAAAAACATATTACGCGAGTCTTCTTTACAAATCCCCCAAAATTAATAATAAGCTTTGACATTGTGTATTTCTAAGGTTGAAGCTGAAATTTTTCTAACAATTGTGTCATACAGGGAGAGAAAATAGCTTGAGAAACAGTCAACCTTAACCACACCAAGTTATCTAGTAGAGATATGGTAGTTTATCAAGGTGGGACTAAAGAAGCCCTATCTGCATTGATTATTTTGCAGGAAATATTTATGTTCAAACAGGAATTATCATCCAAAACCTCAGATAGGTTTTTTGGGATTGAGATTTCAGCAATTTACTGTAGCCTGTAGGTAACTTCTTATAAATTATTTTAATTTTCAAAGTTAGACTTTCCAAGGTAAATAATTAAAATGTTTTTGATTGCATTTTTTAAAACAACAGTGATCGTATTTTTGTAACGTCACTGAAATGAAAAGAAGTCTGGATCCTGTTAATAGTTCAAGCTGTAAAAATATTGTTCGATCATTCAAGCAATAAATCATGACATAGCTAATGGGATCAAGTATACCAGTTTTTTCTGATTTTAGCAGCAATGCTTTGGGAAAGTAACAGTAATATTTCATCTACTAAGGTTGCAGAAGAAGAACATAAATCCCCAGTATATAAGATTTTATTGTTTGTAATCAGAAAAATGTAACCAAAATAAGCCATACCTAATATGCACAAGATGAGAAAGATTGATAGTGAAGACAGATGCTCCTTTTCAGCAGCACCAACTGCTGGCAGATCCTCGCTTTCATTGCATGAATCGGTGAGATTACCAATGAACTCATTCCTGTGTGGGGGTGAAGGATCATATTTTAATTGCACATTTTAATTCTAAGTACCTTACCGACATAAATATTGGAGATTTTTATTTTGACGACTGTGATCACAAAACAAAATTTTATAGCTCACCAATGAGAATTTTTCATACTTTACCTTTCTGTGTCATCAACTGATGCTGGCAAGCAGTGTTGTGGATAATACTGGACCAATTGACGGACTGAGTCTTTGGACAGCAAGCATGCATTGCCAAGTGTAGTGTTCCCAACTTTGAGGACCAAGGTCTGAGATGGAGCTGTTGTGATAGTATCCTGTTCATGACCATTGTTCAGTTGACTGTTGATATTAATAGTCACTGTGTTATCCTGGTGTTGCTGTTGAGCAGAAAGTTCAATTGATTTGATAGGACCTTCATTAGGCTTAATAGACTGAGGCAAGATGCCTTCTTGTTGCAGTTCTGGTTTGACCTCACTCAGAGTTACTGATGGAATTTTCCCATTCAAGTTGATGAGGCTAGGATCCCCATTTCCTGCTGCTACTTGATTGTTTGTCAGAGTGTTGATGTTCACTTCAGCTTTCAAGGTTTCATTTGCAGATGCCTGTGCAATTTATATGGATATTAGGAATAACATAGAATTCGTATGTCAGTTTGTCAGGCAATTTCTGAGGTTCCCCTGATGATCTATCAAAACAAAATTTGGCATCGAATTAAAATAAACTTATAGAAAATATATCTAACTTGTGAAACATTATAGATAGGTACTAAGAACCACATTGAATCACTTACCTTGGCAGGATCCTGAGAAATAGCTGTTTGATCTTCAGCTTTAATTCTTGGTAAAATGACATCCCTGTCTTGGCTATCCCCTGAGGTCTCTCCTAAATTTTTAGTAGAAGGTGCCAAACTTAGATTGATTTGTGAAATCAAATAAAAAACAACAAATACAATAGTAAAAACAGTGTGCTTCTTCATGATTGAGTTCTGATTTGAGGCTTCATGATATTTTTGGCATAGGTATATACTTCTCTTCAGAGGGAAAATTCAGGGCACAATGGCATCTACAAAAACCTCATGACTTGGCCAAAGATGTAGAATTTTTATATCTGAGCCTGCCAAAAAATTAGAATTGATTAAATTTTCTAATGACTTGCAGAAAATTATATACGTATATGAGCACCTGAAGAATGATTTGGTGGATTGAATTACATCATTCTTAGAAAACTGGCCTGACAATTGTAATATGAGGTTGTCTTAATGTCAAGTAAAACATAATTTGAGTAGCTCAAAAAATTAGTCCTTTATCCAGGATAAAAAATTATCAAAAATAATACCTTTCCTTCTCACCTATAAATGCATTACGAATCAACTTCTTAAACTTTCTTACAGGAAAATCAACATATTTGGTAAAGTGAAACTGCTGCTTTGAAGGTGCCACTTATCCCAAGATGTGTTTTAGACTACCGTCAACCGGGGCTACTTGGGACAGTTTTGAGTGTTTTTTTGTTAATAACTGTTAATAACTTCTTATGATGAAACATTTCATAAACAAGTTTAGGCTTATTTTATAGCTATTTTCTAGGGCTATCGAATGACATTGTCAAAAAAATTCCATATGCTATTCATAAGGTGCCAGAAGCAAAAAAAAAGTGTCCCAAGTAGCCCTGTCAAACGGGGCTACTCGGGACACTTGGATTAAAACTTCGTTTTATAACATTTGAAGCATGCAGAGTGTACTCATCCATTACTAACAGTACTCTGAAGTCCTCCTCTTTCATTGTAGATGATGTAGAGGCTGTCTCTTATACACATCTAGATGTGTATAAGAGACAGTGTAGAGTCTGAAACATAAAGAAAAAACATAAATAGGCTGTCAAACATAAAATATGTTATATGTGGTAATTTTATATTAACTTCCAAGCCGGTTTATGTTACCCATCAGGGCTGACATTAGGTGGTCTAAGTTACCCCATTTGGGGGCGGCGCCCCCCATTTGCAAACTATGGCACTTTCCTAAAATTTGTCATTTGCATATGTAACTAGAAGAGTTCTACTACAATGCATCAAAACCTGGAGTTATTTAACCAAAAAATAAAAAAATGGAGGGGGTACTCTGGCAGGCTTTAAATAATAGCTTTTTTTGTGGGTCACATTTTTAATTTTTTAACCTATTAGATATGCAAACTTTTTAAATCTTTCTATTGTGTTATGTAGCCTCAGTATTAGGCCTTTAATGCCCATTGACAAAATTTTTCTATATCAAATAGTTTTCGAGTTGTGGGGGTTTTTGTTAAAAAAATGAAAAGTGGTCTAAGTTACCCCATTTTACAGTAACTTTCAAAATAGCATTTTTCACCATTTTTTTCAGGAATTTTTCAACGCTAGTAAATGTAGTATTTTTCAACTTCCTTTATACTACATAGATAGGAAAAATGTTGACCTTTACACCACTATATTTAGTTTTGCAATATTCCAATTAGTTTTGATACTATAACAGTTTTACGCCGTGTTGGAGGACTGTCCCGAGTAGCCCCCCCTGTCACGAGTAGCCCCGGTTGACACTTGACGGTACTTTGAGCCTCTGGCCACTGCATTATTCCAGCCGCAGCTGGACCAGTGACACCGGGATTGGGCGCGGGGCAACAACAACAAGTCAACAACTAAGCCAAGTCATAACTTTTTTATTTCAAACTTCACACAGATTTTGTTTTCTGGACTGCACTGAGGAGCCATGTGCAGAGAGTGGATGAATGTTTCACCATCTTTGGCGACGCTTCAGTAGCAAAATTTACGCCTTCAGAAGATCTTGCTGACACATTTAGATTGTAATTCTTGCATTCAATATATTTGTCAGTCTTCGGCCAACTATTTAGAAAAGAGTAAGGTTTCCGGTACGTTGGATGGATCAGGATGCAGTAAAGCTTGTCCGGAAATCGGTTGCGATGAGTTCCTGCCAAAAAATGTAAACAAAATGTAGTAGCGGTCACATTAGAGCGGTCAGACTGCATCATCACATGTTCAGTTGACACTTGCTCTACAATCGGACTGTTTTTAGGGTAAAATTAGTTATTTGGGGTAAACCGTGCATGCAACCTTGTAAATAAGTTCGTGGCTTGTAAATAGTTTTTCATTTCTCAGCGTAAATGGCTTTTCATTAAAAATTACACGGCGACGCATCTTGAAAATGGTTGGCGACGCTTTGCGCTTAAAAACCCATATATTGGCAATGCTGCTTCCACCTTCTGCACCTGGGCTGAGGAGTACCATTTTATTCAATTTAATATTTTCTTGTTCATCCTGCCGAAATAATGGCAAATGGCAATTTTTGCATCCTAACCCACCAGACACCTCCACCTGTGGCAGCAGAGTTCTTGATGACAAGGCATACAAATCTATTATCCATCTGAAATGACAATTTTTTTCCACTAGGGAATCTCTCATGTCTGATGTCCTGCAATTGATTTTATACATTCAAGTCTGAGAGTCTCCTGTTATGACTAGAATTTTGCTTCATTTTCCTTTTGTAAATTCAGAATATCTGTAGGGTAAATGCAGTATATTCCGACACATTAAGGATGCATCGAGAAATGAAAAACTATAAAAAATAACCGTATGCGTTACTCAAGTTCTGTTTGCTTTATGTGACTCGCAAAACACCGTACTACGCGCCAGCAATTATGAAACATCACAAAATGTTGCCAAATTTATTTAAAAGCCTTTAGAATGCAAACCTACCAAATCCCAATATTCCGACACTGTGTGGCAATATTTGGCACGTGGTGAGGCGTATTCCGTGGTGAGGCATAAATTCTACTGATATGTAATTCCGTCATCCACGTATTTGAATTCCGTTTGCTGTGTGAGCTGTATTGGAATACAACACGTCTTTGAATTAGAACACTAATGAATATTGAACACTACTTAATTACGCTTTCAATTAACAACTATTAAGCTTTTAATTGAGAAAATTTTAATTTTTGTACATAGCTTGGAATGGTGTGTGTCCAATTCAAGTTGTGACGGAATTAGTTTTCATGTGTCTAAATCCATTTCTCAACTTAATCATCTATTAATTTATTTACCACTTGAAATCAGCGAATACAAGTATACTTAAAGGATTCCCACTAATATATTCACAGATGTATTTAAAAGTCTCAAACCATAATATTCTTCCTATACAAACAGTTAGGTATTCACTATTTGGTAGAGCAAGGTCAACTGTCAAATTTGACACATTTTTCGATGATCTCACTGGTACCGTCAACCGGGGCTACTTGGGACGGTTTTGAGCGTTTTTTGTAATTAACTTCTTACGATGAAACATTTCATAAACAAGTTTAGGCTCATTTTATAGCTCTTTGCGAGGGCTATCGAATGGCATCTTTGAAAAATTCCATATGCTATTCGTAATGTGCCAGAAGCAAAAAAAGAGTGTCCCGAGTAGCCCCGTCGAACGGGGCTACTCGGGACACTGGGAATGAAACTTCATATTAAAACACTTGAAGCATGCAGAGCGTACTCATTCATTACTAACAGTACTCTGAAGTCCGCCTCTTTCATTGTAGATGATGTAGAGGTAGAATAAATGACATTTTCTGTGATACATTTATGATATGATGACATTTATGATATTGCCATATACATTAATTACCGTATTATTGATGTGCAATTATCGTATTATTGATGTGATATTACCGTATCCATGAACATGCCATTGAGCATTTACAACAACCTTGTCCACTGCAAGCTTCATATCAGCAGCCTTATAGCATTTTTTTCGTATCAGTAAGCTTACAGGACGGCTCGTAATTTCACATCATTTTAATTGGGTTAAGTGAATTTACTATAGTAAAAAAGATCGTGAAAAACATACCTGAAACAGAAAGGAATATTTTAGTGACAACCAACGTATCTTTTACAGAAATAAATCGTAGTTTAGGTCAATTACTTTTCATTCTATGATGCCTGGTGCACAATTCTATACATGACATGCTATGCACAATTTTGTGATGACTGGGTGCAACTTTTATGTAAGTAAAATTTTTTAATACGGCGAATATTTTTTTTGCTACAGACCTTAGCATAAGTAACTTTTCAAAACAGCGTTTTTCACCATTTTTTCAGGAATTTTTCAAAGCTAGTAAATGTCGTATTTTTCAACTGCCTTTATACTACATAGATAGTAAAAATGTTGACGTTTACGCCACTATATTTAGTTTTGCAATATTCCAATTAGTTTCGCTACTATAACAGTTTTACGCCGTGTCGGAGGTGCGTCCCGAGTTGCCCCGCCAGTCCCGAGTTGCCCCGGTTGACGGTAGTGTGCATTGTCTCTCTTTGGATCTCAATATTTTCCCGCTAGATGGCCACATAGTGACAAAACACAGATTTTTCAGAATCAGTTCATTTTTAATTTCCTCATTTACTTCAGATTTATACCAATTTCTTATGTATAATAATGCTGGTATTGAGGATACTTTACTTGTCTACTTATAGGACTCAAAAATGAGCTTGAGGGAGAGTCTAAAAACTCTCTGCTTTGCCACTATGGATGGCCAAGACCTAGTGTTTTGGCAGTAGTTCGACGCGCAAATGTATGATGTCACCATTTCAACCATCAACGAATGCATGGAACTAAAACAAAGCTTAATATAAAGGAAAAACTAGAGAGGTGACGGAATTACCCACGATGTCGGAATATACTGCGTTTACCCTATCATTGGAGTGATTGGATTTGGATCAATCATTGGAGCTACAGTATTTCAGAGAAAAGAGAGATTTATCCAGTCAGGCCAATCCTGGCTCTGGCTGCAGAAAGTTGCCAAATAAAATCTATAGAGGCATTATTCAGGCATAAATTACCTAATCATTGGCAACAATTAACAAATTTGAGTTGATAATATTGATTCTTTCATTAAGACAGGATCTTGAAGTCAAAACTTCAAGTTCAATATCTAACATCATTAACATAATATTCAAGGAAATCCAGTGAAAACTGAGATGATAAAAACAGACATCAATTTAAATAATGTAACATCAATAGCCTATCATATTCATATGACATATCTACAATAATCTACAACTAGTCAACTACCTAGTACCTACAGGCTACAAGTGCTACAACTAGGTAGGTAGGCTAGTCTACATTCTACAACATACACCTCATACAACGGTACAACCTGCTCTCATGTCCTAACGACTAACGTTACTGCGGCAACATTATAACGTAACTTATTTACTAGGCGAATATAACGAGTTCGCTCAGTCTCCGAGACTGAGCGAGCTGTGGCCTGTGGCTTGACTAATGAGTTGACTTGAGAAGTTGAGAGCAGCGATCCTCAGCAAAACTCATGTACTCGGCTGGTTCGGAAGAGGAGTCGGTTATTGTTCATCAGTATTTTTTTCCTGTAAGTGCAACGTCATTCGTTTTCAATTCGAGGGAGAAATGCTGATGCTCAACGGCGTGCTGCGTTTAGGTATTCTCGCCCCGTGGCAATTTATCCCACTGTAGAATTAAGCGCCTCCATGGATGGACGTCGCCAGGGGATGCTGACAAGATCAAGTAGTCGGCACGCACAGGTATTCTAAGATGTCTAGTCTACTCAAGCGTATTCATGACGCGTTCAAATATCCATTATTATTTGAGGCTCCACCTGTGATTTCTGGGTACCAAATGAGTGGAATGTTTCTGTACTCAATAAGAAATTAAAATCAGGAATTGATACAGTCATGCAATAGTCTCGCAATTACTACGTTTAATTTTAGGATTTCAACACCAAACAACATAATGCAAAGAAACATATAGACAAAGTATTAAGTTCATTATTTATATTAGGACGTAAGGTTGGATTACTCTAAATTATGCTGAAGTTCACACCACACCTCTTCGAAATAAATATGTCATTAGGAGCCCAATATTCATGGGAGGGGTTTTTTTTTAATAGGTCATTAATTTTTAATAGATACCAATTATCTTGATTGACCGTCACTTTTTATCTTAATTGACCGTAAAACTATCTCTAAATGCATCTGTAGTTTTAGAAGAAAGCATAAAATTTTTTTAATAATCTGAAGCTTTGGTTAAAATATGAAGTAAACTCTCATTTGGAATGACGCGAAATTAAATTGTTTTTCATATGAGAACCAATAATGTATTCATCTAGATTGAATTGCATGGGAATACCCATGCAACCAATAATGTATTCTAAGATTGAATTGCATGGGAATACCACACTGTTTTTGCGAGTACTCAAACTAAATGGAACGCATCGGCAGCAATTGAATTCTTTTCACTTCATTCCGGAACAAGTATACATTCCTGAACCGTCGGATACAATTCCTGAACCGTCGGTGACAAATTACCTAGATTCGTTCCTATTATTCTTGCCGGACTTCACACACGAAGTCAGGTCACCATTAGCGTCACATTAAATTAAATGGACGATCCAGGCAATAACAAAGTCCTTCTCATAGTTATTTACAATCGAGCCGTTGCAGACTAAGCGCGCAATACCATCAGGCTTGACGTATCGTCAGAGCTCTGTTGCTGTTGTATGCAAAAGACCTTTGAATGATGGTAATCAAAGCAAAAATCATTTAGAATTGTTTATTTTGTACTGAGCGCTTATGTATTCACATGTTTTCAATATTTTGAGCAAATAAACTATGCGATTGAAGAGAGAAATTAGTCGACTTTCTTCAAGCCAAAATGAAGAAAATTGTACAGGGTAATGAATTACACTCCACATCATTATCTCCTCTTCTATTTACTACGCGCTTCCAAGTTGTAAAAAAAATTAATAAGTCCAGACTCGAAATTGTATCTCAATTAGGTAACAGGCAATATTTGTATTCATTAGGCATATCAGGGAATGAAGAAGCTGTAACTTAACGAAATGCCGAATTTCATCAAAAAATGTAGAACTCACCCGATCGACTGTGCTAATTGTTCAAACCATGAATATCCTGAAGGTTCATCTAAGGATAGCATCGCTGTACGCAACCTAGGTATTTAATTCGTGAACGAAAATAACTCGCGCTGTATTAAACTGAGAAATGCCCATAGCAGTTCATCACGAAACGTGTCTTATCAAAATGTTTGGTAAATCAACTCTACCTAACCTAAACACTGGCAGTCAGGAGAATCAATTTCACCACTTTTGCATACAGAGGAGGAAATGCACAACTGTACTTTCCAAACCAACATGCTTAGAAACTGCAGCTTATTAACAAGCTAGAGATCAATGATAGTGAAGCGCCTACAAAATTGACAACATCACAAAGACACGTCGCTATCAAATCAGACGTGGAAAAATTACTAATAAAATTCCGAATAAGTTGGACAAAAAAGATTCATGGCAACAAAAAAGTAGAGAATAATAACCGGACGGCAGTTATGAACATTTCCGTCGTGCATGGAAAACCCAATGACCTAACCAAACAAAAATTCTAGCAATCGGGATAAGAAGCAACAAAGTGGAAAATTTATGAAACATTCGAGAGCAAATTAAATGTTCTTAGTTGAAATTAAAAAAAAAATACCTACCCACACGAACCAGTAACGGGCAAGACTGTATAGGAAACTTCGAGGAATGTTGAGGTTAATCAAAAAGTGATAAGCAAATCCGATCCAAGTAAGCGCACGGCTAAAAATTAATATAAGCAATAGGAAAACAGAGAGCAACCCAGATAAACAAGCAATGAAAGCGTAACGCTACAACGTGATGAGCGGAGTCGAGGGCAGGCGCAAGAATGGTTGATAGAAACAGTGTTCTGTAGTTGGAAACACTGTTAGATTTATTTAGAATAATAATCGTTCAGCAATTTTGAAAAAAGATTTAGACTTATTAAGGAATATGTCATGATTACTGAATTTCCGAGGTCAAGCGCATCCAAAGTTCATCAACCGCAACATGTCAGGAATACAACATTACCTGACAAATATAAAATAAGTAAGCCAATAAGAACAAATTTTATTGCATATAAAGGAGGTACCAGGATGACATTGGAACAGACATCGAATCAACATGACGAAGATGAGTGATGGAACTTGAGATACAGCATAGACAGATGTTGCAAGCAGCAGCTCAAGAGGTTCATTAATGTATCACCTTATTTCAGGATAGCCTTCACGTCATTGCATTCATTCATTCAATTTAAGTCGGTGTACATAAAATTCCAAAAACATTGTTTTGAACATTAGAACATAATATAAAAAGAAAAGTTACGTTGCTGAAGAAAATTGGCTAGAATTGCATCACATGTAGCGCGCAGAGTTCGAAGAACGACACAATGACGCCGTCCTCGTCAGAGCAGCAGCGTCATGTTACATATTCAGAAATGACACGACCTCATGGATGACGCGACCGTGGAAGAACAATCCTATCACAAGACTTTCGAATTTATGCATCAAAATTCAACCAAAAAATAAAGTGAAATTTGTCAATATTTTTCAAACCACTCATGACCTAATAACAAATACGAACCAATTAACAAAGAGTATCAACCAGAAATTGATCATTCACCAGTCATCGTTGAAATTGACAGCCAAATCATGTTCGAAAATACCTTTACAGATCACTGAATTTTACTGACGAAAAAAAAAGCTTTATAATATGACACAGGAAAAAACTAACCGAAATAAAGGGATCCTATGATTTAATTCCGTAAAATCAAAAGAATTTTGTAGTGGATGAGAAGGTAATATTTATTTTTAGGTGAAATAATATTTATTGAACAATTTAATACCGAAAGATAATGATGCTATGCGATACGTACCCAGGTAAAAATAAACTGAACATAACATATCCGTTAGATCGAACGGAACAATAAGCTAGTGACATGACGGTCTGCAGTCGCGATACTAAAATCAAATGAATAGGATAGGGTCTTGAGACAGTATAACCAAAAATATTAATGCTTCAAGTGATAAATTGCATATTAGACAAAGTTCACAAGTCGAATCAAAACGCAAGCCTAATACAAACAATCGAAAAACAAAAATGCAAGACTTTCAGTCACCGAAGACTACGGGCATTATACAATAGAAACGAAAATGATAGTTCCATGATACCTAAAAAAATAACAACGGAAAACAAAAGAATAGCACGAAAAGGATTGAGTGCTCTTCGGCACGTGCGCCACCCTTACATTGGTTACTACCTACATAATAAGCGTTGTAGTGGTTGGTTCTCACCAGAAGTTTACACCAATACGACAGTTCCGCATAGCGAAACAGACGTCACCAAGCTTTATGTACATTTATACAGCATTAATTAAGAACTAGAGTGTCACGTCAGACGTCCAAGTGGTCACGCACTGGTCCAGGGAACTACGGCATACACAAGTGTGATAACAAACATCACATTAGAAGCCCACACATCAGTTTTAATATTACGAAATACACGGCAATTTGCGGATGAAGTTGCAGATTCAGTCAAACTGATCAAAAGAACTAGAGAATACCAACACACGAAGGAGACGTCACAAATAATACTAGACGCAAATCGTGATCAAAACCAAAGTTTTCTATAGAGATTAGATTTAAGTTGGTGCTGATTCTGGAACAAATGGCAAGAAATACTGTAAACTCTTTACCGCCCAAGCTTAGTACATCAGAGATGCGACTGAATCCCAGCCTTTTGAACAAACGTTGTATTAATTCGAAATTTAGCAATGATGACTAACTGAGACTGATACGTCAGAACTGCAATGATATTACGTGTATATTAATAGAATGAGCCAAAATATGTTCAGCTATAGAATGAGCCAAAATATGTTTCGGCTAATGCTCGAAATGATTGCTGCGAGTTGGGAAAGCTGGTATCACGAAAACAAACGTAAGAAAGCACGTGAAGTTAATTTCGAGACCACCCGACTCAGTACCTGCGTTGCCTGATCCCCTAATGGCAACAACGTATAGAAAACAACAATGAAGTCATGCATCGGCTACTGCTATGGCCTGGCAATCACGTCACTTCAAGGGAAAGAAAGCACATCACAGAAATTTGATGTGCAGCATTGCACACACGATATAACCATGTACCAGCTACAGCATAGAACGGCGAACAGTACAACATCTGCCTAATGTGCGTGGCTTCAACAGGATAACCACTCAACTGCTAACAGTCTTGCCATGATACAAGTCTTTCTATAAACGGATATATTATTACAATTTAGCCCATAACAATTCAGCAGCATGAAAAGTTCAAAATATTTTGGTGAACTTTATATTTTTTTGTTCTTTGATGTCAGCAATTACAGGCCCAACATCACACCAAGATGGTTCAATTAGAACACTAATGTATAGTTTACTTCATTAATTAATAACATAGACATCTGAGTAACAGTCTCGTTTCTAATAATCTCTTTGAATGACTGAGTTCCAACTTTTGTTTCCGAATTCTAGCGTTCACATCTGCAACTATCAATACAGAATTGTTAGCAGGCTATAAATGATCGGCCAGCAAACCATCCACCCCACTACCTGAGACTGGACATAGTCAGGTGTCATCCAACAATGTCTACAGCGAGACAAGCATCCGAGATTTTGTTTATGGCTCCGTTCCTTCTCTGAGACCGACAACAATCGTCTAACATTGATGGCTGCCAGCAGAAGTGCGCTCGACTAAGTCGAAAGGGAAGTGTGAGCCATAGAGCTAACACTGACCACGATGGCCAGCGCGCCTCTGCTTCACGATGGTCAGCTGTCTCTGAAAAGATACTGGTCAAGTTTGGCACATCTGACCACGGGCATGGAGGTGGTGGTTGTAGTGGTGCCGCTGGTGCTGCTCTTGCTGTGCACTATATTGTTACGCACAGGACCGTTACTCATACTATTATTTCCATTATTATTGGTTTTGACAACGCTGTTGTGAGGAAGGGTAGAACTTTTATCATTAAGGACACGGTATCGCGACGAAGCTTCAGTGGTGCTCCCGTTGCTATTACTTCTCACGTGAGCGTTACAATTGTTTAAAGGAGAGTGGCTAGAATTAGTAATGAGTCTCTGGTGACCACTTTTACTCACAGTCGACGAGGTACTAGTTCTAAGTATTGACGAAGACACGGCAAAAGACGAACTAGTCAATTTGTTAGAGCTATCTACATTATTTACACAAGCAGGGCTACTGCTAGCGCTGCTCACGTTGCCAGTGCAGGCGGCTGATGATTCTTCACCACTATTTTGAGAAACACCTTCACTGACTTTAATTTTATTATAACTACACTCATCACTTGATGCCGTCCATACACTTTCACTGTTGTTCACTAAAAAAGAGCCACTACTAACTGCACTAACATGGCAGTCTAAATTTGTCACGGTTCTTACACCAAAATCGCGATTCGTGGAACTATTGCTCGACGACACATTTAACAAAGAATTTGATATATAAAAATTACCAGATGAATGCTGAGAAATAGCAGGCGGGCGATGATTGAGAGCGACATTAGAAGGTGATGAAGGTATTCGAGAGAGGCGAGGAGGGTTGATGATTTCAGGTAAAGATGGATCGATTTCCACCAGTTCATTATCACAGGCGCTGGGTAATGGCTGAGTTGCTGCACCACTGTTAGAGATGGACGCATCATAGGTAGAGAAACGTGAGCTTGGCAGCAGTGAAAAAATATTGGAATGTTGTCTTGATGGCTGAAACTGACTACAGCGGTCAGGACTGAATACTGGCGGCAATTCTTGAGAATTTAGAAGCAGCGATTCTGAAGATTTAGAATCGATCCAGTTGATTCCGTCAACACATGCGTGAGACGAGCCCAGCAGGACATTACTCTCAACATCCTCATTGTCTTGCCTCGAGTCTCCTCCCAATAAAATACTAGAAGGAATGCTCATTTCAACATCAGTTGTCAAGCCTTCATTCTCGCCCTCCATAACCTCAGCCGAGATCACATAAGACTGCAGGTAACTTGGGTCCAGTGGTGAGCTTCGACCTTCGCTTTCAGCTTCGCTCTCTCCGCCATCCGCCTGATCTTGCACCACACTCCTGAACTCGGGCAGACTGCATGACACCCTCTCATTGCCAGGCCGCCTGCGGCACAGTTATCCCAGTTAATTTCTTATGGATATAACATTGCATTTCCTTAGATGGTTATTAACAATGACAGTAGAAACTGCACAAATCTTCATCAGTTAGTAAAGAGATATTTAATTATCGGATGAATTTTATTTCGAATACCGAGTGTACAAATTTTGCTTCAACTGAAAACTAAAGTAACAACTCCATTCATATATACACATTTTTCCCCGAAAATAACAGGAATAAATGGATGCAAAATTGTAGTGCTTCAAAATTGTGAGGAATGTTTGCCACTTGCTGCTGAGAAGTATCACAAGACAAGCATCTTGCTTATCATCCAATTCATCGATTCTGAAAGAATCTACTACTAAATAGTAATTGGTTATCACAAATTCATTCAGATCGATAGAAATAAAAACGCAAAAGAACAGTTTGTTAATTCTTTGGAGCCATTTTTTTCGATCTAACGACCCAATAATTTCACGTATGTAAGTGAACACGACGCCAGGTCGCTAGATGCATGATGCACAAGATCAATCAAAGATGCTGTATAAGCTGATCCTCATATATGATGAAAGCCAATTTAGCTTACATGAGCCGGAGCCGCAACGATTCTCGCCAACAAACAAAATATTCGGTGAACACATTGAAACCAAACGTGAAGAAAAGGATAACTAAAAACTTGAAAAAATTAGATAATACATATATTTAGAGTAGTAAATAACAAATTTCCTTCAGATACTCACATTTGGAAAGCAGACACTGAAGGCAATATTTAGGGAGAGCTCTTGACAGTATATTGGTTGACCACGCACACCTACCATCGTAGCAACGGCTAGACCATTTTCTACGCTACACTTTTGTATAATAACACATCTATTTATTGAACATGGTCGGAAGTTAGCTTTTTTTTAAGGAACAGTTGCAGAATCTAATGGAAGATTGCTAACATATAATAGAAGTACCACCAACCTCGAAATGTAGAAGTAAATTGAAATGTGATTGTGTTGGCGCTGAACCCCAAGCCACGACAAACATGTTTCAGGCAGAGCACTAACCAGAGTGCCGCGGCTGAATGCAGCTGGGTGAGAATATCCCGTGTGGCTGAGGTCAGTGCCACACCGCAGTGCTCCACTGCAGCCACGGCCGAGGGTGCTCGGTCATCAAGACTAGCGCTGCTCAGTCGGTCTATCCATATCCTGCAACATTTACATTTGTCATCCACAGAGTCAGGCATCACTTTATTCAAATTACTTCATTTTTATGCTTAGTAGTGATGCAATGTAAGAAATTTGAAATTTAATGATAAGAATTTCTTCATTATCTTGTCATTCTGTTTCCACTAAAATGTACCTATTACAAACACCAACATTATTTGGGTAACAATTTTAACATTAGAAATCTCCATCAAAATGCTTTGGAAAATATCATCTCATCCATCTTTAATGTTTAACATAATTCCTTAACACATACTTCCCGAAAAAAATCATTTTAAAACTACAAAATATGAATAGCAAAAGGAGAGAAACCAACTACAAGCCATCGACTTGTCAAACACTAAACCCTAAAAATTTCCAAATACTGATAAAGATTGCAGCTATCCTGCACAGCTAATCCTGGAAAACATATAGTAAATTTCAAATACGGAAGCCAGAACTGATCAATTACAGAATAAACATGTGAATTATTAATTGTTTCCTGTGATTAGATGTAATTCCAAGGCTAAAAGAAGAAATAACACGAGAAGCAATGAAGGTAAGGATTCTACCTAACAGTTAATTCAGAACAGGGTTCAAATTACATTCGATCCTTTGCTTACCTCCCTCCTCTGCCAAGGCGTCGTCTGGCAAGCGTAATGTGACGACGAGAGGGATTTGATATGTGAGAAGTTAATAAATTATTAGGAGAAGAGCCTTCTCTGCTTTTAAGGGAAGGAGCGCTGGCGTCAGGGCCTGGTAATGAAGATGCATTCCTAGACATTGACGACAAATGTACAGGTGTAAAATCATGTGTAGGGGTGCGTGGTAATTGGGGTAAACTGGTTGATGGTTCAAATTTAGATAAGGAGCCATCTAGAGGCACCAAATTAGAAGATAACGAATCACTGCCACACGAAGTAAATGTGGAAGAAGTCGATGGAAGAGAAGAATGTCCACTAGGTGGAAATGAGAATGCAGGAGTTAATAGTGATGAGCTTAATAAAGGAGGTATTGGAGATAAGGCTGTTGAGAATGTGCGACGTATAGTCGGCATTTGCGATAAACTTGGAGAAGGTATCCGCGGGGGAGTTTGTGATGATAGTACAGAAAAGGTTGGAGGAAAATTTTGATCTGTGGGGAGACATGACGAAGGTGGGGAGGGACTGCGGGGAAGATATTCTGGAGGGAGGCTTGTGAGGGAGTATGGGGCATGGTTGGCTCCCCCTCCTCCCTCGTGAGGGGCAGCCCACACTGTGTCCTCTCGGGGCTGTGGGAAAAATTAATTGTCTTTAGACTAAAACCATCAATAAATATCTCGGTATTTATTCGTTTTTCGTTTTTTATAACAAGAGCAGGTGCAAATTATTGGCAGAATTTGGCTTCTAAGGAAAAAAATGAGTCAATCACTTAGACAAAAACACTTCAGTGTGCGAAATTAACTAAAAATATTTGCGTGTAAAATTTTTGCTTAACATTCATCATTTATCAACGACTGATAGGTATCCACTTACATATGTAGCTTGTGGAAAAGTTGCCCTGTTAAGCTCATAAATAGCAAAACGTTCGAGCGTCAACCTACTATAATTACAAAAGTAAACTGCTCACACACAAATAACAATGAACACAACACGAGACACACAAGTCAGAATGATTCAAGTGATGAGTCATTATAGATCACAGGCATGCACTCACCGCGTGGTATTGGCAATGATGTCTTCTGATGAACGTGAAGGAACCGTCAGCGTGAGCATCATCGTCAGACTGCGAGGTGCCGCCACGTCCACCGCCTCCTGAGCCCGTTGTATCATCCTCCTCCAATGACTGTAAAAATCAGGAAGCTAATGTCAACAACTATATACTTGCGGCTGTGAAGAGCAACATCCGAAGTTAGCCAGTAACGGTATAGGAAATTCTGGAATAGTTACTTGGGTGTGGACGATTAAACAAGAATGAGTAATAATTTATAAAAGGCAAGTATTAGTAATACTTTCTGTGTAAAAATGAGAGCAGCGGAAATAATTACCGAGGGATAGGCATTAGCCAGCAAATAAGGGTCTGGAGGATGGGAGAAGCCTGCATGCTGCCGCTGCAGCCCCGAGCTGGGCTGACCAAGACTGGCGTGCAACTTGGCTTTTCTATTTTTCCTCTCCCTCTTTGCATTGTCCTGCAGAAAGGGTAGTAAATAAGGTTTTAATGATAATTAAATGAGTTCTTAACATGAAAGATTAGAATCACATAGGAGCTTCACCAGAATGTGGAAATCCCAGAATTTTCCCAAGGTATTTTTTCTCAGTACTTCTAAGGACGAAAGAAACTAAAGACAAATCAGAACACTTGCAAAAATTATTTATTTGGAATTCAACATACAATTAGTTGAACATAAAAAGTGGAACGATCATCCAACTAGAAAATTTTTAAGGCACATCAGAAATCTTTACGAATTTTACTAGAACTTAAATAATTTGACAACGAAAATAGAGAACATTAATGGAAGAGAAATATATTCTGTAGCGACTCACTTTGTTGCGGTGAGCAGCCGAGGCGTTGGTGAGGTTGTTGCGGTTGTGGCCAACTTTGAGCCAACCAGCGCCTCCCCTCGCCCCGCCACCACCGCCGCCAGCAGCACTCGTGGCCGCTAGCGCTGAGGAGTTCAGATGATTGGACACTAAAGGAGCGAAGGCAGACCTTGACATGGGCCGGCTGTTGAGCAGTTCTGAGATGATGGATCCTGACCAGTCCTGAAGCTCGTACCTGCACACCATAGATTTATTCAGTTATGGCATAGATTATAGCACTTATAGCTGGATTACATGCATCTCTCAACATAATCGTTGTCTTACATGCAAGTGTTCTAGGTATGGAACATTTGAATGAAAAATTTTCAATTGAGATTGTGTTTAATCAGCTATATTAAAAAAGGTGAGTTTGTCCTCTCCTGGACACTTTCAATTGTGTAATAATGGTCATCATTTAACCATTATTAATCTTTATTGATTGAACCATAACCATTATACTTGACCTCGACGTCATTTAATAATGGTTATGAACGTGGAAGACAATTTTTCTGACCATGCTTAGACATGCTGACCTCATTGGCATTTTTGCACATGCACATCCTCCAATGAGCGGGGTCTCAGCAATGAACAACGCGAGAGAGAAAAATGTGAGAAAACTTCCCCAGATGGTAATTGAGATACTGTTAATATGACGTCAGTTTTCTGATAATCAACATCTAAAACGTGGATGATACTTACCGCTTTTCAAAGATTTCAATATGGAGATGCAGCAACTCCCTCTTGGTCTTCTCCCGCCGGCTAACCATCTGAAGCATTGTTAAACTCTTTGTCAAATCACGCTTGAGTTTGAGCATCTTCTCGTAACTGGATTCATCGTTTTTCCTGTTTTTCCGAGTCTGCATCTTCTCAGTGCGTTTTCTGAATGCCACATATGGGTCGCTGGGTGCACTTCCAGCACTCTTTTCAGATTTGACCTAGCAAAATAGAACAAATTTTTAGAGTATAATAAGACCTAAATAGTTATACTAAAACTAAAAATTATGGCACATAAATTGCACTCAAGGATTTAATTGGGACATTCATAAAAAAATGAACAACATTAAGCATGCACTATTCAAAAATGTATGAGTGTAGCTGTGTTAATATACTATAGAAGTCATGTCTAGCACCAAAAATGTATGAGTGTAGCTGTGTTAACATACTAAGGAAAAAAAATGTACGAGTGTAGCTGTGTTAACATACTAAGGAAAAAAAATGTACGAGTGTAGCTGTGTTAACATACTAAGGAAAAAAATGTACGAGTGTAGCTGTGTTAACATACTAAGGAAGTCATGTCTAACACCAAAAATGTACGAGTGCAGCTGTGTTAACATACTACTAAGGAAGTCATGTCTAGCACCAAAAATGTACGACGTGTAGCTGTGTTGACATACTATGGAAGTCGTGTCTAGCACCAAAAATTTACTGAGGAAAAAATCTGGGATTGATTTCAGTGCAAGAAACTGGCCCCTGACAGCTTCTCAGCAACTCTAGAGGAGAATAACTTACAGGCAAGAATAATTCATCAACATAATATTCATTTCACTTTAAATGTTTAGAAAATATTAGTCAGAAATAGAAATGCAAATTGTACAGGTAAGTAGTATGTTTATAAAAAGAACTTGTCCCAGGAAGCATAACAATATTGACATAAATTCGATGCACAAAAATTTGAGTTTTTGAAATTCAGTACAACAATTTAGGATAGTGATAGTTGTGGCTACTTATTGGTCAAATAATTGATGCAATGGTTTTCTCAAAAAACTTCCACTACTGTGCTGATTAATAATTTAAATTTGAATTGTTTCAAAAACTTTGCTTGTCTCATTTATAGGATACTACACAAAAGTTATTTCCATCAACAGTGCAGAGCACTAGCGCTCTTGCCAACAGAATTCTAAGAGCAATTATGAAGTTGCTCACAAAATGAATAACGGTTGATGTGTTTAACAACAGTAGAAGTAAAAGGTTTGAATGAGAATCATGGAGACTGACTTGCGGTATGAGAGTGTGTTGGGTTTTTAGACGCTTGTTGAGCCAGTAGTCATATACAGCAGTGATGAGACCATCGTCATCCTTAAGAAGAACTTTAGCTTCCTGCAATGTGACGGCCTTCAGACCAGAGCTCTTCTCGAGACGATCCATCATCTCTTCAAACTGAGGGGGATCAAGAGGAAGCAGCTCCCCTTTAGCAGCTTGTTGGGACAGCCATTCCTCATCTTCACTGTCCATGTCATAGTCAGGGATATCTTGCTCAGGGTTGAACGGCAGGATGTGTATAAGTTGTCGAGATTGCTGTTCATAAAAAGAAATTATTATTTGCACTAAAAGAACACAATATATTACAAGATCTGAATATATTCAACTATTATGCATCATATATATGCCATAGCATTATTTTGGATAGTCATTGCCACAATATTTTTATCAGAAAACTTCATCTATATTCACAAAGTATTGGAAAAATTATGAACATTGATCAGTTTAGCGAAATTATTGCCAAAAATGCAAAATCTATTTTTATTAGCTTGAACTGAATACTTTGACCAAGATTGATAAACAATTCCATACAGTTTTTAAGAAGTTTCATTCAAACAAAAATATTATTACTCTACAGAGTTTAGTGCTAAAAAATTGGCAGCCAACTCTTAACCATTGGCTCTAGTGTAAGTATTAAATGAAATATTAGTCATAAAAATAGCATCAAAAACTCTAATAATCAAAGCAAGTTGACACTTGTTTGTATGACTGTGAACTCTTCTACTTAAAGGAAAGATAATGTAGAAATGATCAAAAATAGGCTATGCTTGCAAAAGTTACCTTATAATCAGGAGGGTATATTTTGGCATGGGTACTGTCAACTGCATACACCTCAGGAACAGGGATAACTCTGTGGTGGAAGATGGCCTGCTGCAGATGGTGCTCCTGGAAAACAAATATCAATATAGACAAAACTTCAGACCAAAATAGATAAGGAAAATGTACTGAGAATGACTCAAGTTGAATAAGAGAAGGCTGTAAAACTGCAATGAATTTAATACCTTTACTCTCGTATCTTTCTCTTCAAACTTGCTTAAAATATTATGGTGCCATTTCAAACAATTGCAAATGAGAATTTACATAAAAAACATTGATCAAACCGGTATATATAAAATGCAAAGTAGAACACGCTCCTGAGAGATAAGATTATTGCTAGTAGGCTAGAAGCCATCAGAAATGAAGAAGGATGATGATTCCTTCGCTCTACAAACAATTGTGCTCATGAAATTGCAAAAAGAAAATAAATTTCATTTTGCTATTGAACTAGTGTGACATGTATGTGCAGGTCTTAAGACAAGTTAGGAAAAGTTAAATAAATATTCAACAAAATTCTACTATTAATTTGACTTGAATGATTTCAAAATTCACATGATACAATACCAGCAGTTGATTGTTATACTAGGCACATCCCCTAGATAAATTAACCCCAGCTGAACCAAGACTCCATCCACAATATAAGTGAAGCTTTTCAGCAATATTACTCTACTACCGGTACCGTTTTTTTAGCTTTTGTTCTGCAAAATATTTTTTTCAAAGTTGATCAATTTAGTTTGGTTTTATATTGTGTATACACAGCAAAATTCAATTCAATGTCATAAAAGCTAGCATTTGACTTGGTGACAAATTAGATGTAAGCAGTAATGTCCAAGACACATATCCAGTGATTTCTCCAACAATGTGTAAGTAAAAATTGCACAAGATTTACCCAAATCTACTCTCATCCATGTGTGATCTTGGTCCTTGCTCCATCTAAACTTTGTTGAACCCTCATTGCTAGGAAGACAATCCTTTCAATTTAAGCATCCTGTTACACAAGATGTAACTCCAATTTACCCGAACCCAAATTGCATTACCGTCAACCAAGGCTACTCGGGACGGTTTTGAGCATTTTTTGTTAATAACTTCTTACCATGAAACATTTCATAAACAAGTTTAGGCTCATTTTATAGCTCTTTGCAAGGGCTATCAAATGGCATCTTCAAAAAAATTTCAAAAAAAGAGTGTCCCGAGTAGCCCCGTCGAACAGGGCTACTCGGGACACTTGGAATAAAACTTCATTTTAAAATATTTGAAGCATGCAGAGTGTACTCCATTACTAACAGTACTCTGAAGTCCTCCTCTTTCATTGTAGATGATGTAGAGGTAGAATAAATGACATTTTCTGTGATTTTTACTTGTTTTTCCTTTATTGATATGATATTACCATAAACATTAATTACTGTCAACTGGGGTGACTTTGGCCAAGTTTTTTATTTTGTTTTGCAAACAAAAACAGGGTCATAAACGCTGGGGGTCATAAACGCCAGGGTCCTAAACAAGGTCTTAAACGCAGAGTGACTTTGGCCATCATTTTTGACCCTGCTTTTGTTTGCAAAACAAAATCAAAAACATGGCCAAAGTCACCCCAGTTGACGGTACCATATTATAGATGTGATATACTGTATTATTGATGTGATATTACCCTATCCATGAACATGCCATTGAGCATTTAGAATAACCTTGTCCACTGCAAGCTTCATATCAGCAGCCTTATAGCATTTTTTTCTGTATCTGTAAGCTCACAGGACGGCTTGTAATTTCACACCATTTTAATTGGGTTGAGTGAATTTACTATAAAAAATTAACTTTTTATAGTAATTTAACTCATTGCAGTGAATGAGAGAGCGCATTTTCTCTCGTCGACGAAAACTTGAGGTCACAGACGAACGGACAGACGGACGTGGCAAGCACAACAGTGCTCGTTTATGCGCCATGCGCTCGTTTATGCGCCATTTTAATTGGTTTAAGTGAATTTACTATAAAAAAAGATCGTGAAGTGAAAAACATACCTGAAACAGAAAGGAATGTTTTAGTGACAACCATCATATATTTTGCAAAAATAAATCATAGTTTAGGTCAACTACTTTTCATTCTATGATGCCCGGTGCACAATTATACTTATAGCATTCTATGTACAATTTTGTGAGGACCGATGATGCACTAATTTTTCGATAAGTAAAATTTTTTTCGCCGAGTGAGGTAAATGTAATCAATATTCTTTGTTTTTAATCCATTTTTTTCTTAACTGGACCCTTTGCTTACTGAGGTTCTACAGTAAATGCATTTTTGGGGGTGTCCCGAATAGCCCCGGGGGTTTCCTGAGTAGCCCCGCTGTGTGGAAATGGCCGCCATTTTTTTTGGAATGAGATAGGACAATTCCGTCAATTACGTTTTCAAGCTGACACCTGGGTGCATCTTTTATGTAAGTAAAATTTCTTAATACGGCAAATATTTTTTTAGCTACAGACCTTAGCAGAAGTAACTTTTCAAAATAGTGTTTTTCACCATTTTTTTCAGGAATTTTTTGAAGCTAGAAAATGTAGTATTTTTAGACTTCCTTTATACTACATAGATAGGAAAAAGGTTGACATTTACGCCACTATATTTAGTTTTGCAATATTCCAATTAGTTTTGCTACTATAACAGTTTTACGCCGTGTCGGAGGACTGTCCCGAGTAGCCCCGCCAGTCCCGAGTAGCCCCGGTTGACAGTAATACACAGCACTCATGAGAGGCTGCCACTCTTATGATGTCTTGCAATATACCTGGTCAACTGGGGTGACTTTGGGCACCACTACAACAGAAACAAATGGCAGCAAAACAAAATAATAAACGTTGACCAAAGTCACTGCAGTGGCCAAATTTACCCCAGTCACTTTGGCCTATGTTTATTATTTTGTTTTGCTGCCATTTGTCTCTGTTGTAGTGGTGGCCAAAGTCCACCACTACATGTCAGTACTTGATAGTACTGACTGCGTGTTGATCTCTGTGATTGGAATTGGGTGCATGCTGACCTCTGGTCATGACCTTTAATGGGAGCATCTGGGTTCCAGAAAAACTTTTTTATTCATGGACGGATCACTTTGAAACTTGCTACACATGTGTAAAACAGAAATCTAAGACTTTTTTGCTCGTGTCAATTTTTCAAAATTAAAAAAAAAATATGAAATTCTTAGAAAATGGCCAAAAAGGGGGTACCGTAAAATGGGGTAACTTAGACCGGCGGGGTAACTTAGACCACTTTTCGTTTTTTTTACAAAAACCCAACCAAAACCTGGAGTTATTTGGAGTTATTTTACCAAAAAAAAATAATTGATTTTTCCACCCGGTCTAAGTTACCCCAAGAGCTGGGGTAACAAAGACCATCACTTTTTTTGAAATTACATGAAGACTATGAGAGGCAGGAACCAGCAATTTATGGTGAGTGAAGCTAGAGTATAGACCTGTATTTTGCATGTTTCAATTCAAGTTTAATTTAGCTAGTAAGAAAATGGCATCATTTATAAGAAAAAAAGTAGTCTAAGTTACCCCATTTTACGGTACCATAGAAAACTATATCCTCCTGAGATTTTAAAGTTACAACATTGAGATGCATTTGATGTGTAAAGACCATATCTATTGATTTGTCATGGTTTTATTCAAAACTAGAATTGTTATAGGCGAGAAAGCATTTTTCATAAAATTTTTTATTTTACCCTTTTTTCAAAATATTTTCATAGTATGGCAAATTGAAAAAAAGCTACAACCAATCTCTAGATCTTTCATTTGCAAATCAAATGGTATATCTCTCATCACTGTAGCTTAAAAACTACCGTCAAATGGGGTAAAAAGGGACGGTTTTGAGCATTTTTTGTTAATAACTTCTTACCATGAAACATTTCAGAAACAAGTTTAGGCTCATTTTATAGCTCTTTGCAAGGGCTATCAAATGGCATCTTCAAAAAATTCCATATGCTGTTTGTAAGGCACTAGACGCAATATAAAAGGCTCCTGAATTAATCTTGAAATGGGGTAAAAAGGGACACTTGAAATAAAACTCAATTTCAAACATTTGAAGCATGCAGAGTGTACTCATCTATTACTAACAGTAGTCTGAAGTCCTCCTCTTTCATTGTAGATGATGCAGATGTAAAATAAATGACATTTTCTGTGATTTTTACTTGTTTTTCCTTTATTGAATTGATATTACCATATTCATTAATTACCGTATTATTAATGTGATATTACTTTATCCATGGACATGCCATTGAGCATTGACAACGACCTTGTCCACTGCAAACTTCATATCAGCAGCCATGTAGCATTTCTTCTGTATCTGTAAGCTTACAGGATGGTTTGTAATTTCGCACAATTTTAATCGAGTCTAATGATTTTACAATAACAAAAAAAATTGTGAAAAACATACCTGAAACAGAAAATGTTTTAGTGACAACCATCATATGTTTTGAAGAAATAAATCATAGTTTAGGTCAATGACTTTTCATCCTATGATGCCCAGTGCACAATTCTATATACCGGTATTGCATTCTATGTACAATTTTGTGACGACCGATGATGCACTAATTTTTTGATAAGTGAATTTTTTTTCGCTGAACGAGGTAAATGTAATCAAAATTCTTTGTTATTAATCAATTATTTTGTTAACTGGAGCCTTTGCTAACTGAGGTTCTACTGTAAATGCATTTTTAAAGGTGTCCCTAATTACCCCGGGGGGGTGTCCCTTTTTTACCCCATCACCCGGAAACGGCTGCCATTTTTTTTTTTTGAATGAGATAGGCAAATTCTGTCAATTACGTTTTCAAGCCGACATCTGGGTGCAACTTTAATGAAAGTAAAAATTTTCAATACGGCAAATATTTTTTTCGCTCCAGACCTTAGCAGAGGTACTTTTCCAAAATTGCACTTTTCACACTTTTTTCAAGTGATTTTTTTAGCGATAGTAAATGTTTGATTTCTTGACTAGCTTCATACATAATAGGGTAAACGCGGTATATTCCGACATCGTAGGTAATTCCGTCACCTCTCTAGCTTTTCCTTTATATTAAGCTTTGTTTTAGTTCCCTGCGTTCATTGATGGTTGAAATGGTGTCGTCATACATTTGCGTGTCGAAATACTGCAAAAACACTAGGTCTTGGCCATCTAGTTCGAAAATATTGAGATCCAAAGAGAGACAATGCATGCCACGTGGTGAGATCATCGAAAAATGTGTCAAATTTGACAGTTGACATGGCTCTACCAAATAGTGAATAACTGTTTTTATAGGAAGAATATTATGGTTTGAGACTTTTAAATACGTCTGTGAATATATTAGGAATCCTTTAAGTATACTTTTATTTGCTGATTTCAAGTCGTAAATAAATTAATAGATGATTAAGTTGAGATGTTGGATTTAGACACATGAAAACTAATTCCGACACAACTTGAATTGGACACACACAGATCGTTCAAAGCTTTGTACAAAAATTGAAATTTGCTTAATTAAAAGCCTAATAGCTGTTAATTAAAACATAATCAAGTAGTGTTCAATATTCGTTAGTGTTCTAATTCAAAGCCATGTTGTATCCCAATACAGCTCACACAGCAAATGGAATTCGAACACGTGGATGTCGGCAATACGTATCAGTTAAATTTGAAGCACTGACGCAATACGACTCACCACGTGTCGAATATTGCCACACAAAGTGACGGAATATAGGGATTTGCTAGGTTTCCATTCTAAAGGCTTTTTAATAAATATGGCAACATTTTGTGACGTTTCATCGTTGCTGACAAGGCAACAGAACTTACGTAACGCATACGATTTTTTTTATAGTTTTTCATTTCTCGATGCGTCCTTAATGTGTCGGAATATACCGCGTTTACCCTAGATAGTAAAAATATTGAAGTTTACACCACTATTTTTAGTTTTGCAATATTTTGATTAGTTTAGCTGCTACAACATTTCTACGAAATGTGGGACGCGCGTCCTTATTTACCCCGCCCGTCCCTTTTTACCACGTTTGATGAGCCTCGCTGATGAGGGAGGGAGAGCCTCCCTTAAAAACTCTAAGGAGGATTGCAGTGAAAATAAGTGTGAATGTTCAGTAGAATGCAACACAACAAAGTCCCAAGCGCATCAAAATAGGTATTCAATGTTGCAAGGATGCAAGACTAGACATTACTGGATTTCAATTCCTGTCAAGGATGATGCAAACGACTGCACAAGAACCATCCCGGTTTCTGGGGTACGTCGGATGGATCAAGATTCAGGATGCAGTGAAGCTTATCCGGTAATCAGTTGCGATGATGCAGTGAGTGAAGAGTACGGGATATACTATCAAAAATGTATGCAGCATTTTCTTATTAAAAATTTCTGGCGATGCATTTCGAAAATGGCTGGCGATGCTTTGGACTAAAAATCCATATATTGGCAAATGGCAACACTGCTTGCACCCTTAGCACCCTGGATAAAATTTATAGTCACTTTTATTAGTCAGTCACCTGGCAAACCATTTTGAGGAAAGCTTTCATCCTTGGGTAAAAAGCTTTTATAAGAGTGAGTTTCCAATCCTAGTATTCCACACTGGCAGTGGGCAGGATCTAGTCTGGAAAAGTCCTATTTTTGTCTGAAATATCGCGGCTCTAATATCATATAATTTCAGTAGGTATGAAATCTCGCGGCTCACGTAGAAATGGAATCACGGCTGGCAAATCCATAAAACCACGGCTCGAAAAATTCAGTCGCAGCTCGCCAAGTAGATATATTCCATACTAGGGCAGGATACATGGATTGAAAGTAAAAAATGAACCACCATTTTTAAATTCCATCCAAAACTTTTTATAACTAATATTGATGTCTCATTTTTTCATTGTAGCTATGAGGTATCCTGCTTAATTAGAAACAATTAGAAATAAACAATTTCAGACTAATAAGCATTACTAACACATTACTAAAAAGTAAAAACTAGATAATAAATAACTATCAGCATCTGATTTACTTAAATACATCATCATAAGCATGTTTAAATGTTCAAGTAGGCTAAGTGTATGACTGTATGCTATTATTACAATTTCGAATAAAAATAAGAAAATGTGTCTAGCCGTCAGTTAACATTCCAACAATAGTTAGAAAAAACTTTTCAGTAATGACCCACTGACCCAATACCAAAATAGGTACCTAGGACCTAGGTACCATGAGTCTTATTTAATGACAACATTATAGGGCCTACTTCGACAGTTAGGTAGCATACCTACCTAGGTTTTATTCCACATATTTAATTAAAGCACAACGAAAATAACGAAACTAATATTTAATCAACCTATAATGCAATAGAGACAAAAATTTTAACAAAAACAGTGTGTAGTATCAATATTTAACGACTTTAACTTGCGACATCATAAATTTCAATAATTACATTGTTTTGAAATTGGCGCGCCAAATTCCAATATGGCTGCCCACACACAGGAGACGAAAGCAAGACACAAGTTTTGTACTTACAGTTTCTTCCTCCTTTTCCATGCCCGTAGGCATTTGAGGCACAGTGCGATTGCTTGCATTATTTAAGTCAGTGTAATCAGATATTTCCTCTTGTAAATAAATAGGTATGGGTTTGGTGGCGTCGAGCTGCCTTGCACGAAACTTGCTCATTTTGGCAACACGAGTTCTACCGCGCGATCATTTCTTACTAACACTCAAAACTTCGGATGTGGGCGGCTTGAGGGGCCGAAGCCCACTGCAAATCGCGTAAATAACCCCTATAATCTATCCATGTTGTATTTCTGCGATGCAACAAACAATAAGGGAAAATATTGTAATAAAATTGGCGACACGAGTGTACAGCCTGCCTCAGTTCAATGGCGGTCGTCCCGCACGCTAATGTGATCGTCCCGCCATCTGCCGGCCTAAATAGAATTCATGAATTTACTCAAATATCGCAATTATCTATGGTATTTTCCAACTTTTCTGGTCTTTACACCTCAAAAAATTCATAATTCACCTATGAAAGTCATTTTAAAAATATTTCATACCCCTGATACGCCTCATTTTTTACGCAATATTGTTGAATTTTCGGAAGGGGAGTTTTCTTCGATAAATGAACGACAAAAAACTTATTTTAAGGCCAACTCACATATTTTGGAGATAATCCCGTTGCTGATTGCTATTTAGACATTGTATTATGGCAAATGCTGGAAAAATTACGAACATCAAAATTAAACCTACTGCAAAGATTTCATTTGCGGTTACCCACGGAAAAATTTGTGACTTCTCATGATTGCTTATGCAGGATTTAGCCATCGGAGCAATAAATGAATAATGGTAATTTACCATTTATATGACTGAGAGCTTACAAAGTTAAACAGTTGATCTGTGCGTGCCATTTTATTTTAATTCAATGGTCTGCATTTTGAGCTTCATGAGCCTATGATAAATTATCTGGACTCATTAATTAAAAGAGCGACCTGCTTTGTTTGTGTTTAACTTCAAGAAATACTCTATAAGTGGTAAGACAATATAAGAAAAAATAGAAACGCTTTTCTATTTCCTTCTCCAGGTTTAGTAAACATAATTGATACTGTTGAAAAGCTTCTATGATGCTGAAGTTCCAATTTGAGAGTTCTGTTGATTTCAACGACCTTTTCCATTATAGCAAGTCTACCCATTCGCCCAAATATTAGTTGAAAAGCTCTTTCGATAAGGAAACCTATTTGTATCAATTTTATCTTCAATTACTTGAAATTATACTTTCATTTCAAGTGTTAATGAATATGTTAATCCACCTACCTGTCTCTTTGCAAAAAAATAACTATTAGTATTGGTAGGAAGTATATGATAAAAAATATAATTCAGTACTCACTGCAGTGAGTGACAGAGAGCGCATTTTCTCGTCGACGAAAACGTGAAGTCACGGACGGACAGGAAAACAAGGATGAGGAAAACAACGCGGCGTTGGAGTATGAGCCAGATTTTGCGAAAGTGTGCCTTAAGGGTATAATTTGTTGATGTAAAGAGTCAAAAAAATTGAATAAGAGTAATGCATTATTCGCAGTTTCCCCGTAGAAAACGTCCAAGACTTTAATCGGCACATGGGTGTGTGCGACGCAAGGGTGGACAGTCCGACATTTGTACAAGTGCTCTTAGGTTCTAAATGGACCACGCTGTTGTGCTATCTGACGTTTTACGGCTGGTTTCAAAGGCCAAGACAAGGCAACGAACCTAAGATGTTTATAAGTAAAATTTCGTGTGTCAACTTATTTCAACACCCCGCTCGTGGCTAGGTCGCGCGAAAGACTTTAGATCTAATCTTCATATCAGAGTTATAAGACAATACAGGCAATAATTTCGCAGTGACCCATGAATTTTACCAATTCGCTTGACAGGTTATCAGTAAACCTTTTACAGGATCTTTTATCAACAGCACTCCGCTTGCTTGTGGGTAGGTCGTGGGAAATCTCTCGATTTCAACTTCGTTCGTAAGTTAAATTGTCGTTGGAATATACGGTAGTCTCAACTGAATCAAGAATTATACGTTTAAAAGTGCGAATCCGATAACACGTGAATGCGATCCACGCTCCTGTCACACGGAAAGAGCTTAGGGTTGCCCAGTAGAGTTATAATGTCCCCCGGTAACGGGTTGGCTTTTAGATTTACCAAGTCCCACGGGAGGAGCCTCGGGTTGGCTTTTAGATAATTATTGAAGTCACGCACGGGAAGAGCCTCGGGTTGGCTTTCAGAATTAAAGCCATGCACGGGAAGAGCCCCGGGTTGGCTTTTTGAATTAAAGCCATACACGGGAAGAGCCCCGGATCGGTTTTTAGAATTAAAGCCATGCACGGGAAGAGCCCCGGATCGGTTTTTAGAATTAAAGCCATGCACGGGAAGCGCCTCGGGTTGGCTTTTAGATTATTAAAGTCACGCACGGGAAGATTCCAGGGTTGCCTTGCATATTTATTAAATCACATACGTAAGACCCTCGGGTTGTATTTCAGAGTTGTAGTCACACGCGGGAAGTCTGAGGTTGGCTTGTTGATTTATGAAGTCACACGGGATAAGCTGCGGGTTGTTATGTAGATTTATAATGTCACACAGGAAGAGACTTGTATTGGTTTGGACGAATCGGCAAGGAGGCCGGGCGGTTAAGCACAGCAGAATTGTAGCAGTCTGTGATCAGAGATTTTCTAGTAGGTAGACGACAACGTGTCAGTATTAACGGAACCGTGTCAGACTGGGCATCAGTGCGCAGTGGCGTGCCACAAGGAAGCGTTATTGGGCCTATTTTGTTCGTTGCTTTTATAAATGATCTGCCAAAAGTAGTGTCCAGTGTGTGCTCCATGTATGCCGACGACACAAAAGTTTATAATACAGTGAAGGATGCGTCAAATAAAGCGCAATTACAAGTCCTCTACAACAATCACTAGGTCCCTCTACTAATACCAGCAAACATGCATCTAAACTAAGTGCATCTCTTTCCTCTGTGAAAGTACGAGGCAACGAGGCTACGAAGCCTATCCTCATTGTCTGGGGTCAGCCCGACAATTTTCCTCGCTAAAAACATTTCGCGTAATCCTGTTCAGCAGCATAACCGGTAAACCTTCTTCGACTGATCTCAGATCTGTTTTTTTTTTCAGTTGTGTTGGTAGGATTCTGCATTTATTGAACCATGTACCATGGGAATATGGAAATTATTGTAGTCGCCATATATACATGCGTGAGAACTAAATCAATAACAACAAATAATACTCGCGTATGATTATTTAGTAAATTTTTGTAGCGGATGCTTTGTTTTGCTGCAACTTAGAGAGCGACCGAGTGACATGGAAAGCAGTTGTAGAGCTTCCATGCCTCTGGGCCTCCCGCCCCAGCCTGAACGCTCACCTCCAGTATGATGGGCGAGCTGCTCACGCGTGCGGTGTTAACGAATGTGCTCGGGTCTCGCAAAATATTCAATATGTTCCTTTATCCACTGTCGGGTGTTTTATTTCAATAACTTTTAGATTCGTTTCGCATTGACGACTGGCAATGCATTTGTAGACAAAGAGGTAAATAAATATTATCGATTTACTGTTGTAATTCATGAGATTATCGAAGGAAAGCCACCATAAGCATTGCACATGTGGCCGCGCACATTCAAGTTTGAATGTCGATTTGTTCATATATCTTCAAAATTGCAGCAGTCGTAAAAAGTACCATCATATTTGTTGTGCTCTGTCATAATGAGTGTTCTAAAAAAGTGTATTATGTATGGATAAAATAATGCGACCTTGGAGAAAACTCGCAGCCAATACGATGTAGTGTCATTTATTTACAAGATTAACTTAACTAAGAGAAGTGATATACTTAATTCATTTCACCTGGAACATATGAAGTTGTTCTGTCATCAACCAAACCAACTTTGAAACTTCCTATTATAAATTATGGGTCACAAAACAAGCTGACAATATGGGCTAAACTCACTCTAAAGCCTCAATTGTGTTGTGCTTCTAGCGTTCAAATTGATCAAAGTAAGCTCTAGTATTAGTAGAATAGGACTTAGATTATTGTTCAAAATTAGTTAAAATGTAAGTAAATTTTGCATGTATGGTATTTACCCAATTTTTATCCGATGTACGTGGATTGAGCCGATAACACCCGCACGCGACAGCAATATTAGATTAGTCAATAGCATTGACATAAGATTTTTATATTTTATTTACCTAAATAGTTTAAATCAGTAAAAAATTGAGTTCACGAATATAAAAACAATTATTTTGTTCAAAGGATTATAGGATGCCTTATATGTATCATAGGCACCAGCTGGACTTGAATCAGTTATTATTCAATTCCTGCGATTTGTTAATATCACTTCTTTTGACTTATATTACATCTTGTGTAAAATGCCAGCTCTCAACTCCCATAACTTTGCGCTTTTATTCGAAAAAAAAAACATAAAAACTCAAAGTTTCCTAAGACTAGGCTTAACTCGCTATGAAGGAAAGCGTTGTTAATACCATTTTATAATATTAGCCCGAGAGAGAAAGGTGTTATATAGGATCGAAAAAGACTTGATGCTGTAAATAATTTCATTGTATTAGTTCAGTCAAAGCTACGTAAGTAATGAGGAATAATCGAAGACGGTAATTTACGTTTAGCCGTCCACTGTTCAATAAATCTTCGAAGAATTAGGTTAAATACGACGTACATGTATTGTGCGTGAACTGTGAATGAGCCTTAAAACTTAAGTCTTGAGTCGCGCTCTCCTATCATGGAAGGGGCCGAGAGAGACAAGCTGATGCTGCAGCAAAGAATTTCTTCGCTGGACTTCATCCTTGACGACGATGATGAACTTGACGATGACGACACAGATGACGATGCTGTGAAGACGAAGCGAGAGGCCTTCAGGAACCTCAAACAGGATTCATCGGTGGGACTAAATATTTTTACACTAGTTAATTGTTATTTATGAATAGATTTATTGGACATGCATTACCTTAAAAAAAATAAAACTGCAAAATGATGGATAAAATTTTCGAGAAATAATACTGGAAATGCAATTATAGCTTGAAAAAGAATGTTGAGAATGAGTCTGAACATTTTTTCAGGGAACTCAATTATTTTAGGAGTGAAATATTTAACTTCTTTTTGCACACAATTTTTTTCACAGCCATGTTACTTATTCAAACCTTTTTCATAGCAAATCTCTCAAACTTGATGAGCTGAAATGAAACATTATCTCGTAAATTCGATTGTTGAATGGGGTTTCGATCCTTGCTGACATATCGCAAAAATGGCATTTTGTAAAGTGTAAATTTAGTGCATCAGATACACAAAATTAAAATATCTAATAAATGGAACATATTTTTTTTCATGGGAGTGGCTATTGGACGTTTCCTTTCTGGTATTGCATGTCTAGAGTGAAATGTAATCTTTATCACATTTTTCGTCACAGGCTTCCATCGATTTCGACGACCTGCTTCCTCACGTAGGCGAGTTCGGCAAGTATCAAAAGCTGCTGGTCTTCCTCGTGTGCCTGCCAGCCTGCATCCCATGCGGCATCCACGCGTTCAGCCAACTCTTCATGTCGCCGGTCCCGGACCACTGGTGCCGGGTGGGCGGTCCGCAGTTCCGGACTGCTATCGCCGATATCCTAAGGACACAACAACTGGAAACACTACAACTAGAAAATCCTGCGGTCACAACAACACCAGAACTAACTGAAAGTTTAATAGATAATTTAACAGAGTCAATCATCAAAGACTTTGATTCAGGTAAATCAAATACTGAAGGTTCAACTGGAATGTCATCCACTGAGAACCCTACTGAACTAATTACAGAAGCTCCGATCACGTCTACAACTTTTAGAGGTCGACACCATCACCAACAAAAACATATCAAGAAACAAAAGAAATATTTCACATTTCCCAGTTTGCTTGAGAGCAACAACAATGGTTTTCACAATAATAATTCCAATAATTCATCTCATGGGAGTCGCACTGTACAAAATTCCAGAAAGTTCCTCATGAACCCATTGCGACCATTGGTCGAGGCAGCGCCCAGGGGCTCCATCAATGTTGTGAGGCGCTCTAGAGGGGCGGATGAAACGAGCCACAATAGAAATATTATTCGACATGGCAAATATGTACTGACTGAAGAAGAAGGCCATGAAAACCATTCGCACCTCGATGATGACCAAGTATTAAACATTTTTGCAGCCATCACCGCGTTAGAACAAAAGCTCGAAATACGTTTCTCGCTAGCCGAAGAAAAATCAAGCGGTGAGTTGCAAGTTACATCAGACTCTACCAACGAAGAAAAAATTAGAACTGCATACAATTTTTATTCTCCGTTACATCCCAGGGAAAATATTGAATCTGAGCAGGCATTGAACCCAGATAGTTTTTCACTTTACCTCCCACAAACTGATGGCTCTACCACATACAATATTCCCATACTAACTCCTTCTCTAAAACTCAACGAAACCGACAGCAAATTGTACGATCAAACCATAAGTGACAGACAAGTCAAGTTTCATCCTTCAGGCAATCAAGAAGGTATTGCTGCAAATAGACGGAAATATCGCGCGAACACAGCTTTCCGGGATAATGGATCTGAGAATACTTCAGCCTCTTATATCGCAGCGACTTCGACCTTTTACAACAATCCTTCAATGGAGATCAAGAACTCTAAAGTGCGATGGTTGCGAGCGTACGCTGAAGATGAAGATTCTATAGAGAGGCCAATGGGAAAAGAGAGAACAATTCGAGGGGATACTGAGGATGGAAAATTTATGGAGACGACAATGCGGATGGAAACTGAGGATGAAGATACTCTGGATGATACAGATTACCTTGTTGAGAACACAACAATTCCGGTCGAAGACAATGACAGCAATCGACAAACTGAAACTGTCAATATCCGAGCTGAGGATTTCCAGTTGCGAGTAGAGAAGTATATCAGAGATATTTACATCCCGAAAGAGGTAAGATACTTTTGCAATAGTTAACAAAAAATATTCAGTATTTTGTAATTTCGTATGGCACTAACCTATTTTATGAATATAATTTCGCAAACGATTTTGACAGCCTTAAATCAGAAAATTTGGTTATAGAATCCTAAAATTTGTCAAAGTCCCCAACAATGTGCAATAGCATTCTGTGAAATTTGTTATATCAATCTTCTCCTGAAATAAATCTTTACTAATTCATTTATATTGTTCATCTCAAACTTCCGTGTCTTATCAGGAATTAAATGACAGCCTGGGCAAAGGGATGCAGATTCTAACTTGCATTCAAACTCACTGACTGCCCCATTAACTTGGAATCTTTGCTGCTGAATTTCCTCATTAATTTTAAAAGTATTTGAACGAAATTATTTTTAGTTATTATCATTTTTTATATCTGAACTGAGTATGATTGCAAGCACAAGACGATATTACTAATGAAAATATCCTATTTGTTCTCTTATATATTTTTCAGGCGTCAGGCAAGTACAGCTGCTGCCAGAAGTACGACATCGAACCCTCAACTGCCCTGACAGCCGCCAACACGACCCAGGCGTGGCCTGTCGTAGACTGTAACCATGAATGGGTCTTTGACACATCTACTGTCAAGTCATCAATTGTTATGGACGTGAGAATAAATAAGAATTGTATTCACGGATAGCTTGCTTGCCTGAAAAATTATTAAACAGCGTATTTATTATAGTTTGATGTTCTGATGTAAGGGTATTTTTGAATTGAGAGTCTAGTTATTGTTACGAGCATTTTCAAGATAGAGGTCATTTGATTAGAATTGATAGTCGAAATATTGTTATTTTTCGTCATTATCAATGATCAGAGAAGTAACTAAATTACCAGTTATATTGTTTTTATAAATGAATAAATTAATTCACTTTGCGATTGATCAACATTAAAAAACACCAATGTGGAGTGGAGAACGGATTAGGGGCTAGTCGACAAAATCTACGGAGTTTAGACCTAAGATTTAAGTATCTTGCCCGATCTGTGAGCTCCGAGGTTGCTTTTGATTCATGAGAGACGAGTAAATCTTGACATATTTATTTATATTTATTATTTAATACTGTATATATGTATCTATAGATAATAAATTGATGTCATTGTGCTGTTCAGTTTACTTTAGTATGTCATCGCGCCATCTACCCCACCATTGCTCTGGCTGTCCTAAACATTGGGGGCATCATCGGGGTGTACTTCTTCGGCTCCCTGTCTGACAGGTAAGAATTTTGTTAGCATTTAGAACTAATAATTGGTATATGTTAAATCATCAATATACTACGAAATCAACAGTTTTCTGTCTGCAGAAAACGACAGTTAAAATCAAGATGCAATTGTCATTATTTATTTACTCGAAACTCTCATTTAATGTCAAAACCTTAATAAAAAGTTTCTCGTTTTCAATATTTTCCCCAGAAGTAATTTTGGTTTTATTAATACACTACTGAATATTATAACATTTTGTGCAAAAGTTTTAAGTTTGAAGTCTGGAAAATGTTAATACAAATTAATGCAGCAGCTAATGGTTAGTGTAAGATTGTTGTGCCGTTTAGATCCTGTCAAATTTTGCAAACCGTGGAATAGCTAAGACCTGTATTTCAAGAATCTTATTCGCGTGATACTTAAATTGGATCCAATTTCTTCAATGAAACGTTTCGGTTTTAAGTTGTATAGTTAGAAAACAAGTTAATCCTAACATATGAATAAGTATATATGAAGTAATGCAGGAGTTAACAACAGCCAAAGTTGGGAAATATTTTAGTAAATTTAAGAACATTTTAATACGGGTTTTAATTTTAAATCGCTAATAAAGGAATGTGTGCGCCAGGTTCGGGCGTCGCGCATCTTTCCTGCTATGCCTGGGCACCGAGCAGGTGTTCGCTCTCGCCACTGCCGCGGCCCCCACGTACGAATGGTGGCTTGCGTGTCGGTTCTTCGTCGGTCTCACCATCCCGGCCATATACCAGATCCCCTTCATCATTTGTGAGACCTCACATTACTGATAGATTTCTGTATCAAAATATATTTAGACGCAGAATAATCATAAAATCCATAGCAATATTAGAAAAATAATGATTACAATAATATTTCCATTTCATCGTTCCATTTTTGGGTAATAAATATCATCTATTATATTGAAAATAAATTTAAAATTATCAAGTTATCCGGTTATGGAGTGATTGATTAAAGCCAATTTTCCATTCTTCGGATACCACAATAATTCAGGGCCAAAAACGTAAACTTTCTTTACGATTTACGTAAACGTAAACAAGTTCTTTGAGATTTGCATAACTAGAAAAGAAAAACACAGCTGGAGTATCAGCGTGTATTACTCACACGTAAGTATTCGAAAGGACCATGGATTAGGAGCAAGAATTATCCGTTGAAAAAAATCATTTGAAACCATCGTTTCATCAGCTATGTTTAATTATAAATGTTTATTAAATGGAACAGCACACCATCAGTACAAACAAACAAATAATTTGAAATAAATTTTCATTTGATCATCCAGGAAAGTTCAACATTTTTTACTAGAGAAAATTTAAATGCCCATAACAAAAAAAAAAGATGTTATTGAAGTTATGGTCAGTTGAAGCGTAAAAATTAGAAACTATTTGGCTAACATATATATTAAGTTGAAGTTCTTTTTTATATCTAGTTTCATTGACCTATAATCTGTGAGCAGCACTCATGGACCTGAACTTCAAATCTACATTCATAAAATTCTGCGCAATTTCTCATCACAATTTCTCATCACAATTTATCATCACAATTTCTCATCACAATTTTTCATCAAATTTCTCATCACGATTTCTCATTACAGGAAAATGAATCTTCACATGTTCCGGATTGTTACGGTTATGTACAAGCAAACAAGTGATACACGCTTATTTCTTACTCTGCTCTACTGCAATATTTCTTTTTCTAACCCATTCACTACGCGTTGTTTCATTACTCCTCTGTGATGCATATAGCATTAGAGACGATCACATTTTCCATCAGCGATGGAGCTGGTAGGGCCAAACTACCGAAGTTTCGTCACGGTGCTGACGTGTTTCTTCTACGTGAGTGGCATGATGATCTTGTCAGGAGTGGCGTACCTCGTCAGGGACTGGCAGCTCCTCTGCGTCGTCACGTCACTGCCTTTCTTCACTTATATCATCTACTGGTGGTGAGCTACGTTTGGTGAACAATAATAACGGCACGTAAATCTTACTTGTTAATCTTGCGCTCTTATATTAATAAATAAATGATGATGTGCACGGATACAGAAAACTACTCAAATGTTCAAGTATAGGAATATTAATTTTATTGAATTCTAAATGATAATATAGAATTCATTTTGGTTTTAAATCTTTATCCCTCGTGCGTATTACCTTCAAGATTGTATACTCAATCAAAACGAATCAATCCTGTTATTTGGATTACTAATAACCCAGCATAGATACTATTGTCTACCATGGTGACGTGGATTTGGACATTCCTTCAAAAGAACCATATGTGACAGGCCATTTTAGGCTTGGAAACAACCGGCGCTAAGCTGTGACAGACAATTCCTGCATGAACGACTCAAAGATTATTAATTATAAACCGATAAGATTTGTATATGATATTTATACGCATATTTTTTACAATTGATCTTGGCATCACATATAATGGTAATTAAATACAAGTATTCCAACGACTTAACAGGTTTCTGCCTGAGTCCCCCCGTTGGCTGCTGGGTCGCGGTCGCCTCCACGAAGCCGGCCTAATTCTGCAGCGAATGGCGCGTGTCAACGGAGCCCGACTTCCAGAGTCATTCCAACAAAAGCTGTCGGTAGGGAGAACCCATACCCATCTTAAATTAACCCATCTTAAAATTAATACCAATATAAGTATGTAAAATTGATCTTTGTCATATGTCGTTCATGAAAGATAGCAACGGTCGCAATCTGCATGAAGCGAACCATTTTAAGTTGCATAATTACGTTAGTGCAGTCAATACATACCGATAATTTAACCTGCATAACAAAAAGTGATTTTTCATCAAAATTTGTGATAATGAGTGCACTCATTCAAGTTAATACAGTAATTTAGAATAATAAATATGCAACGCTCATTTATCAAGTAATAGATTTTATATGATATACGGTTGTTGTCAACTTGTATAGTTTAAGGTTACAGTTCGTACATCCCGTAATAAATTTTGAGGCCAGCAGCTAAGCATCACTAATTACTGTTTCACCAATACTTGAATCTAATTTCGGTAAATGTTGTAATTATCATCAACATTTCTGCACAGGAGACGTGTTGAATAGCGACAAGAGAAATAATTGTCAGACCTGTTAAAAAAGATACAAAGTGCACCCAGGGTCAAGGAAAATACACATGTGTAGCACAAATATCACTCTTTGCAAATATCATGAGCCATTAGTATTTAACATCCCTCAATGACTTCTCAACGAGTGCATGTTTCTATGTTCGCCCGAAATTGATCTAATCAATTCACTGCCACGGTACCAGGCAAAGTTGTAACAGTAGGACTTGGCTTCGTTGTAAACTGGCAAGGATTTATGGGGATTTTACAAACACTGGCAAGGACTTATGGGGATTTTACAAACACTGGCAAGGACTTATGGGGATTTTATAAACACTGGTAAGCACTTATGGGATTTTATAAACACTGGCAAGGACCCATGGGGATTTTATAAACACTGGCAAGACTTATGGGGATTTTATAAACACTGGCAAGGACTTATGGGGATTTTATAAACACTGGCAAGGACTTATGGCGATTTTTTTCTTCCTAGTCCCGAATGTTGGCCCAGCAAGCAGCCAGTCGAGGCTCGAGCAAAATATCAAGCAACGTCGACACTACCGATAAGGCAGGCTTCTGTGGGCTGTGGGCGACCCCCAACATGAGGCGTAAAACCCTCCTCATCATACTCGTCTGGTGAGACTTGTTGTCAGTTAAAGGATTTTCCTTTATCATTGAAGGACTAATACTAACTTCTTTTCAAATTCTAGGCAACATATCTCTGTGATTCTCAAATCTATTAATCTAACGTTTTAGCTTCATAAAGTTAACACTCGTACACATGTTTAGGAGTGTTTACATTTTACCTTTTAATTGTTTGTAATGCTTCGTTTCTTGACTAAACTTGTGAATCTTGTGCGATAAATATCATGTAGGACGATAAACATGGACAGGCGGTAACTATGATAATGTATCTATTGACAAAGGGAGGAAATGTCCATCTAAATGGTGCGTTGAACCTTCTGTCTTCAGAAACAGTAACCGTCGTCCACGCTGGAAGTATCTAAAGACCTGGTAACAACAGAGACAAAATGGTGAAGGGTAAACTTAGTTATTTACCACACATGACTGGGTTGTCTATTCCACTTTTCCTGAAAGGTTCGCGAACGAGACGGTGTACGTGGGGCTGAGTTACTACGGTCCTGTTATGGGGGACAACGAGCACCTGGCGTTCTTCCTGTCGTGCCTGGTGGAGGTGCCGTCCTACCTGCTGTGCTGGGTGGTCATGGACCGCTGGGGGCGCCGCTGGATCTTAGGGGTCGGCATGATTGTGGGGGGACTTTGTTCAGTGGCGACTGTGGTTACGCCTGCCCGTGAGTGATGCATCAAAATGATTTAATTTTGTACTCTTTAACTTTAAAAATACCGGGTGTCAAAATTGGAGAAAAGCGGCGACTATATTGTTTATCTTTAAATCAATAATTAAATTAAATTTAATTTTAATCAATTAACAGCACCTCACGAGTTCAGGTACTAATCTCAATATTTCGAAAAGAGGTAATCTCACAAAAATATTACCATAGTACAGAATCCACGGTAAACTTCACGCAAGGTTTATTCACAGCTTTCATCGAGTTCTTGCGTTTCAATAACGTTTAGTAAAATTTGTCTTGCTATAGAGAGAATCGGGTTATAAGAGAATTTTCTTCAGAGAATTATCTGCAATGCAAACCCATCTACGATTTTAGCTATTGCATTTATGTTCGTCCATTTATCACACGCAATCAAATGCATACAATAAATATGTGGATAAATGCTTCCACTTCAGTACCCTGAACTCCCTTCGAAGTGGAGTTAACGATGGTTAATTTGTTGCAGAGTCGAGCGTGATGGCGCAGAGTTTCTACCTCGTGGCCAAGTTCGCCGAGTCGGCGGCGTTCCTGATCATTTACCCGTTCAGCGCTGAGCTTTTCCCCACGGCGGTGCGGGGCGTGGGGATAGGGTTCGCTGCCTACGTCGGGGGAATTGGGCTCGTCGTTATCCCTTTCATCAATTACTTGGTTAGGGGGACCGATCATTTGTTGTTTGTCAGACTATAACTTATTATTACTTCCATTAATTGTTTGGTTAGGAAAGCAATGCCTGTCGTTTGTCAGACGATATCTTTGCATTATTTTTACTTTCATCAATTGCTTGGTTAGTAAAGCAGCCCTATGTTGTTTGTCAGACGACATCTTATTATTATTACCTACATCAATTACTTGGTTAGGGAAATATTATCTGTTTGTATCGGAAGAACCTTCTCATTGTTTCGTGAATTACTTGCCAATCAAAATACTGGCTATTGTTTGTGTCTAATGGAAAGTGTATTCCCACAAAATTTCTGTAAGTTCTAAATATAATTTAGTGTATTTAGGTGAGCTAATGAACTCTCTAATTGTATTGAAAATCAATATTGACAATTTCCATTATCTGAAATTAAATGTTCCTTATGATCGATTTCTCATTAGGCTGGTCTCTATAGATATTATTTATTGAGAACATTATCATTTTGTTATCAAATTGTTAGTTTGCAATTTTGGAATATTCTCTTATGCGGTTGGATTAATGTGAAAAATATCTGAATATTGCGTATTGTTATTTTTATAGTGCACGTGCAGAATTTAGTATTTTCTGGGTCGAAAAAATGCGCATCGCGAGGATGAGAGTCGAGCTGCCGTACGCAGATGGACTGAAGGAATTTTTCTATCTATAATACATGCATTCAGAAAATAAATAGGGTCATGTTGTCCAAATATTGACTCACTCTCTGCACGATGAACCGATACTGCTTTTTGCCAGGGGTCAGGGTCAGGGTAACCTACTCAAGGCAAAAGTTGCATCACATTGTGAACTAAGTCTTGTTCATTTCTCTGCGTGTGTGACCACCAGGGATCAGAAATGTTGTCTCTGCCCCTTCTGATCATGGGGCTGCTGTCTGTGGTGGGAGGCGTCGCGGCCTTCCGACTGCCAGAGACTTTGCACCAGCCGCTCCCCAACTCACTCAAGGAGGGGGAGCAGTTCGGCGCAAGCTTCTCCTGGGCAGACTGCTGCAGTTGCAAGCCTAAGCGCGATGAGTCAGAGTCAGTCTTTTATTTACCTCTTGGAAATTGTCTGAATGTGAACTGAGTTGTGTTTTATATATTATATATTATTTTTGAATCAAGCATGGAATTAATTCCAACGCAGAACCCAATGATTATTAGGATTTATTAATTGTTTGGGCTGATTTCGCGTTCAAATTTGTTTTAATCGAACAAATTTAAGTGTAAGAAATGTCATGAATCACTGAATATCCTCTGCAAATAATGACGATTGAAAACACAACTACGCACTCGGCCTTGGGTTGACAATTCATCTGAGTTACTGCACATTAATAATGGTTATTCCATCCGGCAGAAAATTTATTCTTATAACTGTTTGTATAACAATTAAGTAACCTAAATAATCATTTATCTTATTTTATATCCAGCAGCGACAAGGAGTCTTTCACGGCGCACGAATCTCGCAAGTATCGCGATGAAATAATCGACTTGACAAATCTTAACCTAATCTCAAGCGAAGAAGGGAGACAGACTCGTCAAAATCGTCGGTGTCGTCCCACGTCGTCGCTGCTCGCCGACGAGAGCGATTACGCAACCGAGAACGAATACAGCATCGACGAGGACCCGTCGAGCGGAGACTCGGGCCCTGGCGCAAGAGACACGGGCCCTGGCGCAAGAGACACGAGCCCTGGCGCAAGAGACACGGACCAGCGCTCGAGCTTCAAGCGAAGGAAGATGGCCAGCCGACGTGGTCAGTATTCAAGGGCACTCTCGCAGTTTGCTGATGAGAAACAAGAGCTTGAGAGGCCATTGAAACGATTCCTGTCATCGCACTCTGAACGTTCCCGCACAGTCGATCTGTCGTCTTTGGATGAAATCGCCCCTTTTTCACCAACTCTTCGCCACGGCGATGGAAGGATGTTCCTTGCATCAGGAAGCAGCCGAGATGCCATGGCAATAGATTCGACATCAAGAGAAATGCCACGGCCTGAAGAGGCGCTACGGCATATACGAGCACCTATCAAGAAGGGTAAGTTGGTCAAACAAGCGAGCATCGTTCCGATCATCACTGACTCGTCAGGTGCCATGAAAATGACCTTTTGGATGTGAGTTCTCTCATCGCACCATCGTGTTTGATGGGGGCTCTTTAGTCCGTACGACAAAGTTGAAAAATAAATACGGTCTTAATTGCAAATTTAAATTTTGGGTATTGCAGAAGAAGTTGTAAGTATGAAGGTAATTTATTTCAGTTGTTAATTAAAATTTAGACGTAAGTTGTAAAACATAAACATGAAAAGCCTTCGAACTCAAGTGCCATTATCATATAAATTTTGTGTTTACATTCATTTTATTGATAAGAAATATGAAATCCGGTACTTCCGTCGGAAATTTATGTTATTCAATTGCCAGCTCTTTTAGGCTCTAATTAATACAAAAACAATGAATGTTAAACTTTTATTTTAGAACTTCATCCAAAGACCTCAAAACGTCAAAACACGTGAGACAGCGGACGATGAAAGGAATTTAGGAGACCAAGTTTCGAAAATAGTTCTTGGTAGCGGTTTCATACAGGTTCTTCGATGTTACAAACGAATAAACCCGGCCCCTTTTAACTGTAGCTAGCAAAAATAAAATTTATATTTAATACGGCAATACCTAAATAATATTAAATTGTCACAATTAGTGACATTAAATTCGCTCCCCAAAGCAAGAAATTACCACACGTCTGTCAAAACAACCAGACGGATCTCTGAATTGTAAATTAGAGGTCGCTGAGTGTCCTAAAAATTGACCGATCTGTCCTACAATATTTACCGTTATTCTATCGAAACAAAATAAAAATAGCCGTAAAATAAATAAGAATTAAATAATAAGCTAGACAAGCCTAAAGGTTTGGCTACCTATTTTTGTATAGCTACAGCCTCACACCCACCATAAAATCTTCTGCCATCAAGTGGAAATGCGGCTTAGAAAATGAAAAAGGCTTTTTAAAAAGGTTTGGAACAAATAGTACTGTGATTCAAGTAAGAAGCTAAAGCCCAGAAGTTAAGATGGCCCACAAAAAGGAACAGCCCAAAATTAACTCTGGAGTCGGCATTCTTCTAATTAAAGAAAGAGTGAATTTGCGCTTTCTTCGAATATAGATAAATAAAACGAAGAAAAAAGAGAGATCACTCGCCCCTACTCACTGCAGTGAGTGAAAGAAAGCGCGTTTTCTCGTCGACGAAAAGTTGAGGTCACGGACGGACGGACAGACAGACAGACAGACGGACATGGCGAGCACAATAGTGCATTTTTTCCAAAAATGAGAAAATGCGCTAAAAAGAGAGATCACTCAAGCTTAAGAGAAATTGAGAAGGGATGGCTTCACGTACACTCCTGGCTGAACAAAATAAAATGGACGTTCACACCGCAAAGCCTTACTGCCAACAAGCCTATTTACAGACCACACCTATCGAAAGGTACGAAGAAGGAGAACACAAATCAAACAACTCAAGAAATTTGGAAATTTCTAACCGTTCCAGGATCAATTCAGTTGCATTGAGCGAGGCAATCTCAAAGAAATTTTTTATATCATAGCTCATGAAGTGAGTATTTTTGTCTCTTGAGAGCGTTTGGATGGCATGTCGTATTACAGAGAAGTTCTCATACACGAGTTGTTCATTATAAACTCAATACAAAAGATGATGTCCAACACTTCCTATAATATACAATTTTTCATGATATTATAGGCTTGTTTTACGACTGATTTTTATTTAAAAAAAACTTCCACTTCATACTTCATTTTAGGAGCGGAGCGCTGTTGCAATATGCCTCCGCGAAGTATATTATCGTGTCATGTATTTACCGCGAAGCCAAATCGTGGACTACACGCCCACTCAGTGCAATCAATAAATGAAGCAAAAATAAATAAATGAAGCAAAAGATGCCAAACCTCAGACATAAGTTCCTTATGTGTGGCGATAACCTGGGGCTGAATGTGACGCGAAGACACCAAGGGTAGAAATTAAATGACGAGATCGTGATAATTTTATTAACAGTTGCGTTTAATGTTTTATAGTAACACGATTAAATTCATCCAAGGGACAACACACAATTGACTGTCAGCAGAAAGACATAGTCAGCGCGGCCCCTAAACTAAAACAAAGACCGCAACAAATTATTAGCTGCACGCTGTACCGTTGCTCTCAAGCGGTGAATTGCGCGTGCATCGAAGATCCTATACTGAGAAGGGAAGAAATAGCCCACGTATAACGAGCATGGAAATTCATTATTAAAGGGCGGTCAATCGATAGAAAAACTTGTCGTCTGTTGAACTTTGATGCAAAACTAACACAAAAAATGTATTGAATTAAAAAGACACAGGAATTGTTGTTCAGCACGTCATATTACAATACTGCTAAACAGCCTATTCACAGGTTCATATTCTAATAACGTTCTGTTAAAACAGGTACTACACAGTAAATACATATATTACAGCGGATATCTAAAGGAAAACAATATCATCTTGATCGTTACCTAATATTAGGGAATTCATCACTCACTTTTCTACTCTTAACAACACTCGAAATATTTTAATAACTACGTGCAGAATCTTCACTAATATTGGCCCAACGGCTGCATGAGTATTTCAGTTACATGAATATGTTCGCCATAGCTCCGGAGCATCGATTGTGCTATTCAACACACGAGATTTAGCTTGCAAAATGCAGATCACAAGGAAATTCTATCGTATCTGCACTGCACAACTGCCTTGACTCTCTGCATGAACGCGGTGGTATTTGACTCCCTGCATGAACGCGGTGGTATTTCAGGAACAGCAATCGTTGTTAGGCCGTCAGTCGAACCGCATTCGATCCCTATGACAAACTGGAATTTATTCCTAGGACATGGTTAATAAAAGAGCACTCGAACACATACGTGCACATTTAGAAAGAATAATCACATACAATTGAACTTCAAATTGAAAATATGCACTCACAGCCACAATATAATGATGGCTCTCAGAAGATACATGCTATGAAGCTTCAATATAAATCACGAAACGTGTAATGAGCTGTTAGAGCTGATTATGTTGCAACGAGCAGAACTAATCATTAAAAGCAGTGACTGAGTTCGAATCTACATATGTTTTTATTTTTTTTTACTTTTAACCACGAGTATCTCATATTAATGAGGTTGAAATTATTCGCTGTTGGAAGAGTGAAAATTTACTGACTGATCATCAATTTTTCAAAGCTCACAATGCCTGCCAATCTATTAAATTGCTGAAAAAAATGATGCTATGATATTGCAAAATAAGATTTACCGATTCAGTAGCAATTAAAGTAAATGAACTGATTGAATATAAGGCGTAGGTAATAAGCACATTCTACAAAATGAAGTTCCGTCCCTGAATTGATCACGACATGCTAAATACTGCATGCAGAGGTGCTATAAGTTCATCAAAGCGTCTAAATTGTTCACATTGCAGCGAAGACGTTAAGATTCATCAACATCGGTGAGATGGACTATTAATCACGAACAAATTATGGTCAGCTGTATGCTTGGATCAATAAGTATTAATCTTATGTATACAATACTCGAGAGTTAACATCGTGAGACGAACACACTCGACCATTGGCTATAGGTTCTTAAATCTAATGACTAGCATTGCACTCGCGCCCAGCCTAGAACTGACTAAGGCCTTAAATTAGTTATCCTAGTTTCCTTAGGCAACCGCATGGTCGTGTCAGTTCAAGCAAGTTCGGTTCAAACCTGCTCGTATAAATTTAAAAATTAATCATGCATATGAAACATTTTTTCGTGAAAATTATGAAAGTTTTAAAAGAATTCAGGTAATATTAATATGTAAAATTAATATGTACTGGAACAAAAAATTATCCGCAAATATCTGACACTTGACACCGATCAATTCGAGCGAGAAACTTACAGTTTTTATGAATCATGAATGGACTGACACGACTATTCGACTATTACACACAAACATCAGGTTATATATATCCCTAGCTGCAGTGACGTCGGTGCTGCATTGGTAAGATTTGTGTACGAAAATAACGTGAGAGACGCATTTATCAATCTTGTATACCCGCCCACACAACGAGATAAAGTAGACAAGTAAGACTTCTGTGTGATGCGACAAACATACATGTTAGCTTCTTATGTGATGTGAAAAACAGAAAAGTTAGCTTCTTGTATGTTGCCACAACCTGATAAGTTAGCCTCCAGTGAGCTGCCACAAACTGATAAGTTAACCTTCAGGGAACTGCCACAAGACAGACAAGTTAACCTCCTGTGAGCTGCCACAAACAAACAAGTCAGCTTCTTGTATGCTGCCACAGAAACAGGCTGAGGTCAGTCAATTGTGACTGAAATTTGCTCAATGTTTCCTAAACAAGAAGTAAGAGAACCTTGAACATTGACGTGGAAGAGCCATTAGTGAATGTCCACCCGAGCTTCAAAAATAGATATTTGTTGCATGGGAGATGGTAGAAGCTTCTAGACCTGATTATGTTCTTAGAAAATCTTTTTAAAGTCAAGTACAGAGCTTTTCATTTTTAGAGAGGATGATAAGAAAAAATAATTAAAAAAATACAGATCCTTAACATAAATAACGTGTGAAATGCAAATAATATTCATTGAAACCTCGGAAGTTTACCTTATCAGAAGTCGACATTCTCAGAAGTCGATGCAAAAGTTTGGCAAATACGTGACTCGCAAGCCGATTAGATTTTACTACCAACCGTTATTGGCATGCGCTCAGTCGCCGACTATTTGTCTTTAGCCTGCAGCGTAATTCAATTGGCGTAAAACGACCTCGACTTTGTTGCTCTTTTTTAGTATTTTATGTAATAATATGCATTTTAACGCAATTTTATTCCAAATTCGATGCACCTCTTAGAAGAGATTGATGTTGACCACCAAAGGACTATTGAATTTCAAAAGTGAACTCATTTGTGATTTCTAAGAAAAACGATATCCTATCAACTGGTTGTTTGTCCTGAATTTTTAAGTTGGTTTAACTTCATAGGCGTCATTTTGACTCGGTTAAACACTAGCACTAAGCTGAACTGCACAACTACAAACGTCCTCAGTATCTCATGCCTTATTTAATTTTCATGTCTGAAAACGATTCGCCTAAAACAGATAAAGCTTTTTCTTCCTGGTAACAAGAATAGTCAAAGAGAATATAAATTAAGATACTTGGATGCCAAATAATTCACATCATATCAATAAACAACCAAAACCATATCACAAAGTTCCTCAGAACAGAAGGATATCCGAATAATTTTCTGAAAGATACGAAGGTGCAAACGAGTTCAAGAAAGATAGTTGGTTTGGCGTCGTAAGCTAGTGAGCCTGAAAAGTGCTATGTTGTGCAGGAGTGACATTTCATATGTTTCTGTTGTCTAGGAAAGGATCCAATAACATCAGAACTAATTTATCATTAAAGACTAGGCTTAGTAATACGGGCGACGGAGATCGCTTCTGTTAATTTTACATTGTCTTTGGTAGCTTGCTGCATCCCGCACACCCATTCTCGCATACCCATTGGAAATTAGAGGCGAATCCAAGAAGATTTGTCATCGGTCACTGAATATATTCACCGAGATGCCACCTTTTATTTCCAATAGGACTACAGAATTAGAGCTCAGCGGACAAAAATTAATTGAAATCTTTGAACATCGAGCGACACATAGAGAGCTAAGTTAATAGTAACACTTTACCCGTCACTGTAGGGCTGGGCCTTCATTTGAATATTATAAGGTCCATGGAGCTTTGAGCGACAAGCGGTTCCTGTTATGGAGCACAGAGTTAGTTTCTTTGGATAGGAAACTGATATTCTAATGAATTTGTCCGCTAAAAAATTCAATGCATCTAGCAGGTGACAACTCAGACAAGCCCAAGTAATTAGCTGATCAGCAGATATTTCTATCAATTAGCAAAGAAACCGGAAATTAGGAACTTAATTTTGCCACCCGCAGACAATATGATAGTCAACGATTAAATTCAACGCACTTGAGAATCTCCGCTCTGAAATGTAAAATTAAAGAATGTGCAATGAAATTTAGGACCGCATTTTTACTGTGTAAGTTAATTTCCTTGATGCTTGAATGTTCCTATTGATCAATAAATCATTTTTGCCGGAAATTTCTATGTAATTGTTGTCGAAGGCGTTTATAAGGGTCATAATGTCTATGAAAACAGAAAAACTACGAACATTTCTATCAGGAAGAAATACTTCACCGTCAGTAAAAATTTGCTCGATTTGAAGCCAATCCCATCATGAAAACCACTAACTCGCTGATATTCTATAGGGTTAAAGCTGTTAATTACTGAGGCGTACACGCCTTACGGACATAAACTTATTTGCATTGATGACGCGGGCGAATGACAGGAGTCGAGACCAATGTAGAGTGGAGATGTAGTCAGCGGTTTCATCGCGCATTTTGATCCATGCCAAGAAGTGGGTCAAGATACGTGATCTATACCAAGGAGTGGGTCAAGATGCGTGATCTATACCAAGGAGTGGGTCAAGATGCGTGATCCACTCAAAGGAGTGAGTCAAGGTGCGCGACCCACACCAAGACACCAAGAAGTGGGTCAAGATGCGTGATCCACAAGGTGATCGAGTGTCAACAAGCGCGATGCTCCCGTAGCTGCCAGCGGTCAGCTTGGATAAGACAAACTCTTCACTCAACCGCAGAAACAAGGATGAAATTAAGGCGCTATTTTACGTTCATTAACATGATTCGTCAAACTCCATTTGAAATCATATGTTAATTAAAGACGTTCATCCATTATAAAGTTTTCGGAGATTAACAAAGCAGTGTTAATGTTAGCTTTCTTTCAAATGTCCATAAATATTCAATTTCTCTTTTTATATCTAGCAAATTTTGAATACCTACATTATAAGCAATAATTACATGTAATAGATATTTAACGTTCAACATCAGGGAGGAGAAACAATGTATGTACACCGAAGCAAATTACTAAAGTGGCTTCAAACCTAATTCAAGTCAACGTATTCACGCAAATAATTCCTACACAATTATCTGCTAAATCTTACAACTAAACATGTAGAAAATATCAACTTACATTTCATGAAAACTAACTTTCCTGTCAACAGTCACGCAACTCAGCTAAAAATGTAACAGAGGAAAGCGTAACGATTAATTTCTTTTACTACAACTCGCTCCCTACAAGACAGGTGAAACAGACAGTCATTATTTGCATGTTAATTAAACACGCAAGCTTCTGAAACTCTTAAACCGGATCCGCCATTCGCTATTTAACAAATAAGCATTTCCGCTCACTCTGATATGTTCACCCACACTTAAAATCAACCTAATAATGCGAAGGTCAAATTTTCATTTATAATTAATTTTATCATTAAAAAATCTAATAATGAAGTGATCAACAAATTTATCGGCCTTCATGGAAACTTCTCTCATTTTAACAATCAAATAATAAATTAAAATGATTACTGCTATTCAAATCGCGTACAAACTAAGATTAAAAATAAACCCTACTGAATAGGGCATTAATCCTACTCGACTGAGGAACATTTCACTGGTGGTAGCAGGCAACTGCCAAGAAGCTGCCTTCTGCTGAATGAACTGTCATCGATCAGCTGCACGACGAGAGAAATAAGAACTACGCTGGACACGAGATGAGAACTCTACGCACGCACAACACTCTGGTCAAACCTTACATCAACTGACATCACCGATCACCGAACTCAGGACATTGGTCAAATAGGCAAACAATCAAGCGTACTGTCAAGAAATCGTCTCCGTATAATAATTTATTCATTAGAGATTATCTACGGAAGAGACATATAGAAACAATATTTAATATAAAATAGAAGAACCTTTGTGATGCCAGTCAAATCTCATGCCACGCAGTTCGTGATATCGTCAAAACTTAAAAAGTAAATCGAAGATTAGAACTTCGAGATCATTCTGTGAGAAACCAACAACAATTCAAGAATAATTTACAGACGAACAATTGAGAGTACCATCAACTAATCTCTTCGTAATGGTAATCCACTCTTGAAACAGCATAAACAACAGTATGCATCGCTAGACAAATGACACGGTCTATGTGGTTCCTTACTTTAGGCAGGAATAACCATGAACACTTAGGAAGACTCGTCACTGCTGGAGTCGTGTGCCGCCTCCTCGGCAATCGGTTGCTTTTTCAAAGCCTCTTCCCTGGCAAGAGCTTCCGCGTCTTTCTTGGTGGCCACGATGTAGTCTCCGGGGCCACTGGGCGTCGTGAACTCCATCTCGACTTTGTATTCGTGCCGCGCTAAGTAACGCACGTACTTCTCTGGCGGGTCTTCGCTTGTGACGCTAACACTCCGCATGACACAGTGACTCACTGTCGTCGCCGGCATGGTGAACTCGACGTAGCAGTGCCTGCGGGAACCAGGAAATTGTGGTGAGGCGCTACAAGAGTTTGGTTAACTCAGATTTTTGGGACAAAGTAAAAAGAATTTCTTTTAGGGATAAAATTACATTAGGGTGACATTGGTCATCTCATGCATTAACCATCATAAATAAAAAAATTTTCTCTGTTATACAAACAATATAAACGGTTTGAAGGAGATGCCATCAATGAAGAGTAATCTGAAGCTCTGAAAAAAGAAAGAACCTAATTTTCAGGCTCATATGGAGCGACATTTTTCTGTTTTTTTTAGATATTTACATCTAATTATCTGAAATTTGGGATGCAATTTCATCGGCTCATGAAATTGCATACCTTGTTTTCTAGCTGCTAAGTCACGGCCGGCGCGGTCGTAGCGTTAAAGTTTACCGTACTACAATATCGCGCCAAGACCTACTCTCCTTGGAGATCGTTGATGCTCTGTCTCTAGAACCTCATTTGCGTGGGTGCCTCTAATTTCCTCGTGTTAGCCTCTTGTCGTAACCGCCGGCGCCCGGCCGTAGCAGTCACCCACGTCTGCTGAGCTTCAAACTTTGTTTGCGTGGCAGGTTCATTCGGGAACCTCGATCATCTTACGTCGGAATTTTGTTGATTATATGCGCTGTCGCGCACGGCTAAGCCTATCTATAAAAACGCCCGGCCGCAGCAACAATGTTGTAATGTTACTTCCTCTGCCATCGCTCTGCCCTCGGCCGATAGTAAGGATAATCACCCCAAGGCCACAGAAACATTCTTAGGCTCCACATTCTCCACGAGTCTTGCCGCTGAACCCCATCCCAGTCTTAACCATGCAACTTAATACCAATTTTCAAAGTATTAATTTAATCTATAATCTAGCTAATTCAATAACATATGTCAGACTTCACCCAATACATTCCATACTCTTACCATTATTCGTCTATTACATTAGTGAGCGGTCGCTGAACTCTATTAATCTAAAGGCACATTTCTAAGTACTCTAGAAAATATTCCCCGTCTCACCGGTCGAGTTTGTCAGGCTTCTCGTCGTACGCGGTGAGGTTCATGCGGCACGAGAAGTTATGCATGGTGTAGGCGCCCTGCCCCTCCTTGGGCAGGCGACTCATACGCCACACGATAGCGCGGTGCTGGTGCTCGTATTTCGCCTGACCAGACGTGACCTCCATCAGCGCCGGCTCTGGCCCCTCCACGGCTCCCTTGATGCGCTCAATGCCCTTCACTTTGCCCGGTCTGAACACATTCGGTCTCATTTAATTATCCTTTGGTACGATGAGAAGAATTATCACTCATTCTGTTATCACTCAGTTACACTTTATGAGACTTTAAAGACGAATAATTTATTTGAAATTAATTATTTGAAACTTAATTAAAAGAGAGAAATTAATAACGATCAAGTGAATAAAAAAAATAATAAGAAAAAGAATTAGACTCAAGAAGCAGAAATTTCAAGTGTTTGGTACAGGTCAAAGAAATAATATAAGGCAAATAAGCTCAATTTTTGTTCGTAGACTAAATGATTCGCAATCGTAAGGATTGCGCATGGCAAAAACTTAATACTAAAAAATTAAAAAGCTGTTCATCAGAAATAAAGTAATGCAAGAGCAAACAATTTATTCATTTTCCAAACATTTTGTCTTGATTTACTAGGAGAACTAACCTGCGGTGAGCGGACTTCACAGAACCGTATCGGAAGTGTTTCTCGACGCGGAACATGTAGATCCAACACTCAGGTATCGGGAACCTCACAGCCACATCCTCGCACGGTACCTGCCCCAGCTTGCGTCCACTGAACCCAGGGATCAAGATCTCGCTCTGGATCTCGACCTTCGTGCCCTCCGTGATGATCTTCGTTTTGATCTGTAGCGGCAGCTCGCGGTTTTTCGGGGGGCGAACTCGGAAGCGCATGAGTTCGATGTAGCAAGCGTCTGGAGGCTTGAACCTGGAGTGCATTGCCAAGGGACATTAGATCCGAGTCTGTCACCTAATAATTTTTATCAGCTTTAAATCCTTACGTAAAGTGTATGTTGTATAGCCAAATTCGTCTGCCATTCTTTGCTGTTCTTTCTTCCTCCGATAACATTTCCCGGGGGAAAAATGACTAATTCAAATTAGAATTGTCTCAGCCCAATTGAAATATTGCTATACAATAATTTACACACATGTCAGCTGGCGGACTCGTTAGCGGGCCAACTTTTGGCCTCGATTTTAGTTGAAGCCACCGCACTTCTTCGAACATGACGGGTTAGTTTGCTCATGTTTAGGTACTTCATTTATATTTTGACGTTTAGGTTTTAATATCTTCAATGTGAATTTTAGTTTAAACAGTTGTTTTTACTCGTGTTATTGGTTTTTGAAATTAAGATGGAGCTGGACTCAGAAACGTTTTCCCTCTATGAAATAGTGAATTTTTTGGCTGTTTGCTTTGCTTTTGAATCCTTGAAATCATTAGAAGTATAAGGACACATCTTTCATGGAACTTAAGGATTTGTATCATTAGCCGGGGGTCTTAAAACTGAACTATAATTGTAATCCTTGACTGCTGTTAAAAATTTCGCTATTTCTGAATGTGTATACCATCACGCATCATCTCTGGATAAGATCTTCATGATATTTAGATTAGTGAAATATATTTTGTGCCCTTATATTTATTGTAATTTGTTTATTATCAACCTCGTGTGTCAGAGCCCGGGGGCAGAAACCTCCAATTGTTAATTATATTTATGCATCTACGACGCTATTACTTACTTTATGTGTCGCGTTTTCTCGAAGACGTCCTCTTCAACGCAACAATGGAACTCGATGGCCTCCAGTCTGATCCACTCTTCGGTCACCACGGGGATGATGTCGTGGCGACCCACCACCTCCTTGCCTTGCTTACGCAGGTCGTTGATGCCAAGGTCAACATCAGGCATACCTGACGAGGTTAAATAGTTACGACTGAATTTATGAACTTTTTGAGTTTTGTTAGCCATAAATTCTTAAATTTTTATCACCAACTTCAAATAAACGAAATGTTTTGCCCTCACCCAGCATAAATATTATATATAGGAGAAGTAAAAATATATTCAAAGGTCATTATAAAGATTGTTCAGTAAAATAATTATTTTTTATGCTCGTTCCAACCGAATACTGGCGTCACCCGAGAAATGCATCTCCTAACCCCGGATTGAGTTAATGATGCATAAGAGACAGCCAGTCATCATAACGCATTGCATACATTAAACACAAATTCAAGTTGAACTCTGCGGTTGCTAGGACCCAAGTGCAATCATAAAATATCGATGGTACAACCTAAATCAATGGTTCATCACTGTTCATAAGTAAATTGTGTGAGCACACTCGACTCTTCTGATATTCATAATGAACTCTGTTTAAGCTAGTGTTGTAGTCAGCCATCAAAATCATGATACTCTACAACTATCATATATATAAATATTTTTTCCATCCTAGGTTACTATTAAATATTCATTCTAAATCATCGTTTACGTTAAGTGGGGAGCCCGACCTGAGAGGAAGCCCAGGAAGAAGATGCGGACTCTGGCGATCATCCTGTGGACGGCGCCGCGCAAGTCCTGCTCGAGGTAGATCTCGTCGACGGCGGTCAGCTGCACCTCCTCGGTCTTGTATGTCAGCGCGCGGTCTCGGTGAACTGTCAGCTTGAACAAATGTTCCTCGATGATCGAGGCGAACACCTGCCACATAATAATGTTATTTATTAGATATAACGACACAAATGGATGTTGCTGAAAATTGTGAATGTCATTGGAATGGCTGCAATCGTATTTTTAGGAAGTGACAATAGTAATGCCGTTGGCTATGAAGGACCGTAGTTTAAATAAAATCATTGAATATTTAGCAAAGAATCAGAATTTCAGAATTTTGTTTATGATTTACTGCGTCAAACATTAAAAGACGTTGGCTATGATGGCATTCACACAGAGACTGGACAAGGGAAATAATAAGCTATCGAGTAAACTAGGAAGGAAACATATTTTCATTTAGCATGTTTATCGATGATTTTCTGAGCTCGGATCAAAATGTTTGAGTTCTAGGGTGTCTGAGAGGCAAATTATACGCTTCTACAAAGCTTGGATAACCGAACATCGCTTTCACTGTCAGTCAATTAGAACCCCGTCAGGCTTGCCACCTCGCATAAAATACACTTTAAAAAGACGAAATTTCGGCGGTGTACCTTGAGATCCTCGTAGTTCTGCGTGCCAAGCTTGAGCAGCTGCGAGATCTGAGGCGCGTGCTCCACTGGCATGCCGAGCTTTCGCACGTCGCTGGCAAACTCCTTCACTCCTTCGTAGTCGCCCGCTATTGCGTACTGAGCAAACTTCGATAATTTCGTTGTTATTCGTTCTGCTTTACTTATCTGGCCAGGCCTGACGCCCGGACGCTCCTTGTAGAACATGTACTGGACCTTCACCGTGAAAATTTTCCCGAATTGGTCAAACTGTTGCGCTCCTGCCATGCAGAAAAATTGTGAAATTGAAACTGTTGACATTGTTGAACGAAGATTAATTCTAATATGAATTTGTCTAATCGAAGATTAAGAAGTTTGGCTAATTGCTTTCATATTTTTAAAAATTTCATGAATTATCACGTGATATCACCATGAATTACCACCTCATTGAAAATCAACGAGTGGTAGCGTCGTGTCCTAAAATTAGAGAAGAGATCTCACCGATATCCGAGACGGAGTAGCAGGCTTGTAAGGGCAGCTCGTGGAAAGGATCTTTGTCGTCGTCTTTGTTGAAGAGTTGCAATGCGCCGCCGTCAGCGAACTTCACAAATACTTTCTTCCAGAACCTGAAAAAGTTCAAAAGTTCTTAGAAATAAATGTCGTGCCTACCAAAGGATTACAAGCGAATGTAACTACGAAAAAAAATCGAGCTATTAAGAGAAGCGTTCTAATTCAAAACGTTTACACTACGTAATCGTGAAATTAAAAAAAATACAAGAGAATAAAATGCAATAATAACTTCGAAAATTTTAATTTGTCTCTCGCAAAGTGCAATGAAAGAGGAAAGTCAACTTAGTAAAAATCCTTGATGACAATTAGAATTTCTATGTATTATAGAGAAGCTACAATAAATAATATAGTTACATGTAAAAACGTGATGGTAAAAACTTGTCCTCGAGAAAAAGTTTACAAAATCAAGTGTAAGCCAAAGAAAGCTGATACTAAATTCGATCAGGCCGAAACGATCAGGCCAACGACTCCCGAGCTGAAATTTCGCAGATATCTACCAAGCAATCGATAGCGACAAATGTCTAACTCCTTCTTCATGTCATTATATTTCTATTCTAATGGGATGAACTTTTTTATGTTTTATCGCTCGAAGAAATCTCAAGTGGTTGCATTAGTTATTTCAGTTATCCAAAATCCATTTACTTGTTCCATTTACAGACACATTATGGATTTGTTAGCTAACACAGACGAATAAGGCACATCACAACATCTCTAAACACACAAAAAATTTCCAATTTGAAGCCTATACTAACGAAGCATTTTAATGATTTTAATGATAACAGCTCTTAGAACAACACGCATAATTTACAATGCACAAGCTTCATCATAGCGCGACAAAAAATGTGTTGCTGGTGCGCACGGAGAGCACAGGTCAACCACACTAAAATGGTGCGAATTTCAGGTTGAAGATGAAACGTTACTGAAGAATCAGTCGTCCTTGTCTTAATAAATGCGGAAGTTGTGGGCAAATTATAAACAGTCATACAAGGTGTGAAACTGAAATGCATTTGTTCCATACAAAGGAACGGCATCTAATTACAGTTTTACAACAATAATGTAAAACATGTTCCTCCAAAACAATTCTCTGACAGGGACAGTTTCATATCAATTTCTTGTTTCTGTGAAACTTCAGATTGCAAAAATGTTTCGGAATAGACTAAATTTAAATGTATATGAGTAAATCTTCGCGTTGAAAACGAAAATTTTTCACTCATGCACACCGTGTGTGAGCAGAAAAACCATGTGCGGAAAACTTGAACATATTTGGAATATCATTTAGTCTCATCCATGCTCAACACGCTTCATATATATAAAGCCAAAATGAGCTCCGACAAGCGCCTGCACTCTAAGTTTGAAGCCGTATAAGCGATGTCAAGAGCGAGTAAGCTTGAAAAAATACGCGTACGAATCTAGTGAATCTAGTGAGTTGCTGGCGAACATTAGTTGTGATTATCTGGCGTACAAAGTGGTGGTGCTATACGTATACACAGCTAAAGATAAAACACGCAGCAAACCTGTTTGTGACAAGAATGCGTCCCTCACTACCGGCTAGCAGCCTGTTCGATCAAACAAACCATTACTAACTAATCAAGAAGAGCAGTGATAACCGACCACACATTTTGGCAGCCTATAAGTGGGCGATTCGTTTTCGTTTAAGAATTACTTGAAAAGAGACCATTAATTCTTATTGCAAGTAAATCCCCTACTAATGTCGACCAAATTAGAAGCAAGCTTGTAAATAACACTTCACCTTTGAAAATCTCGATACCTAGGCCGATCAGATCAGAATCATATCATATTAGATTTGAATGTATTTATACCATTAGAGTAGTTATTCTGATTTATTACACCTTTACAGTTTTTATTTGAAGGAGATTACCACAACATAATTTGTGTGCGAAATATTCAATATGATATATTGATGAGAGAAAGGTAAGATGTCGGCCTGTCTTTGATATAGGTGAAGCAGTTATAAAAATGTATGGAAGATCAATCTTTTCTACGTATATTTCCAACATGAAGAATAATGCCTCAAAATGCCAAAATTATTTCAATTGTTAAGATGCATGTACTTTTTTTAGCAGGTGTAGTATGACGAATTTGAAATATTGTAGAAATTTATGTTATGCTCAAATTTCAATTCAAATCAATACTTGAGCTTGTTAGATACACCATAACTATGATAGTTGACTCGTCTAACTACACAATTTTTTGTCGAATGCTTCCCGATACCTACATTTGGAGGCTCATTTTGTCTGCACAATATACGAGTATACACAATCGTGCCAAAATCTAACACAATTTTCAATTTTTTTCTCTCAATTTTGATACTTGCACTTCAGGCACTCTTTGCAGTTTTGTCTATTTAACTAACCGATTTAACTCAACGAATCATAATCAGTGGCTTTGATATGAAAACAATATATGATCACAAAGAAAACGGACAATATTTAAATCAATATAGATGTAAATAATCAATACAGATGTAAATAAATTCTGTTCTGTGTTCAACGGTTTCTCAGAAGTTAGATGCAGCAGCTCAAATAATTTTATGACTGACTATATATATTTGAATCATTTGGTAGTTGACTTGAATGAAATCAAATGGCTTGTTAGCTGAATATGAGCTTAAATTTTCTACCAGCGGCTCATATCAGTATAAACTAACAGACTAGTTGAACATTTAATACTCCCAAGACGATTTTTTGGTCTGATTGGAGGTTTGAACACGGTTTCAATGAAGAATTTAAATGTCATTTTTCAAGCTTTCAAATTCTTATGAGTAAAATAAAAATGATTCCATTAACTTTCCAAATGAATTCTTGTGTAAACTAGTCATGCGGTCTTTCCACTATACACATTTCTTTAACTATCAACACATACACATTTAATTTTGAAAACTATAAAAATTCGTGCGATTTGCCTCCATTATATCGTTGGTTACTCTTGAGGATGACAAAAAAATAATTATTTAGAAATTCCGAAAACTTCAATTTTTCAACACCACACAAAATTTATCTTCGATACACGAAATGAAAATCTTTGTCTCACGTGTCGAATGACTTTTTATCGTCCAATATCAATTTAGTTCCCTTCTGTGAAACACAACAAAAAAGCTAAATTAAACCACCTGCTTCTGCATTACATTGATATCAAATGAAATTGAAATCAATTAATGCAGATGATGTTCTTACCTTTGACCAGTAATTTTCTTTTTAGACATTTTATTGTCCAATATCAATTCATTTCCCCTGTGTGAAACACAACAAAAACAGCTAAATTAAATGCCTGTTTCTGCATTTCATTGATATCACATACAATTAAGATCAATTAATATAGATTATATTCTTACTTTTGTCCATACAATTAAGATCCATTAATACAGATGATTTTCTTACCTTTGACCAGTAATTTTCTTCTTGTTGGGTTGTCGCAAGAACATCTCCCAGCCGGGGCCAGTGTACGTGATACGCGGGAACTCCTCCAGCTGCGTCGACTGGTCCTCGTCGAACAGCGGCGTCGGTGGCGTCTCCTGCGAGTCCGTCCTCTTGAACTCCGGCATACCTGTGCCATAATTATGTTCACTATCGTCATCACCATTTTTAGCACCATCATTATCAGCTTCTTGAACTCGAACAATCCTGTGCCGTAACATATTGTGCTAACCCAACTGACATGTTACTGTAATATTGATTATTACTGTGAAATATTGTTACTGTGCCTACCTTCCTGCTCTGTGAAGGATAGCTCGTCTGGGGGTCTGTCGAAGGGGTTGAAGCGCGGCGTAGCGTCCGCAAAAGCGGCGGTCGCGGGCAGCGCGGGAGGAGGCGCCAGCGCCGGCACGAACATCGAATCGGCGGTGACATCAGACGACGAGTCTGGCCCCGCGGGCCTATCGAGAATTAGATCTTACATTAGCTACATTGGCATTAAATCTGTAAAATTCGTGTGGATTGGGGACTACGTGACTCGTTCACAGATGTTCTATAAAGACAATTTTAAAATAGTGAACATTACTACGGCATGCTTCGTTGAACCTATAGAACGGAAGTTGCCTATCGAGAGCTGTGACTAACACATTTACGAATGAGTGAGTCTTCTACTTAATGATCGTCCAAATATTGGACGATCATTCAAAGAATGTAATAATGTAATGTAAATAATGTAATGTAATGTAAATAATGTAATAATAAATAATTACTTGATCAAATAATGATCAAGTAATTTTGTTGGCTTAAAATATAAGTTTTGTTTTAATTAATTTAAATTTGATTTTAATTTATGATTCTAAAAGTTTATGAATTCTGTTACACCAAAACCGGAAGCTGTAACCTCGTTACTTTGTAAATTTTATAAGATAATTTCGACTACAGCGTTTGGTTTTTTAGTGGATCCATTTGCCGAAATTGTGTTCACGGTCAATGTTTTGATCTCCAAACTTATTATTCATTTTGTTAAAAAATTAAAGACAAACGGGATGCGTCGGCCAGCCAAAAACTCCTCACGCAGTGTTCGACGATATCAGTACATGATTTCATACATTCAACGATAAATCTCACATTTTTCGGCCTCCGGGAGTGAAATTTAAGTAGATGTATGCTATGTTTAGACATTGAACATTTCACGACTAAAAACTTTAAAGACAATATTAATTGAAGGTCGCATTCGTTCTCTGAACAGGTCCACATCTCTCACTTGATGACGACGGACATGGGAGTTTCGTCGGACTCATTGGATCCTTCCCTCTTCATGTGGTGCGGGGTGGACTGCGGCGCCGGTGGCGGCTCAGTCATGCTCAGGAAAGAGTCGAACTGAGCGTTGTCGCTGAACCCAAACGCGTTCGAGGCCCCACCGAAGCCGGACATACCGCCAGTGTCCCCCCATGGCGATGCACCAGCTGAAAATAGTTTAAACATTTTCAGCTGGTGCGTATTTGAATGAATATGTCTACTTCAGCGACAGAAGCATGAACAATTAAGTAAATAGAGAATACGGATTGCAGCAAAATTTTCAAGCAAATGGATTGAAATACATAGTAATATTACTGGTAAAATTTCAATAATCACAATATAAAATTACTTTAATTAGGATAATTTATCATATCTGGGAGCACATAATTGAGTACGTCGAATAGGTACTTACTTTCTGGTGCAGCAGATGCAGACCCGAAGGGATCGGCTGCCCCGTCATCGACAACTGCATTTTCAAACCTCGCTGAAAAAGCGTCGAACTCCTCATCGGTCGCTGCTTTAGATGCAGGGTGCAACGCAGGAGCGAGAGTTGGTAGAGCTGACGGAGCAGTGCTAGGCGGAGCAAAAGGATTAACCATTGTATTGCTCTCACTCTCAGCAAAAATATCGAGAGCCGCTTCGTTTCCAAGTCCAAACAAACTGATTCCGACATTTGGAGCAGGTGCACTTGTTCCAAATAAAGTTGCTCCTGTCGATTCTGCTGTGGAGAGTATAACATTCGACATTGGCTCACCAAAAAGTCCTAGTGCCGCTGCGTCCATTTCGGGAGGTGTGAGAGCTGTCGGAGCTTCAAATGTACGAGCTGATGGTAAATCTCCGAAAATATTTGTTGTCGTTGGCACGTCAGGTTCACCAAATATATCCCCACTTACTATTGGTTGGTGGATATCAACTTCACCAAACAATCCTAGGGTGGTTTGTTGGTCAAGAACTTCAGGAACAATTTCAGCTATTCCTCGACCAGGATCTACGGAGGAAAGTGTAGGTACACCAAAAATACTTTCAGGAGATTGTAGCTTCGATGTTTTACGCTCAGGTGGGAGTGGCTTTGGAGGCTTTTTTGGAACACCAAAAATATCTTCTGGAGATTGACTTTCTGATGTAGATTCTGGAGGAACTGGAACTTCGTGTTCTTCAGAATTTGGCACTCCAAATATATTGGAATGGTCGATTTCATTTGCTTTGTCTTCCGGACTTGTAATAGAAACTGGAAATGATGTTTCAACTGTCGAACTTTCATCGTCCACTGTAGGAAGAGATATTTCTTTTTGTTCTATCGATTTGAAAGCTGCGTCAACGCTTTTGCCATGAACGGCTTTTTCGTTTATAACAGAATTTTCGGCAAATTCTTCCAGAACTAATTCAGGATCAACTGCTGTTGAATCTCTCCTAATGTCGGAATCTACGTCCGTAGTCGTTTCGATGACTGTTGGCTCACTGTCAGTCTTTTCACTAACCTGTTCGGGTGAACCAATGGAACTCCCTTTTGCTACAAGTTCATTGGAGTTCTCCTCATTCTGAATCACACTATCGTGTGCTGGGATAGAGTTCTCAGCGTCAAACAATGATGCGGCTCCTTTTGGTTCCTCTTTCGCTTCTGTTGCGTCGGAAATTGCATCATCCGATAGCAAATCGAAGCCACCTGATTTTTCAGATTCCGATTTATTAAATAAATTCATAATATCTTGTGTTGACTTGGGTTTATTCTGAGGAATTTGCTCTCCAAAAAGATCGATTTCATCTGAAAGACAGGGTTCTATTGCTTCGGAATGACTGGGTTCTACTTTTTCGTTTTTATTGTCATTGTCTTCAAAAAACTCATCAGATTCATCGTCATGTTCGATAGTTTGACCGAAAATAGCACTGAATGAGTCAGACTCCTTTTCTGGTGCAGTCACATGAATGTCGGGAGTCGGACTCCTAGTATGTTGAGAGTTTCCAAGAGATGGGCATGGCATCATAGTCGTGGAAAAGGTGTCCTGCAATTTATCAGTAGTATCTTCCATGGCTCCAATGACGGTTTGGAGCAGATCTTTCGTTTCCTTGGATGGAGGGGGAGGTCTTCTGGGTGGAAGAGGCCGGTCATTTGTTCCATCATTCAGAGGTGATCCAGGTCGTGAAGCAGGTCGTGAAGGCGGTCTAGATGGTGGTCGTGAAGGAGGTCTTGGAGGAACTGCCGGCGATGATGGCCGACGGGGAGGTAAAGGTCTTGCAGGTGATGCCGGGCGAGGTGGATGAACAGATGGAGAAGGTGGTCGAGGAGGAAGTGATGGCGAAGGAGGTCTGGCTGGTTTTGACTCGTCTTTGAATAAATCAACGGCAAAGTCATTATGACTGGTAATTGCTGAACTGAACAAATCAATATTTGCTGTTGGAATTGAGTCGTTATTAGGCACATTGTTGGACGATGACTGGACATCAACTTCACCAAACGGATTAATGTCGATCGGGTACGAGCTCGCATCACCAAATAAACCAGCACCAATTCCAGAAGATTCCCCAATTTGGTCAGAGAATGGGTTTATACCTTCATAATTAACGGATGAAAAATCCAAACCTCCGCCATCAAAGAATGGATTTACCATTGGGTCATTTTCTGCTGTAACAGCAGGGTCATCGAAGAGGAAGGGGTTATTTGAAAAATCCATTTCGTCCGAATTAACAACTTTCTCAATCCTTAATTCAAGAGTTCCGATTCGAGGATCTTCAATTCTGCCTTGCCCGGAAGGATGCAGGCGGCAATAGTTGTGTCAAAGGGATCGATGTCTTCGTTGTCTTCTATCTCATCAGCTCTCAATTCAAGAGGTTGAAGGACTTGAAGAGACTCGTCTGATAAGCCCGTGTCCTCAACGGAATCGAGTAAACTCAACGTGTGTTTGGGAGCTGTTCGGTTTTCTCCACTCCTTGGATCGAAGTCGTCGAAATTTTCAGTATCGTCCGTATCAGCCAAAGAAGTATTATTCTCACCAAAACCGTGAGATCGGTTGAGAGTCTTCAATACGACTGAATTGTATACAGGAGCACTTGGTTCGTTTTTCTCTGCAAGCAAAGTCGTTTCTAGTTCTTTTATTTCGGTTTTTCCAAATTGGTTTGCAATGGAAGTATCAAAAGGGTCAAAATCTTCTTGCTCAGCGTCTGCGCTAAGGTTGAGGTTGCTCGTCTGGGGTTGAAGAGATTGACTGCAATCTGTCGGTGTTGTTGCCAGCAGACACTGTTGCGGAGGCTGAAGAGGGCGCTCTGGCTTACTCTTCAGATTCAAATCTTGTGGAATATTTTGAATAGTTCCTGAGCTGCTATCAAATTCGTCTGCTTGAGATTGACTTAGTAGTTCGTTTTCTAAATGCTTCAGCTCTGTTGTTCCTAATTTGTCTGCAATTGAGGTATCAAAGGGATCAAATTCCTTCTCTTCACTAGTCGTTTTTGGCAGTGATGGTGCGATAGGTAAATCTACTGGATTATCATTATCAGTGTCCGATGACAACAGACATGTTTGTAAATGAGAAGTCGGTTGATCAGATCGATCGAGTGTATGATGTTCGGGAGTAACCGCTCGAGGATCAAAGTCGTCAGCGTCGGTCAGAGGAACAGCTGGTGACGATAAAAGTTGCGATTCTAGTGCATGCAATTCAGTTTTTCCGAACTGTTGAGCTATGGAAGTATCAAATGGATCAAAATCGTCCTCCGCTTCAATTTGAGATGGTTGATATTGAGGAACTAATGTCGGATTCTCGTCGATAGGAGTTGCAGCTAGCAAACACTCGGGGGTTTGAGGACGAGCTGGTTTCACATCCAAAGAGAGAGAATTGTTTTCAAGTGCTGAAGTTAAAATATCATTTTCTGATGCTGTGGAAATTGGAACTGGCGTAGTGTCCTCTGTTTCGGCCAATAATTCCGACTCTAATACTTTAAGTTCGGTTATACCATAAGAATCTGCTATGGATGTATCAAAAGGATCAATATCGTTCTCCAAGTCTCCTACCAAATTATTTTTTGAGTCATTGCGAGCTAAAGGTTGAAGTGCAGGGGCTATATCTTCGTCGACTGGAGATGTCACTAGTAGGCAAGCGGGGCTTGGTGGTCGTGGGGGAGGTTGAGCCTTTACTTGTAATGTATCCTGATAAATTTCTTCATTGATTTCTCGCTTTTCTAAAAGTTCTTCTTCTAATGATTTTATTTGTATTTTATCTGCAAAAGACGTGTCAAAGGGATCTAACTCCTCGATTTCTAGGGATTTGGCTTGAGGTTCTAAGACAGCTGAATCGTTGGTGTCGACTTCAGAAGTGAAAAAGTCTTTCGGAGAATCCGGTTTGGTTGATTCTTCACCTTCTCGTGGATTAAAGTCAAAATCGTCTGATTCTCCTCTAGTCAATGGAATAGGATTATTTGGACCCGATAGAAGTTCACTTTCAAGGACTTTAAGTTCTGTTACTCCGAACGCATCAGCTGCGGATGTGTCAAAGGGATCAAAACTTTCCGATTTGGTAATGGTACCGCCAGAATGTGGCTGTAAAGTAGATGCGAGGTCTGCGTCGTTTTCAGTGGTCTCCAAATGATCAATAGGTAAAACTTTATGCACGATAGACGTGTCAAAAGGGTCTACTTCATCGTTCGTCAGAGGGTCCTCATCACTGAAGAGGTCAGGATTCTGGGATCCCTGAGAAGGTGGTGCAGGTCGAGCAGGTTTCTCACTCTGAGAAGATTTGAGTATGTTATTATCTAATTTAACATCAAATGGATCATCATCTGCTTGAAACTCATTGACTTCCTTTTTGTCTAATACTTCGTGAGAAACGTACGAAGTATCAAAAGGATCTTCGTCGTCGTCCAATCCAAGCTCATCAATTTCCTTTTCTTTAGCTTTAGCAATTGATTCGTGTGCTAGTGAAACAAATTCAGCATCAAATTCATCTAAAATTTCACTTTCGCTGCATTTAGGGATCAGTGATTCATCGGTTACGTCAACATTATCAATCACATCAAATTCTGAAATTATGTCATTAACCGCAAGAGCCTTGGTCGAAATTTGTTCTTCTGAAGAATCAGCGTTTTCACATAAATCGGGAGATGAAGCTGTAGCTTGATTTTTTATCGCATCAGCTTCAGATTTCTTCCTGCATTGATCAATGAGAAACAAATCGGGCACTCCTACTTCGGGCAATTCTTCACTGAGATCATCACTTCCGAATAAGATATCATTTATAACGTTTGATTCTACTGTGTCAGCCTCTTCTTCTTGCTTTCCTTCTTCACTTTTAGATTCCTCTTCAGCGTTCACTTTCTTATCCTTTTCAACCTTTGATTCAGATTTAACGTCTACTTCGTCAAAGTCTCCAAGTAGACTTATTTCATTAGCATCGTCTGTCTTGGTTTTTATTGGAGTTTTTCCAGTTAGAACTTCAACGGCATTGCCCAAACTGACTAACTGTATTTTTCGTTTCTTCTGAGGCTCTCCTTTTTTGGTTCCTGCAATCACCTGAGGCTCTGGTTCAGGTTCAGGCTCATTGATGTGAAGAACTTTATCGACAGCAGATGTATCGAAAGGGTCTGGCTCGTTGCTATATTCATCCGAAGGACTGTCGGGGATTATTAATTTCAGTTCCCCACTCTCTACCTGGTCCACATAAGTTGTGTCGAAAACGTCGGCGTAATCTTCAGCACTAACTTCAGGTAAATCTTCGATTGGCTTAAGTTCAAGAAGCTTCTTCTTGGGAGGAGAAGGCGGCCTATCATTGACGACTGTTGCCTGTGTTTGGCCTTCGTCAGATTCGTCGTCGATTCCTTCCTTTTCTAAATCTACCCAGTTCTTAGACGCGGTTGCTGGAACTGGAGAGGTACACGCGGACGCCTTTTGAGAATATGATTCGACGAAATCTGGGACCGGCCGTCCACCGTCACTTTCTAGACCCTTTTTTGTTTGGAAGTAACTCGACTCTTTGATGTGCTCAAGATTATCAGAAGTTTGTTTGAGAACAGTATCAGTGGTAGCAAGAAAACTTTTCCAGTCTTTTTCTTCTCCCTCTTTTGGTGAGGTCCGGGATTCAAGGTTAGATCTAGGATAGTGATCGGTCTCGTAGACGTCGTCTTCCTCGAGGACTTCAGTGTCGTGATGTTGCTGCTCCTCCTCGGCGAGTCTGCGCGCTTCTTCTGCTTTCTCTCTCTTGTATTGCGCTAGTTCCTCTTCAGTGAATATTTCATCATCGTCGTGTTTGCCCTTCTTCCCTTTTATCTTCTTCTTGATACCCTTTTTTATTTTGTGCATCGTCTACTGTCTAAGGATTGACCCTGAAAAATAGCAAGAAAATTTGAATTAGAACTCTACTTAGTTAGAAATGAAACGAATTGTCGCGAACTGAATAAATTCTTTGGAAATAGTAAGATATTATGTGCTATGAATTCTTGTATTTCGAAAAATGTCACAATGATTGGCTGGATAATTTGAATATGATGCGAAGTTTGGGCGAAGAGAAGATAGAGATTGAGGTGTACATTAGATTAAAAAACTCGTGTATATAAATCGATACAGTAATAATTATTTCTAACGGAATCTACATGCAGCAAGGATTTGGATTTGCATCTGGCGTGCACCTAAGGTAAAGAATCAATCAAATTATTCGCCTGTTGTCTTGAATAATGATTCATTTTGATCGAGGCGTGGCTATGTCAGAAATAATCGATGTAATTCTGATGCTAAAAAATCGCGCACATATTGGCCATGACAACGCAGAGGGACGTTATGCGGTAACTTTATTTACACACATTATACTCGAGTGAACTTTTAACCTCCGTTAACGTAAAATAGGAAACCCGTCAATTCCTATGAACGCAGTATTCTAGTCACAGACTCGCAGAATTTTTTGTTTGCAATTATTCCCTAAAACACCATTTTCGTTAATTTCTTTCCTCAAAACGTCGAATGAATTGACATTCAATTTTGAACAATTCTTCACTCTGACATCTCGTTCATTTCAGATCTATTAATTGTAGATTACTTAATTGGCACACCATAAAATGATGCGTCTGGTAAACTCTTCAACTTTAGTCAGAAGTTAACGATCTATTTGCCTCTCCTCATTCTGCCTCAGGCATTTAGTGCGACGTCGCCGTGGTCGATACAAGCAGCAAGGTTGTAGAGTTCTCTTCCGGAGCTTGAGATCCACGCGGTATTTTGGGGCAGAACGAGACTCAGACTAACACATGTCGGGCCATTTCACACGTGTCGGGTGTTTCACACGTGTAGGATGTTTCACACGTGTCGGGTGTTTCACACGTGTGGGGTATTTCATACGTGTGGGGTGTTTCACACGTGTCGGGTGTTTCACACGTGTCGGGTGTTTTACACGTGTCGGGTGTTTCACACGTGTCGGGTGTTTCACACGTGTCGGGTGTTTTACACGTGTCGGGTGTTTCACACGTGTCGGGTGTTTCACACGTGCAGGTGTTTCACACGTGCAGGTGTTCCACACGTGTCGGGTGTTATACACGTGTCGGGTGTTCTATACATGTGTGATGATTCGTACGGGTCATATGTTTAACACGTACGTTTCAGGTATTTCATAGATTCATTCATTGGAGAATAATTTTCTTAATATAATATACTGTGAAATTATATAAAAAAACTTTCCTCGATTGTGATATAAAATTAAATTTTTGTCTGAGAGGAACTTCTTGACAAGATGGTGGTTAATAGGAGCTATTTTCTCGTCTTGACAGTATAGAGAAAATTGATTGTTCCCGGCAGTTTTCTTCTAGAATTATCCAAATTTGTCCATTTCATATTCAAGATAATTCAATTTCAATACGATTCAGGAATATTCTAAAAAAGTTCAAGTGGAAATAAAAAGTCTTTGATGCCTTCCAAGACCAAGTGAATGTTTTATTTGATGCGGGGATTAACTTCTAAGCGCCTGCTATGGCTTCACGCTTGTGGTGGCATGAATGGCATCGCTTCCAGCTCAGGCCGAGAGCAGAAGTGCAGCTTTAGGCCACGACGGTCACGTTGATAGAGCAGCATCTCGACCAGCGCATACGCTGCGTACGCCACAAGAACAGACAGTAACCGAGACAGAGACGCGGTGAGCGCATACGCTGCGTATGCCACAAGAACAGACGGTAACAGAGACAGGGACGCGGTGAGCGCATACGCTGCGTACGCCACAAGAACAGACACCACAAGAACAGACAGTAACCGAGACAGGGACGCGGTGAGCGCATACGCTGCGTACGCCACAAGAACAGTGCGCATTTGATGCTGGGATATTCAGCCTACTTGTATTAGCAAATATCACAGTTTTTGCTTCAAATATCACAGCAAGTAAGCGTGAGTACACAGGCCTGCGACTAAATAAGCGTACGGACTTTTTACTTCTTAGGTCTACAACTACTGAAGTAATTATACTTAAATTAGGCTTCTGTCCTCAAGTTTCTATTATAGGTGCTTCGTACGCGCAGGCTTTAGTTCTGATCCGTAGTGTACAACTTTATTTTTTTATTAATAAACTATTTTGTAGTGGAAGTCCGAACAGAAAATACAGATGTTAAGCTAAATTATTGCTACGCTTATCACATTTTAAGGTTGAATTTTAGTTTTAGGTTATCGAAGGAATATTTTTCCGATATTGTGTGATATTGAAATTTTCGAAATCGTGTAAGAAACTCGAAACAATCAAACGCGAGCGAACTCAATATTTAGTTCTACCACATTAACAGTAAACGAGTAACTTCTTGAAACCTGATAACGTAATTCTATGCGTAAGAAAATTGATATCACGGCTTTTATTACATGAAGTTAACGAAATTACGCTGAATATGAATAAAGCTATGTCGTTGAGGTACGTACCATATTTAAATTACTTTGGTTTACAACGACAATTAATTAACAATTACAACGACAATTAATTAAATTCAAAAGCTGACTTATACGTCAGTATCATAATACATAGGAATGCTTGGTCTTCGTAAAGATTAGTTCGGTTAAAAGAATTTATTTATGAGCGTATAGTTCATGTTACATTTCATTCTTGCAGCGCAATATGGCATACAAATCTTTGATTACGTTCGAGAATTGATGATTTTCTCAAATTTCGAAACAAATTCATTCTGATCGCGAAATACCAAACAAAAATACTCATATTAGGAATATTTGGGCTTAATTATATTATGTTTAATATCTTTTTGAAGTTTTATAGAAAGGAAATCATCAGATGAACTCGATACGCTATAGTCAAGTCATGACTTGTTTGGGTAGGTTTTAATAATACGTAATTATGTCAAACATTATAGCGCGTGCAAATATTTATTACATCATTAAGGTAGTTGAAAAGTTACAACAATAAACTATCATAATTGAGTACGGTACCTTCGCATGAAACGAATCGGCACAAAGATTTTTGAATAAGAAATGGGACCTATGAATAAGAAAGTATAAGAAGAAATAGGACCTGTGAACACAAAGCTTTTTGAATCTTTTCGAAACAAGCATGAGAAGAAATAGGACCTATGAATGAAATAGAACTCGGTAGCTGCCGTCACATCGCACAGCAAACAAATCTATTGACTGCAGACTTTTAAAAAGCTCATTTATGACGAAAATGCATGCATTCAAAACTGGCAGTCTCTCTTAAATGATCTAGTTATTGTTAAAAAAATGAAAAAACGAAGAAGTTGGTTGATATGAAACGCAAAAAAAAAAACATTATAGAAGGTTTTCTTTTGCCAGGCTTTAAGAATATTTGAAAATGTCTAATTTACAATGAAATACTAAACTCTAATAAATAGCGGCGTCATGCGAGGATTAGAGAAATGCATGATTATTGACTCTAGGATATTTGGGTAATGGACTTGATCACGATTATCTGCAACACGATTATCTACATCGCGATTATCTGCATCACGATTATCTGCATCACGATTATCTACATCACGATTATCTGCATCACGATTATCTGCATCACGATTATCTACATCACGATTATCTGCATCACGATTATCTGCATCACGATTATCTGCATCACGATTATCTACATCACGATTATCTACATCACGATTATCTACATCACGATTATCTGTTTCTTATCAGAAGGAAACAACCGGGCAGTCGGGATAGGCTTGCTGTATCGTGATCGACCTCGCGCATCTGAGGCCATCTTTGACACATGGTCAAATCACACATCAAATTAGGTGAGAAAGAAACAGTGCAACTCAATATGAGGTAGACAAATATTCTATTCATGCTAAAAAATTTTTATTCCGTAGAAACACGTCAATATTGCTTCCGTGGCAAATTTATGGATTTAAAATTTTTCGTTCTGACTTATTCATACATAGGAGAAGTCAGCGTCTGCTCGGAGCTTCAATAAAAAGTCATGATCACAATCATTCTCAGGAGTATGAGCCATGCGCGATGCTGAAACTGAATAGATGTCGTTTATAGTATATTTATTTTTTATTATTTAAACTACATTTCGTGAAACGAGGCTTTTCGATGCCAAAGATTTGAAAATGTAATGAAAAACGCAGACCTGAACTCTCACAGTATTTCCTGGAAGCTTACACCACGGATGCTCTTCATGAAATTATTATGAAATCGGAAGACTTCTCACTTTTCATGAAGTAATGAATCTTATATACGGCCACGGGAAACTAAAAATTTTATTTATTGTTCTTCTATAAACTACCTAGTAGTGGCCTTTTCAATCGATTAGGCATAATTAACGCACTAAAACCACAGATCAATAACGTGTCTCATTGAAGACAAAAAACGACAAGACAGAGCACATGGGAATTTCAAAGCCAGTTAGATTCCTCTGCATTAACGGCAGAAATATAACAGACATAAGCCGAAGTTCGACAACAGATTTCGTGCATAGGAGAATAAGAAAAAATGAATCCTCGTGGAAAGCTTGACACCGGATAGGCCCACCTCGTCGACTGCCACGAAGTTGAGACGTCAATCATTCTTCGCCAGCGGCCTTAATTTGCCATCAAGTAACGAGTAGCACCGATATAAAGAAGAACCTGAACGAGAACTACGCTTACCATCAATCCATCGTATACGAGATGGAGATGAGCAGCGGTGTTGAAGGAATCACAAGACAAGAAGCGCACCATGGCAAGGGTCAGAGGCAAGATGGCGAGCACTGAGGGCTCTGCTGGAAGTCCCGGAGTGCCGAGAGCAGGCGCTGCGCATGCGTCTTGCCTGCGGCCTCAGCGGCGCTGGTGCGCAGGTCTCTTCACTTCGACCGATGGTGGCGACACGCGCAAGTACACGATGCACAGCCATGGCGGGGCGTACATGAATCACTCACCTACATCCTGTGCAGCCATGGCGGGGCGCACATGAATCACTCACCTACATCCTGTACATCCGTGGCTGTGTGCATACAAATCACTCACCTACACAGTGCACACTGCACAGCCAAGGCTCCACCTACAACCTGTACAGCCATGCATGGCTGAGCGCAAGTATATCTCACCTCCATGGCACAGCAATGGATGTGTTCAGAATAACCAGCACACAATAGTCCGCTGTTCCGCATCCGCCTCTCGGTTTCATGTATTGCGGGATAAATCCCAAATAATTGACGGGAAACCATAAAGGTGCGCGGCTGGACAGCGGGCATAGCTGCTGTTGGTGAAGCAAGAGGCAAACCATAACAGTGACGCTCACTGACATAGCATGACGCTGAGTGACGCTGAGCTGTTATACATAGAGTGTTGCACTGCAAACACACATGATTTGTTTTGAACATGACAGGGCGGTCCACTCAAAGTATTTAAATTGCCGCGTAGATGACGTGAACAAGCATGTTTGTGGTTGACATGTGATGCCGTTCAAGCCGCTCGAGTCCACACATATACATTTGCGTGGCAGCTAATTGGAAAACGTTTTCATTGTGTACGTTACTGGAGCGTGCGTGCTCAAAACAAGGAGTATAAATTTAGAAACACCAGTTCACTCTGATGTTTTTTGAAGCGTGCACAATACAATGGACCTAAACTGCGCGATGCTGATAGTATTAAATATTGTACATCCTCACCCACGCAATGGAGTAGAGCAAAAATATTTAACGGTCTCAGCTTGATACAAGTTTCCGGATGACATTGTTGGGAAGAAGATTTTCATGAAATTCTCTTTTAGGAATTGGTTTTAGGTACTATATTTCTTTACTTCTCGTGTAAGTTCTGTGACAAGTTCATGTAGACATCATGTGTACGTCATCTTTTTGCATTCATTTCGCATCACATCTCCAGACACGCATGCAAAACTCATGTGTACAACTTTTTTAAAAATTGCGCGCTTTTCTTTACTGAAACTTAACACAGATCAAATGAGATCAGAAAATTCCGTACTTGCTAATTATATTCGATCATAACCGCGAAAAATTCGTCCTGCGTGCATTCATTACAAGTTGAATGTAGTTAGCAGAATGACAGATTCTCAACACTGCTAGGAAAAACGCCATAAGAAGGTCTGACCGGCATTTTAATGGCCAACTCCCCGTGAAATTAAATTACGTCGCTGTTCTTATATCCTGAAAACAACCTCGACACGGCGCAATTTTACGGAGTGGCTGGCCACCAGAGTACCAGTCACATCGTTTTTTCACCGCTATTTCGAACAGTGTGCATTCAAAATACAACTCCGTTGTTTTTTAATGATAAATCCCGTCTTATTGTCAATCGCTTCAGCTTGAAGAGTGAGCAGTTGAAGCTCTGGACGAGCAGGGCGTTACTCAGTGTATGAAGCAAAAGTACCAGAGGACCTCACAGTGCTGTCTATTCAGCTCATGAAAAATATTCGTGAAAAGGCGGTCTGTACAACAATGACTTCATCAAACACGCATTACTGCATGTAACCTGTAAGCCATCTAAAATGAATCGGAAACGCAGCAACGCGCATGATCTGAAAAAATGTTATGCCATTTGAGTGAGATGAACGAAGAACTTACTCTTCGATAGACCATTTAGCACCCATTGCCATGCGAGGATAGCGAACATATAGTACTAAAGTTAATGATTTTTTGTACCATCATGCGGTGTCGCCAAACTTGATAAAACTACGCGTTGATATATATTTCAAGCGAAATGAAATTATTGCAAGTTACCTCTCCTAATTCATCACATCATGAACATCACTTAGATAACTCGCGACTTTTCTGATTTGAATAAATCATGCAAGAATGTCGCGGGCTAGGACTTAATATTCAACCTCGGCATTAATTTTCATAGAAATAAATAAACATCTGTTAATTCACTCTAGAAATTAAACTAAAAATTATTAGGAAAGTTTACCAATGACATTCAAAGCCTACTCAGAAGCATATCTGTACACTGTACGTACAGCATTCACATGCCACCGAGCAAAGGCACTGATGTACACTCAGTGTAAAATAAGCAGTGTTCAGTGTTTACGTCCTTCAGGTTCTTCATCATCGAGAAATTAAACGCTCGCGCGCCGCAAAATGCCTGCAGACGCGAGCTAAACGGTCAAACCCTGACGTTCAAATGAGCTGTTCCATAGCGCTCCATCAGTTGGAATGCGTCATTATTTACTAGATCATACGAAAAATTCATTTTTATACAATGATATCCACATTCAATTAGCGTCTATCAATAGACTCTGAAGAACAAGTCTCGTTCGTAAAGCTTATATGACGCTCTAATACTGGTCGCTTTTGATTTTGAATGCTCGAGATTCTCTAGGATACCCTGCATTGAGCTCGGATGCACTCTAACGTTTCTTCATTTCAGCACAGAATTTAAGCTAATTATGGAGAGCCATCAGATGGTTAATGGCCTTGATGACACGGGAGCGCCAACCCTGCGTTGAGCTTATGAGGTTATGATGGCTTCAGCAGCAGTTCAGTTCGGATTACTATAGAGTCATTTCGGTTCATGTGTATTTCGCACAGTGTAAACACGTAACTAAACAAGATATAATCTTGTTTAGTATAATAAGATATAATCTTGTCTAGGACTGCCAATATTACGGCGCACTTGGTAAATGTTAAACTCAGATTTTCTCAAAATACTTTTGCCGAGCGATGGACCTGACAGGTCATCACTACACGCCATGTCGGCCATCGTGAAAACAAAAATTTGAGCCGTACTGTTTTGTGCCGCCTTATGTTGGATTGAGGGGAAATAATGGTTTACTTCGAACTTATCCGATTGTGAAGCTAATAGCCAATTAATGATCACTAAGGTAATGTGAATATGGCTTACAAATGAGTTGTTTGGCAATAAATATTGCCTCGTGACTGAAGGAAATGATGACCAAAATTTTTGATGCAAGAGACGAATGCTCTATTTTAATGACCGCAATGTTCATGACTTGAAAAAAGTGACGTAGGAAGAAATCTACTTAAACATTACCAGATTAATAATTTTGTTGCATATTTTTTATTAATGACTACTGATATTTTTGCTTAATGACTAATAATAATAATTATGAACTATTTTATATAATTTAGCAGTAATATTTTCAAAGTTTTGATAGTTGTGTGTCTCATATTATACAAGCATGACGTGAGATATAATGTAGAAAAAATTCCACAGAAATAGCAGTGTACATAAAGCAAGAAATCTGATCAATCCTTTTTTATAATTTTAATGTAAGAACTAATTATTCATAATTAAATAAAATAGGATTGAAGCCCTGTAATAATTTGGGATCGAAGTTTATTTAAACTGCTGAAACGCAGGATAAAATGCAGCACCATTCGCTGATGAGCGACTAACATAATCATTAAGTATGTTCCCTCAGAGGAATGAGTGAGACGTTGTCCAAATTGCATAAAGACGCACTTCTTGCCTTTGTGTGTGTTATCCATCCCGGGGCCATGCTTTCAAAAAAAGTTAAGAGATCGTAAGTTCATCAGCCAATCATTGTCGGCCTTTCAAGCAAAATCCACCAATCATAGACAAGAAAATAGAGCGTATAAGTACTTACGTTCATGTATCAAATTTTGAAAGTATGGCCCCCGGTTTGGCCTGACAAAATTGGCGTATCAGTGCTACGCCCGTTTTCGGCTCGTGCTGTAGTAAAGAAATTGTAGAGCTATATTTGGACAATGTGACCCTTTCATTTTATTGTGTTAATACGCCGGAGAAAAATGAGCGCTGACAACTGAGCGCTTCATTTTTTTTTTATTGAGCGATTCATTCATTTCTTTATTTGCGGAGAAACTGCATCGCGCACGCAAAATTTCTGGAAATATAATACGGTTTAACCTGCTAGCAAAAATTCAAAAATATAATTAAATGTTAAAGCTCAATTTATGGTGACATTAACAATTAACTCCATCAAAATTTACAATTAATTCTCGATTTAATGGTGAAAATCCGCTGATACAATATGATCACCAAGCGTGGCAACGAGATGCTTGCGTTTCGTCATTTTAATAGAATGTATTGAATCTAAAATTTTACCCTTTTATTTTTTATAATAGATCGGCAATGAATAAATTTCTGTTCAAACTTCCATGCTAAAATTTCTTCTTTGATGAATTAGATTTCTGCCTCACAAGTTCTGTAATGAAACCGCGAACTTGAACGCGCTTATACTTGATAAACTCGAAACTTGTGCAATAAAAAGTTATCAATACAAAACTTGAACAAGATTGAAAAAACTTTGTGAAAATTTACAACAAGCTTCCACATTTGAATTCTAGGTATTCAAATTACACTCATTTTGAAACTTTGAAGGTAATCTAGAGACACGCAAACGCAAGGTAAAAACGTTCGCAAGTCGTTCTCAAGATGCGTGTAAAGGAAATGCAGACGACGACAAACCACCTATCGTCAATGCCACTAACTTCGCCACAGCACTTATGTCGCCACCCTTCAAAAGAGACTATATATTTTGTTAACAAAACTGACCTTCAACTTACCAGCGCAATCGAAAAAGCTTCTTAGTTATTATGGGGCAATCGAACCCATCAAATAGAAATTCTGACCAGTATTATACGGCTTTTACTGACGAACGGCACGTTAAGTGCAGTAACTGCTGAGTGGCGACTTATAGTGTCATTGACGGTACACGTGTCTAGAAAAGTGAACATATACGACGACAAACAACGGGCACGTGCCGGCAGGCAGTAAAGGCGATCGATCTGCCATGGAGCAGCGCAGGTAAGCGTGCCACGAGGTGTACGACAGAGGAACATGGCAAGGCGAAAGTTATTGCTCAGTCATCCTGGTGTCAGCTTCCAGCTACCAGGCTTTCAGATGCAAATTTCTTTAATGACGGTTGAGTTATTCCTAGAAAAAGGTTTTCACTCTGCCTGCTCTGACCCAGCTAGCTCTGGGCCGAGCATTATCCAATTAGCAGCGGAAACTGCTTATACTCGTACGTTGATTTTCGCAAGCCTCCTTGATATGATCTGTACTATATATAATTTCATGGTAAAGAGAATTGTCGGTAAAAGGAAGAGTTGAACGCGGAACACAGCATTAAAATAAAATAAACCCTAGTAATGATAAATCTGGAAATTATTGCACCAGCTTCTAATGTCAGGAAAATTTAAGGGTGTATTATGCTATGAATTACTGAAGAACATTTTTTTATCACTACAACATTTTCTTGCTATTTAGGCCTATTTTCTTGCTTAGCTTGCAACGTTACGTGACTGGAGTGCTGGAAGGCGCAGAGTGACGCACTCAAAAGAAAAAATAAGCTTATCGACCGCACTAGACCTCGTAACTCAACTCAGGTATTCACTCTAATTTGCTGTGAATTAGGAACGAATAAATACTTAAATGCAAGGGAATAAGATTAAAATAAAAATGTAAGTGTACTAATCCAAGGGTTCAATTCTGCAACCAAAATTCATGACTATGGAGGACGATAACAGACATATGAATATCAATACATTTTTATTTACACGCTGTTGAAAGTAGGAACGAAGTTTCTCAGATTCAATACTAGTTGATAAATTGGTGATCTAACTTCTAATTAAAATTTTTTATTCAAATATTGACTTTCCAATCGAACAAAGGATTTCTAAAACTTACCTCTCTCCATGGCTTGTTGTCATTCAGATGAGAGGAAAGAAGTTTTGCTGGAAGGCATTCAGGTCGAAGTGATGTCAAAGTTTCCATGAATTCTTCATGTGATGTCTTCTTAAATGTTTCAAAGTTTTTTCTTCATTCAAAATTTATTGGAGAACAGCTTCGTGGGTGCAGTTGAATGACGTATTTTGTTGTCTTGAACTGAAGAGTGACCCGTGACTATGAGAGACGGCTTCCACTATCTCATTATTTGTTCAACGCAGTAATGAAGTTTATTGAATTCTTGGTACTTGTGCTAGTGTTCCGGTCCAGTAGATGCAGTAGCAGCAACAAGCCACTGAGTTTAAGCAACTTCAGCAACTGGATTTCCGATATATTTAGTACAGTTGAGGAACACAGATTTGCCTTAATACGACTGTATAGAATTGAACGTCATATGCCTTTTGGAAAAGTAACCTTATGAATTACTCGGGATATACTCACAGTCTTTCGAACAATATTACTTATTGATCGACATTAATAAGTAGCAAGTGACACAAAAATTACACTTGAGACAAACATTAGTGAAATTAATACAGCAAACTCATGATCTATACGCTTAACTTATGATGCAAACATAATTCAAGAAAACAGTTCCACCGTCCAATATGCAAATCCCTACACAATTGTTAAACTTTTTTTGAAAATTTGGCTGTGGTGTGGCGACGAAAATTGAAGACGTTTGAAAATTATGATTTGGAATTTACTGTGTTGTAATATTCATGATCACAAACCTTCAATCGTATAGGTTATTTTAGTCTTTATTAATTTACAGACAAAGAGTTCCTTCGACAGAATTTTGCAAAGTAGCATCGAGTATCGTATTTCAATGCTGCAGATCATCACGTGAATGAAGATCGCGTACGTGGGACTTTGGCACTAATATTATACTAAAATTATTTTTCAATGACCAGCTATGAATCCATATACAATCGTACGCTCTCATGGCTTAAAGGATCACCCCAGATGAATAACTGTAACAATTCGACTTTCATTTGATTTTTAATCCTTTCGAACTTGTGTAATAGGAAGTCATTGTTAGAGATGCAGCATAGAAAGGAAGTCATTGCTATAGAGACGCATCATAAATTTGAGTTCTTCAAAGCTTTCGCGTGTATAAACCTAAATCATTTAGATGCGATGAAGGCATTTGGCGTCATTGCACTCATTAATACTCGAAAAATCAAGGTTACCATGGAAACATAAACTGGCACAAGAAATAATTTTCAGCTGGATATTAAAGGTTTCATTTAATACTTTGGCCTTTCATAGCATGATGCAAAACGCAGCATGCCTTTCATATGAGATAGGATATCATCACAACGCACGAATGTCATTACACTTATGATAGAATAAAACGTAGCGTCTAAATTCATCAACAAGGTAATAGGTAAATCTATATACAGACATCCATCATGAGCATGCGTTAAGGAGACATTCATATTAATCTTGGATAACAATGCATAATAAAGATTCTAGTCAAGGTAGTCATGGGTTGATATACAAATTTGTTAAAGACGTAGTCAAAACAGTGTGTTAATATAAAGCTTATATATACTTACATAAATCTTTAGCTTATATCTTATTTAGGAGATCAAGCATAGATATCGAGCGGCCTTCTGAAGGCCTGATGTGTTTGCAACATGAGCGCGTGAAGATAATACATTTAATTAAGAAGCTTGTAATAAACAGCGAGCGATTAACCCTTGAATCTTGTCCAATCCCAGGAACAAAGAATTCTTTCCTTTGTTACATAACCTATCCCTGAAAAAATTACAAATTACATAGATTTTATGGGAAAAGGAGGCAAGCTTCCCGACTTCATTGTTCGATTCATAGTCTTCCGGTAAACGGCCATGCCAACAACGAAAACATCATCTAAATTATGACCGCTAGCACTAAATGGTGCAGCGTTGAATAAGTATCTAGATGTTATATTGTTTTGGGCTGCCTTCAACGGCCTTGCATTCATCTTTTGTTTAAATATGTCAGTTTTATATAGACTTCATCGAAAATTCTTCTCTTAGTTTCTGATTCATCACACTCATTATAAGTTTAGATGTAACACTCATGCTGAAAATAAGAATTTAAGAGCAACGTTCGTCTCTTGAATTCGGATTAGTAAGAAGAATTACAAGAAATATTTAAAGCAAATTTAATACAATTGAAGATTTGCTCTGTGTTGTAAATTTTCCAGTAGCTAGAATTATTGGTGCTTATATAATGACTTACGAAACATTTAAAGTGCTATAGTAAATCGTAATTTATATGTTATCGCCGCCTCCTGACACTGTACCGACACATAGCCATGCTAAGCATAAGATTACGACCTCCATTGATATAATAATAGTCCAGGGAATAATAGAATATGAAAGACATTTCAAGGGATAAATTACCCATGCATTTGGGGTTATCAAGAGAATATATTAAGTCTAAATATGGCTTGACCATACGAGGAAAACGAGCGATCAATATTCCTGTTATTGCTTTACCTTGGCATAATAGTTTCATGAGAGCTGTGCACAGAAATACTATTCTTATATGACAACAAAAGCATAAACTACGTTACCTTTTGTGTGTTTTATATACATTTTTTGTTTGCACTCGAAATAAACTAATCAAATAACAATCGATTACATCACTGAAAAACCTGATCAATCCACACTACGTCACCACTATCCTTCCCAAACTGCAAATTAATTATTCTCGAAGTTTTCAAAGCGGCCACCGAAAACAATTTCGACAGAGATTCAATCTAAGTAAATTCATAAAACAAAATTCAGACCTTATGCTATTTATAAGACTGCAGCCTCCTTTGGTGCTACGACAATGTTTATCAGCTCTGCGTAGAATATATCAACAGCGTTTTCCATTCTACCTTACCTTTCGTATCTAATTATAAATAACCTTTGGGCCATCATCATATTTCGTATGGCAGTGATCAACAACTCGACGTCAGCCTAAAGTGTTTCAACATTGCTGCAATGAAATAAATTTGCTCAGCTTAATTAGAATCCACAACAGATCATGGTTCCAGGCTTCATCGTAAACATAGTAATAAAATTGCTTGGTTTCAGGCTTCATTGTAAACATAGTAATAGAATTGCTTGGTTTCAGGCTTCATTGTAAACATAGTAATAGCATTGTTTGATACTTTCACGTGAAACGGCTCTGCCAGAACAGTTCAGTGCACATTCCGTCATCGGCGAACGGTGGAAGCCTCATACGGTAATTCTTGCCTGGATATCGAGCTAAGAAAAACCGAAGTAATTTTCAGTTATACCTGGCCATTTTCACCTTATGAGGCAGTATTTTGAAGACAAATGACACCATGAAGAATCTTATTAAATTTCAACGTTATAATATTTTACTCTGAGCAGTTCAGCTGTCAACAGTGGAGAATTAGCGACATTGCTGCTGCATCACAATCAACGTAGCGGGTTCTTCTTCATCTAGGAGGGACTGTCAGGCGGACTCTGTTCAACAGAAAAGTAAATATAATGAGCATTAAACTCCTGCGTTATAGTAGGATATTAGCTAAAACCCTGTTAAGAACAATTTATTTTCTTTACGAATCAATATTTTAACTAAATCTAAACAATTTATGCGTGAAATTGGATTATTTGTGTGTCTTTAGGAACGCGAAAGTTAATTACGCTTAGTTCCGGGTGCCAATGCAACAAACATTCGCAGATGGCGTGGCATTGCCGGTCAATAAAAGACCTCCCTTCATTGGCGACCAATTGCCCCATCAAATGAAGCGGTCCACGATATGATGAGCGCGAGTCATTCAGTGAAAAGGGGCAAGAGTATTTCTCAGCAAATCTATATAGTTTTTTTTAAACATACGTCTTTGGCATACAAACTTTTGAAATAGTGATTTTCTCCGACAAATAGTTTATGATTTTGTTTGAATTATTCCAAACAAAGCATCAAAAACTCGAAATAATTTTTTTAACGTGCTCGTAAAGCGTCTCTTAATAAATGAAGCCAGTTTTTTTATTCATTTTTCATTTTTTGGTAAACAAATTTGATTGATAAGATCAAGGATGGATTATGAAGACAGCTAATGAATAGAAAACGCAGTTCTTTACAGTTCTCCATGGCAAATGATGTCATTTGTTTCGTTCACATGAACTTGGTAAAATAAAAATAAATAATAGAAGGTTGACAGCACGAAATAAATATAGACTTAAAGAGCCTTCAAACTTTTATCGGAAGGTAAATATGAGAATTTGCACAGTGAAATCACATGAGAACTTGCTTCCTAAGGTTACAATGTAAACAATTCTCATCAATAAAAAATCAAATTCTGCTTCATGCCATCTCTTCCTCTCAGCAGTAACTGAATTTCTATAATCCTATCCTTGAACCACAGCACAACATTGCATTTCCATAAGAATTAAAAAGTAAAGAAATCATCAAGTAATTTCACCACATCTTCAATGAAAACATATGGGAGACCGACTCCATCACCAGCTCAGAAACTTTAGGCAGACTAATGATAGAAGTTCATTTCTCTACTCACACCTGACTATTAAAATTAATACTATCTACTCACACATGACCTCGATTAAAGTCACTACTATCTACTCACACATGACCTCTATTAAAATTACTACTATCTACTCACACATGACCTCTATTAAAGTCACTACTATCTACTCACACATGACCTCTATTAAAATTACTACTATCTACTCACACATGACCTCTATTAAAATTACTACTATCTACTCACTCATGACCTCTATTAAAATTACTCCTATCTACTCACACATGACCTCTATTAAAATTACTACTATCTACTCACACTTGACCTCTATTAAAATAACTACTATCTACTCACTCTTGACTTCTATTAAAATTACCACTATCTACCAGTACCAGTATCTACTCACACATGACTTCTATTAAAATCACTACCATCTACTCACACATGACCTCTATTAAAGTCACTACTATCTACTCACTCTTGACCTCTATTAACATTACTCCTGTCTACTCACGCGCTCCTGAGAGACCAGGGAGCTGCGGTTGCTCTTCATGCCGAGGTCCATGCCGAAGGGGTTGAGGTTGCGTCGAGGAGGTGCAGGAGGTGCGCTGCGTGTCGAGTACTCGGAGGCTGAGCGATGGTGGTGAGGGTTAAACCCGCGGCCTTCCTTGCCAGAGTGCCTACCTTCCACGCCATAGTCACTGCACACGTCATCACAAGTTACATGTGGTGCATGACACTATACCGCCCTGCAGTGGTGCATGACACTATACTCTCAGAATTTGCTGTCAGCAACACCAAAAGAGTCTTATCTATGGTATATCAAGAAATGAGTAAAAAATATTACATTAATGCCCAGAATCAATTTTATATTTTAAATCAGAATTGGCATTGGGAAATGCTGCGAAAATGAAAGTACAGTACGGACAATTACCGACCTACCTGTGTACGGACGCCTGAATTGATGCTCGGAAATGATGCAGAGATGAAGTGGCCCCAAACTCAGAGCGAGGCACAAGAGGGCTTAGGTCGCCAAGGGAAATGCCACTCATCTTTCGCGCAACAGAAATAGGCACATTAGGTTCGGCGAAGCCTGGATCGTCAATAGGTTGGGAACCGCAGAAAGAAGTTTCGAGGAGCATGTGCGATGGAGAAGGCGATCTTCCGCCTCCTATGGACCCAGCCTCTGAACCCAGAGATGACAAACGACTTCGTCGACCAGCCTGTGGAGGAAGTAGAAAATCGGCCCAGTTGTCGGGAATAGGGGATTTGCGTTCGGACAGAGGTACTTTGTTTTGTGTAGATATAGTTGAGAGCTTGGCAATGCAATCGTTCACAGGGGCTAGGAGTCTTTCTAAATCGGAACTCTCATCGTGGTTGGCCTTGTCTTCTCTCTTCTTGATCTCAGCAATCTTTTCTCGTATCGTCGTCAACTCTTCGCTAGAAGATTGGCTACCTAATCTTTCACTATCTGAAGATTTTTCTGAACTATCGTCCCGGTCTGGAGTGGAAGTCAAGGATCGCAAAGATGCAGGCAAAATATCTTCAGATAATTGACTGTCTAATTTTTTCCTCGGAGAACTCAAGTCGTCTGGGTGGTAGGAGTCGTTCATCTTGCTGGCATCAGCACGCATCTGCTGTGTTAACTTTGGCTTTCTGTGTGGCTCTGAAGTTCCGGATGGTTGGGGTAAAGGCTTTTGCTGCTGCAATGTTTTTATTTGTTTGACTGGTTTCATATTTATATCAGGAATTTCTTCAAAATTTATCCAGCTCTTGGGTGCTTCAAGGGGAGTTGTCTCTCTTGAAGAAGGTGACTTTCCTTCTGATCTCGTTCTTTGTTTGGTTACTGCCGCAAAATTGATTTCATTTCCGTGCAAGCTGTTTTCTCTGCGCTCACGTCGCAAAGTACGAGGACTCTTAAGACCTTCTTGACAAAAATCCTCCCAGCTTTTAGATGATTGCCTCACAACATTTTTTGCAGGTATGGTTTTTTTAGGTATTTTTATATTGATCTTCTCAGTTTCTAATTCACTTCCTTGCTGGTCAATTGACTGCTTAAATTGTTCTAAGCGACATGGATGAATAGGAGTGGCACTTCTTGGTCTCTCGATAGACTGGACCATCTTCAAACTACTCGCACGCTCCTTAACTGGTACCATGGGGGTAACCTGAGACCGCTCTAGCGGCAAAGTAGTTGGTACGTACGGCAACTCATCTTCTTCGCCATTATCGTGTCCCACTAACTTCTTTATCTCAACGTCTGAAGAAACAGTGTGATCGTCTTCGATTCCAAGCTGTTGTTTCTTTTTCAAATAATCGATTTCTGATTCTCTCTCGGATTCTGATATGGAATCTTCTTCGGGTGGAATTTTAACTTTAAGTTCTTCTTGCTTTGGTGCCTCTGCGATGACTTCTTCAGTTTTAGGAATAACTTGAGCACTGTTCTCTACTTCTAAAACAGTGTCTTGCTTCTCTTCGGCTTTTGCAGCTGCTTTCTCTGCTATTTCTTTTTGTCTCTGCTCTAAATCTTCAATGACTGATTTATAGGGCGATGCAGCTCTTACATGAGGCTTTGGCTCTGTTTCATGATCTTTCAAAACATCAACATTACTTTTCATTTGTTTATCAGCTTGGGGGGATTTTGGTCCACTACCTCTTGCTGTTTTCGGGGCGAACGGGTCATCGTCAGTAACCTCACTTCGATCAGACCCAGGTGGTGAAAATTCTTTATTTGAATTAAATGTGAATTCAATTTTCATAATTGCTTCGCTTGAAGACTTACTTTTTTCCTCCACTCGTTCTTCGTCCCCTTTGGAGGTAGGATCATCTTTTCTTTTCGATTTCGGCTTGAAAATGGAAAGAACCGTTTTTCTTTCCAGAGATTCGTCGTCAAATTCTCGATCTCTACTTTTGCTTCTACTTCTTGACCTGCTACGTGACCTGTACTCATTTCTTGCGGATTTTATCAATTCGCTAAACGGACTCTTCCTTCCGGTCGCTGAACCTGGCGAATCTGGTGTGACGGGACTGAGGGCGGCATCACCCCTGCGAAACAAACTCGAAAACGAACTTTTACGTGAAGTTGATGGGGTTGAATTGCCACTTCCAGGGCCTGCATTTTCTTTATTTTTCTTTCCAATGTACTTCTTACCAAATTTTGGCGAGGCCGTTGGAGTGGTAGAAATAGATTGTTTTCTTGCTGAGTCGGAAAGTATTGTTGCCGAGGTTTCTCCATATAAGGGTGGAGGTGGAGGAGGCACTGGAGCAACGCCTGTTTTTCTTAAGTCTTTCAAGTCAGGAATGTGTGGAGGTAGCACTTTCTTCCCTAAACGAGGTGATTTTGACGAATTCGGGGACTCAGATGACTCTTTTCTTTTGTGTGTGGCTTCTGAAGAACTCATTTGGTTTTCAATCGCTCGTGGCCTGTTCTCGGAGGTACCGGAACCTCGTTCGGGCGTATTACGTGGCGAAGATTGATGTATTCTCGTAAGCTCCTGATCAATTTTGTCTCGTCTCTCCTGGAATTGTGATTTCTTCGGTGCCCCAGAGTCCGATGTTAAAGACTTGGTGGACGTCGTAACACTTGAAGGTGTTTGCGACGCATCAGAAGAATTAAAAGGAATCAATGTAGGGGATTCAGAGAATTCTCGATCGTCTGTTGGTGATACTATTGATTCTAAATTATCCATTGCATAGTCTAATAATTTGTTTGTTGTCATTGGAGGGTCTTCCAAATCTATGCTGGGTTGTAGTATGGGCTTATTACCACAGAAGGAAGTTTCCAGCAGCATTCGGTGAGGTGATGGTGAACGCCGAACATGGGACCCAGTTGAACCTAAAGATGACAGCCGACTGCTGTGGCTACTAATTACAGGTAATAAATTCTCACTAAGCACAGAAGAAGAAGATTCCTTCCGATCAAACTTTGAAATCCGTAAAGCTTCTTCGTACTTTTCAGTTTCTGCCTTCTTTGCTTTCTCTCTGGCTCTTCTGAGTCTCTCTTCTTCGGCTAACAATTCTTCAGTACTAGTCTTAACATCGGACATTTCTTCACAATAATCTTTCTTTGTGTATCCTATGAAAAGTTCCTTATCGGGAGTGGAGTCTTTCGAATCAGTGTCGTGTGCAGATGAAGTCGAGGCAGCGGACACACGAATCCTAGGTGATGTTGGCACGGTGAGTGCTGCTATCTTGATGCTCGGTGAGAGAGGCGAGATAGGCTCTGACGCTTCTCCTATGCCTACTAACGTGTTTCTTTCGTCGGCACTGCTTGAATCAGACGTAGTCTTATCCATGCTGAGATCCTCGAAGGATGCGAGAGGCGCGGGACCCATTTTCCGCTGCCGGGACGAGAGGCTTGACAGTTTCTTTTGTCTGACTTTAGTGAGCAATCGAGTATCAGAACATTCAGCAGCATCGACATCTTCGTTTGCTCCTGAAGTCAGAAGAGATTCATCATCAGGATTGTTAGTGGTTGGAGAACGGCTTGTACTGGCAAGTGAGGCCATCGCACAGGCTTAAAACCGTGCAGTGGAGTTATTGGAGATTTAGTTAGAGGACGAAACTTAGAGAGAGTGCAGGAGTCAGCAGGACGAAGGAGGGGGAGCGTCGCGTCTAGGCAGCGGGTGGGTCGTCCCGCGCGGCAGCCTTAGGGCGCCACGTCCCTCCCGACCTCGTCGTCACGCAACTGCACGGTAAACAAGGGTTAATTATGAGGCGCTGTCTCACAAAGGTGCCAATTATGAGATGCCATTCATATCAAATAGGATAAAAACCTCATGCAGGCCTCCATGAAAAAACTAACATTGACTGATGAGACTTTGTTCATAATATTTGTAAATCATGATTATAAAATATACTGAAATTTCTCTGGTGTTTCTCACGAAGGCCACTTGATACTTATTAGATAATTCAGAGCTATGACATCAACCGTGAATGATTATTCGTGAATTATAATATGTGTTCCGCTCATGCTGAATCACATCCTACTCACATTAAATTTGATAACTGTATTTACAACAATTCATGAGCCCCACAATTGAACTATACGGCAGAATTTTATTCATTTCTCTGCCTGGTTATATCGATTTCAAACGACAAAAAATAAATATTGCAAGCTAACAAATATTTCAAAATAGTGACTGCCATTTCGCGGATATTTAACTGCAAAAAAGCGAGAACTCAAAATATAAAATTACAAAAATCTTATAACTTGCCAATGGATTAGCCCGCCATGGCTTGGTTTGGATAATTTAATTCTGGAATCCCATTCCCGTAAAGCCTAACATCGTATATGCTACTATAACTTATGTTTTATAATTAAATACAGATCGCTTTAAATCCACTTTTTACACAGTAGATAGGACTTTCATTTTACTTTCGTTTCAAAATATGAATAAACTGTTTTTTTTTTTTGCAAAAAATGTTTAAGTTGCAAGATTAAATTTTAATTTTTGATCCCCCCCTTTCCTACTATTCTTTCCTATGTTTCCTCTAAGAATAAAATTTGGGTCATGCAACATCCTGGACACGCTCCCCAACTAAAGCAACCACATTTGTGGTGCCAGACATAAAAAAAGAAAATCCTCTCACACACACTACACAAAAAAAATCCAAAATAGAGACCGTCATTTTGTGTTTAATCAAGTACATGAATACAAAAATTCAAAATTTGAGATTGAAAAAGATCTTATATTCCGAAGCTGTAATACGACATGCATACGACATATTTAGTGAAGATAATTTTTAGCTGCAAGAAATGGATAATTATTAAATAGAATAAATAATTAATAAAACATATTAAGTGCAGAATATTTCCCAACGTGGTAGTGAGGTTCATCACAACCATTTTCACGGACTATATTGCTTCCATCTGGGTTTAAATGAGCGCATGGCAACCGACAGCTTCATGACCAAAGCTGGAAAATAGATAACTAGCAACTTCTCGGTCTGGTGCTGCGTGAAGCAAGCAGGGTCTGGTGCTGAGCTGAACTATCAGGGTTTGGTGCTGAGCTGAACTATCAGGGTCTGGTGCTGAGCTGAACTAGCAGGGTCTGGTGCTGAGCTGAACTAGCAGGGTCTGGCTCTGAGCTGAACTATCAGGGACTTGTGCTGAGCTGAACTTATTATATTCGAGAGCTTCCACTCGTTCTGAACAACTCCACGCCCTCCTTGGTTACAACTTTGTATCATTGCGGCAAACTTCAATACGAGGTCATTCTGGTGTAATTTTGTAAGAGATAGAACTCTTTGTCTCGCTTTCTAGACAAAGAGTTCGGAACAATAGTGATGCTCAATATGTGATACCAGGAGCCTCGAGCTGCAGGGTGAAAATATCTCCCAATCAAATCTGCATTAATTCTATTTTCCTGCACTTAGCACCAGATCGATCCCTGCACGACCAAAATGCACATAAAGTCAAATCAGAATCTTTAATGTGCCTTGTAGTAATATATTTTTAATAAGTATCACCTTACCATCACCAGTAACTATTCTCGTGGTTGCTGTATTCATCCTCTTTATAGCGCATTTTCTCATTTATGGAAAAAATGCACTATTGTGCTCACCATATCCGTCCGTCCGTCTGTCCGTCTGTCTGTCTGTCCGTCCGTCCGTGACTCCACGTTTTCGTTGACGAGAAAATGCGCTCTCTGTCACTCACTGCAGTGAGTACTGAGTTATATTTTTTTATGTGCTTTAGTCTACCATGTTTGAACTATAAAAACATCGCTGAGCTGTCATAGTAGACAAAACTGCATAGCGCACATTTAAATATGTTTCCCTAATGATATTTTTCCCACCAGTATGTTTTATTCGTGCTAAATACACATCATCTATGAAGCTATAACATCTTACAGCATAACATCTTAGAACGAACCATTCTTCATCTTTCAGTCCACGGTAATTCGTCCCCAAATTTAACTATCTCTCCCCGAAATTTTCGAAACAATTTCATACAACGGCTAAAATATAATAAAAGATCTTCCGTGAATTGAGAGTTCGGACATGACATTGTATGAACAATTGCAAAACATTGCTTACATTTTACGCAGTGAATAACATTACTGTTTGTTTCCATGTAACTGAGCTGCCTTCATTCATGATTAAAGCGGAAAATTCATGCTTCATGAGGTAAATAGTGCGAATTATTATGATAATTTTAAGGGGTTTTATTATAGCGAGTCAAATTATATTGATTATTAAACCTAACGATGTCAATTAAATTTACTGATCACTATTATTAAACGTATTATTAAACGTTCATAATCGAGGCCTCACGATTGAGGCCTCGATTATGAAAGAACTATAGTTAAAGTATTAATCAGCTCAAAAATTGCTCAATTTAATGCACTAAATATAATAGTTTGATAAGGTAATCCTGCCTGTTCATACAGTATTCAGCACAAGTTATTGATAAAATTTCATTTATCCGCAATATCTCTTATTTGAAGCGTTTACCCCGAGTTTCACCACATGACTAGGATAACCCAAACGTTTCTAAGCTCGTTATGGCTGACCGCTGCCGGCCATGGCAGTAAAAAGTTAGTTCCCGCTCCTTTTATGGCGTTTTTAGGAAGCATAACTTGCCCGTAAGCCTTAAAGAACGGTTCAGCAGCCCTAAACCAATTTGATGAAAAATATAGAGAAAATTTTACAGGAATACTCAGAAATATTCTCAGAAACGATACGAATTGAACTAAAAAAATAATAACTCAGTACTCACTGCAGTGAGTGACAGAGAACGCATTTTCTCGTCGACGAAAACGTGAAGTCACGGACGGGCATACAGACGGACAGACAGACGGACAGACGGACGGACAGACGGACAGACAGACGGACAGACGGACGGACAGACGGACGGACAGACGGACAGACAGACGGACAGACGGACGGACAGACGGACATGGCGAGCACAATAGTGCATTTTTCCATAAATGGGAAAAATGCGCTAATAACTTCTTTGGCATCACAGTGGCTAATGAGAGCAAGTTGCGTTCTCTAATGTCAAGAAAAGCTCCCCATTTTCACTTCGGATGCGAATAAATAGGAATAAGAATATTGTTCATTTCAGTTCAAGTCAGCTGAATCTAAATAATCAAGTCCAAGTGTAATTAAAACAACACAATTTTGTGAGAATCTAATTTCCGGAGAGCCTCCCGAACACGAAGAAGATGAACACAGCTCATTGATCAGTTAGAGTACAAAATTTTGTTCACACATTGGGTTTAAAAGTTTCAAATCATTTCTAGACGATTTTCTATATGATAAAATTACTTGAAAGTATGTTGCAAACTTCGGTAATGTACATCCCGGCAAATAATATCTTAGATAATATGACTGGTCGAACGTGATATTGCATGTCGAGATTAACTAGAGGTAGTCAAGATATAACTAAAATCGCATGTGTGACCTTATTGAAAAAGAGTTCGTTGAAAAAAGTACAACATGCGCCCGACGGTATATGGAAGAGACAAATTAATAATTTGAATTTCAAAATATCATCTATTCAACTCGATCGATCATTTCTACCTTCATAGCTTATTTTAGGAATGATTATAGTTAGGTTAGTTAGGAGTGACACCAGCAATCGATTCTAAAATCTAGAAGCGACTTACAGCAACAATATTGCAATACTTTTCCTTTTTTAATTAAAGTTGTTGAGAATGACGTCATCACAATGAACTCAAAAGGCTGCGCATGAAGCAAGAAGCAAACACACTGCAGTGAGCGCTCTGGCGGCCACTACAGCCAGCTCGTCTGCACGCGCCGGAAAACTGCCCTGCTGTGGGCATGCAAAAAAGCCGGCGGGCGACGACGCGTCTGCCGCAGACAGCGCTCATGAGCGAGATCTGCTTTTGCTCTTTGCAATGTCCAGAGTCTGTCAAGACAATGTGATGAAATCGTGCAAAACACTACTTGGCAACACACAAAGTCTGTCAAGGCAAACTGAAGATGGCCTTTTTCCTCTCTTTGGTGATGTATAAAATCTGTTGTGTCTGAAATATAAAGAAAATAATAGAGGATCAGGTGCCACACCTCTAATGTAGCCGCATCACATCTCTAAGCAGACGATCGCAGCTTTTGACCGACGAATATAATTCCCGTATATGATCGACCAGACATTTGGCCCCGTGACATGCAGGTCGTATAGAATTTTTGAAATAGAAATATCTACACGCAATTTTATTTTTAATCAAAATGAAAAAGTAGGTGTGTTCAAATATTGAGTAGGTCAATATTATTTTTCTTGACATTTTCAGGAAGATGTTGCCAATGTTGTTCATTTCTTTAATTTCAACTAAAAATAGGAGAGTCCGATTTTTTATAGTTTGGTGGCAATGAGGCGCAGCAATTACTGAATTAATTTAAATGGTATTCAGAGTAAGATACGTCATTTGCAAAGGAATTCACTGTATTATATACTGTGGGTCCGGTGTGATTTAATTATTGCTCATAATGCTTCCGGTATGGTGTTGCTTACGAGCTTAAATGCTCACGATGCATTTTT